AAAATGTCATTCTTGCTTATGTGATATATATTTGTACATATTTACTAGGGATATATGCATTTGTCTATGTTATTAGCATATATGATATATTTATTCTTTATAGTATTTACATTCTTTAATATAATCTTTCTATTTTTTTTAAGACCTCTTCTAGCAAGTTGTATTTACCAATATACAATTATATCAGTTATTCTTTTAAGACTAGATAACATTATTCTATACTTCTTTTAATTTTTTCTTAATAAGATTTTTGTCTAATTCTCAATATAGATTCTTATAAGTTATTATTATTGGCTTATTATCCTACAATATTAGTTAAGTATAAAATAACTTTTCTAATAAAGATTTTGCTTAAATATCTTCTATATCAAAGTCTTTTATATTAATTTCTTCTAAATTAATATCTTTACTGCATCTTTTTAATAAGTCTTTAATGTTTTTAAGATAATATGTAAGAAATATCTAGCTAATTAATTTTTTCTCTGAATTATAAGGTTGATATTTCTTCCTTATATTAATACTAACTCATCTTATTTATTTAATATTTCTTTTAAGGCTAAATTTCTTTTATCTTTATTCTTTATCTTTTTTACTTAGATTATTAAGTATTTCTTTTAATTATTCTAAAGCTCTCTGCTTTTTAGTTTATTATATTTATTCTGCTTAGATTTATTTATAGTTTATTATTTATTCTAATTGTTATTCTTTATCTTTGATTAATTACTTTAAATCTTTATTAGAATTAATTTTATTGTTAGCTATTCTGTTAGTTTTACTATTATTAATTAAAATTAATAGAATTATTATTATAATTTACTCTTTTAAACCTAAAGTAGCTGATTTCTAGTTCTTTCTTAACTTTTAGTATTAATTTATAAAATGATCTAGTTTTCTATAATTAAAACAAACTTTATTTTTTTTTAGTTTATCTTTTTCTTTTTTAAATAAGATTATATTCAATTATATTATTATATTTTTATCTTTATCTTTAGTTTATTTCTAGTAAGAGTTTATCTTATTTTTTTTAAACTCTTCTTTTTCTATTTATTAGATATAGATAGTTAAATTAATCTAGAATACTGCTTTTATTATTACTTAAAATATTTTAGATTATAGTATTATTATTAAGATTTAGTCTTTAATATTATCCTTTAGTCCTTTATAAAACTAGTCTCTAAATTCTTAGTTATTTTATAATAATTCTTCTAATATCTATAAGAATTTTAAAATATACTCTCTAACTAAGGTTTATTATTTAATATATTATATTTTATTAATAGCTTTAATTTCTTTATTAATAGTTCCTTATAACTAATTAAGTTTTTCCTTGTAATATTAGTAACTAAAAAATATTATAATTATCTTAGAATTTCTTTATTCTTTATTACTATTTATATAGTACTAATTAGTAATATATAAAGCAAACCATTTTATAGCTTTTTTATTAAGAAAGCTTAATACTACTAATATTTTATTAAACTTACTCATAATTCATTCACTATTATGTATAAAATAGAGTTATATCTAAACAAAATATATCTTAAGAGTTCTATATTCTTCTTTAAATAGAGTCACTATTCTAATCTTAATTTTCTAAAATATATGACTTAGTCTTTCTTTATTATTAATTACTACTTATTCTAGTTTTTTAATACATTATAATAACGCTGCTATATCTTTATTATTAATAGTTATGATATTCCTACTATTAATATTAATAGTTTGTAAGTTAGAATTCAGAGTTATTAGAACTAGAGTTTAAGATATTATTATTATTTATTTTTAAGACTTCTCTTTTAACTAAGAGTTTTAAATTATTAGAAACTTTAGTTAGATTACTATTAAGTATAGCTAGAATAACTATTAATAGGCGAAGTTAATAGACTTCTAAGGTTAAAAGATCTTAGTAGATAAAAAAAATAAAAATAAGACTATAAATATCCTAATTAATAGAAGATTATATATTTAAGTTATTATAATTAATTTAAAATAATAGAAGAAAACTAAATATATAATAAATAAGCATCCTTATATAACTTTCTTCTATTATAGCTCTCATAGTTATTTTCTTATATTAAGCTCTAACAAGTCTAATTATATCCATTATAGCCATATACTGATACCTAGCTCTGATGGCTATGATAGTCCTAATCCTGATATATCCTAGCTCCACTAGTGGCATCTTCGGATAATCCTTTGTTCCCACGCATTAGCGTTTCGTATCCATTGGCTGTGACGTTCTAATTCTCTGACACTATCTTTATTTTCTTAAATATTTTAATCTTTTTTTAGATTATATATATATTTAAAATATATTATTTCTTTATATAATTATCTAGCTTCTTTTATCCTTAAAAAGCTATTATAGATATTATTATATTTATAAATATTATATTTTTTATTAGCTATAACTTTATTATTATATCTCTTATTATACTTTATAGTCTTAAGTTATCTTTTTTTAATTATCTTAAGTTATTATTCTTTAATTATTTTAAATTATTATTTTAATTAATTTTTATATTTCTATTTATAGTATTTCTTTTTTTATAATTAAAATATTCTATCTTGTTTTTATTAAATTATTTTTTTAATTTCTTATTAATTATTATATTAAATTCTATTAATTATGATTTATAAAAATCTTAATACTTAGATTCTTTATTTATTTAGTTTTAATATTTAAAGATAAATTTTATTTTATATCTTTACTATTCTTATATTTCTTTTCTTTTTTATTTTATTTTATAGAATTTATTGTTAATTTTAATAGCTTTTTTAATAAGTTTATTAATATTATTTAGTTGATTTATTTTAATAAGTTTTATTTATACTTCTTCTTTTAATATATTCTTGAATACTATAATAAGGACTTTATTATTATAGTTTAATATTATTATAATTTATTTGAATTATACTACTAATTGTTATGCTGATCTAGTCTAGTATAATTATTATAATTATCTTTTAATATTTTATATTTTATTTATATTTCTAAATATTAGCTTAAACTTTTCCTTAAATTATTTATAAAAGTTTAGTATTTTTATAATATTAATACTCTAATTCTTCTTTTTCTTATTATAGTATTTGCAAAGTATTAGTTTAATCTATTAAAAAGTTTCTTCTATTAAGTAAGTTATTATAAAGATTATCTTAGATTTTTCTATTTCTAATATTATATTATTAATTATAATATATATATCTATTTATATAAGAAAGTTCTTTAATTTTATTTATTTTCTACTAAAGACTTATAATTTTAATATCTTAGATTATTTTACTGTTATAATTACTTCTAATTTTTTAATATATTTTTAAAGTATTTTTTTATTAGTGAGAGTTATTATTAATTTAATATTTAAAGCAATCATATTCTTTATTATCTTAGATTAATCTATAGATATTTTTTTCTTTTATTTAAACTTTCTTATCTTCTTATAATAGTACTTATCTTATATTATTTCTTAGGGTTAAGATAATAGCTCTTTTATCATGTGCCTAGATCCATCTTAATTATTATTAGTTATATTAAGATATAATACAATAAATAAACTATACAAAGATTTATAAGAGTAACTTATTAATAAGATTAGATATAATTCAGACTTGTTAGTAATAAAGATAAGTTAATTATAACTAAAATAGAAGAAGCACCTTAAAGTATTATAATACTTTAAATAAATTTATCTTATTAACCCTCTTAGTATATAATTAAATAACTTAGATTAAAGAACTATAAAGAACTAAATATATAATAATAAATAAGCATTCTTATATATCTAGTCTTTTTTATTCTATATATTATATATTATATACTTTTAAAGTAAATAATAGAAAGTATACAATTCCTTTTTAATAAGTATTAAGCATTCTATATACTCTTATCTTATCTAAGATAAGGATATATCTTTTATATCTCTATATGATATTAGTATATATATTATTGTTATCTCATGTGCTTCATATATCAGTAATCCTTTGTATACTATTACTAGCAACTGACTTCCAGTTAATCTGGTACAAGCTCATACCAAATCATCCTATCCCTCTTCTGGAGTAGTTCTTCCTAGTGTCATGCATGTCGTTTCGTAACACTTACTAATTCTCTTAGTATATAATTAAGTAACTTAGATTAAAGAGCTATAATTTTCTTTTAGATATATAAAAAAAGCATGTTTATATAGATCTCTTTTTCTACTATTTCTCTACCATCCTTATAGCCTTCCTAATAATATTTCTATTATTCTCCTACCATCTATATAACTCTTCTAATGGTATATCCTAATCACATAATTCCCATGTTCTTAGTTCTTTTCTGCATAATAATAACTAGTTATGGCGTGTGCTATCTCAACAGAACGCTTTTCCATAATGGTCACTAGCCTCGACTAGTGTCATGCAAGTTGGTTTCGTAACAATTCGCATAGGTATTCCAAATACAGTAGAAGTGATGTAACTAGTAAAGTATTTAATAGTAGTCTCTAATTAGCTGGAATCCTTCCTCAGCTATTAATTTATATTTAAGATTCTAATAATAACTACTTAATATCCCTTAGATGATTTAATATCTAAAATAAGCTTTAATAAAATATTAGAATTAAACTAGTTAGGTATCTTAAAGAGATTATGTTACTTAATTATTTGTTTACTACTAGGATATCCAAAGTATCCTAATAGTAATCTATAATTATATTGATTCCTAAGCTGTATCTGGTTAATAGATCCTAGGACTATATATCTAATCTGATATTAACCACCACTGCCGCCTTCATTCATCTGTACAACGACCGGGGCTGAGCTTTGTGCTTTTTATGATCTGACTGCATTGCAATGCTGTTAGGTTGTTCGGTTACGTGACAGAACACGTAGGCCAACTGATTGGGTATATTCCTCGCACCGCAAGTTCTCAGTTGGTGATTAAAGATAATTCTTTTGCTTGCCACCCAGGTAAAGCGTCCTACATTTGTTATTCTCGTTTTTCCCTTGATGAAGGCATTATGTTCTACACCTTTGCATCTACGCCCACCCTAGGTGGCTCGCCGTCGCAGCGCAATCCCAAGCGGGTGAAAGTAAGCCAAGCATGCAACTACTGCCGTCAGCACCGTGTACGTTGTAATGATGGTTCCCCCTGATCTCGTTGCGTTTCCAAGGGCATGCGCAAGCCGATGCCGTCACGTACTCTACTCTATCCCATGTCCAGCATACTTCGCAGTGGGGAGACAACGATAGTTATTGGAAAGCCTGGGAGTGGTTGTACTACATTTCTCAAGGCCTTAGCGAACTTACGTGAAGAATATGAAGCAATTATCGGAGAGGTCTGTTACAACGGCCTAGACGCAGCGGAAATGAAGGCACGCCGCCCCGGGGACGTTGCTTTTGCGGGTAGGCGTCGCCAAAATGTCAAACATCACTTCAAGGTCTTGAGTGTGACGCTAACAACGGTTAAATTGAACAGGTGAAGACGATGTCCATTTCCATAGCCTATCAGTGGGCACAACGCTTCGGTTCGCTCTTAACGCACGTACTCCTGTCAACCTTCCGAATCGCATACAGATTTTACATGAAGACCTTCAGGTGCTTCTTGAACTATTCGATCTATCACACGTGGCCAATGTTCCAGTTGGAAATGACTATATCCGTGGCGTCAGTGGAGGCCAGCGGCACCGTGTTACTCTAGCGGAAGCGTTTTGTACACGAGCAAGGTACGTAATATCTTAGTATCAATCACCTCTTAAACGGACGGCATATTTCTTCTAGCGTGCTGTGTCTTGACAATCCGACTCACGGTCTAGACTCATCCACAGCTCTTCGAATTGCGCAAATTCTTCGGGAGTATACCACCCGTAGTCAATGCTGTACAATCGTGTCCCTCTATCAATCCAGCGACTCAATGGCAAGCTGCTTCGAAAATGTGCTAGTTTTAAACAAAGGTCGCTTGGCCTACTTCGGACCCACCAGCGACTCGAAATCTTACTTCCAGGACCTCAGTTTTCGAATGCTCTCCACGAACGTCGCTGACAGACTTCTTAACTTCCATGTCCGGAGGTCTCTAGTCTCCTCACGTCTAACTACATAGAACCGGACCCCTAGTCTCGGTAACCTCGGAGGACTTTGAACGGCGGTTCCGTGAGAGTCAACGCTGTGCAAATTCACTGGTGGAATTCTCAGACTATGAAGGATTCCGCCACCGACGGTTTTGCGCTACCAGCTGCCGTTTTGTCGAGAGGTCTATGAATGTACCGTCCGCCACTATCGCATCAACTTTACCGATCGCAGCACCTGGATTGCAGAAGCGGCCGGGACCATCGCCCAAGCTCTAATGCTGGGAACCTTATTTCGTAACCAGCAGCAGGTAACTGAGGGAATATACACACGCTCATCGGCGCTGTTCTTCTGCGTCCTCATCATATGCCTACAGTCCACCGCGGGATATGGTAATACCTTCGCGCAGCGACCAATTATCCTCAAAAAACGGGCACTATGCTTCTACCGGTCAGGGGCCTATGCGTGGGGACAGATTCTAGCAGACATGTCCTGGAAAGCAATCTTTATTTTCTACAACTTACCAATATATTGGATGGTCAACTTCAAACGTGAAGCAGGCCCTTTCTTTATTTGATTTTTAACGCTCTACGTGTCCCTTGTCTCGCTGGGGATGATGTTTCGCACTATTGCTGTCTTCACAACCCCCAACTGGAGCCGTCTTACCGGTGGGCATTTTAATGGACACACTTATTATGTACACCGAGTTCTACATCAATCCCCCGGACATGAAAGTTTGGATGTCATGGCTTCGATATCTAAATGTATGGACCTACCTCTCTATATAGCCGTCACTGAAGGTCATCTATTAACTGAAAACTCCAGCCCATGTACTACGCATTTGAATCCGTCATGTTGAATGAGTTTGTATCGAGAGGATACCAGTGCAGTACACAGGACGTAGTCCCTAGGGAACCGGATTACAACGATACCGCATTTCAGGCGTGCACTGTGCAGGGTTCAATCTCCGGACAGAGTTACTTGGAGAACGTGTATCATTTTTTATCAGTCTAATCTTTGGCGAAATGTTGGGATCAATGCGGCCTTTTTTTGATTCTTTTCAATCTGTGTCGCGTATGTTCTTTATATTCACTGATCTGGTCTAATGATACTAATCGGCTGAAGGATTGGAATGGAAAGATTCAAAACGCCCGCAGGCCGTCTATCTACGATCTTCTACAGCACCGACATCCTGCGAGGAAAAGTAAACCGAAATTCTTCTTCGGTATCAGATGAAAAAAAGTCGCCGGTTCAAGGAACTGATAAGGAGGAAGCCGTTGTGCATGGTGTTCAGACTAAGCCTAGAGTCACGGTCAAGTCTGTGGGGCGTCGGTTTGCGTGGAAAGATCATTGTTTGGATATCCAGGTGGAAGGCGAACATCGACGATTACTGAATAAAATTTCTGGTATGACTACTGTAATTTCAATCTCAGCGTCCTACTTTTAACCACTGCTTAGGATGGCTGGTGCCCGGGGCTATGACCGCTCTGATGGGGATGTCAGGAGCTGGGAAGGTGCGTATAACAGTATGCATACATAACGGAACAGATTGTTGATCGAAGCTTACTTTAGACAACTCTTCTAGACACACTAGCTCAACGAGTTTCCATTGGAGTCGTGTCAGGTGGGATGTATCTTGACAATAACCCCCTCCCCCTGTCAATGCACCGGCGCTCAGGCTTCGTTCAGCAGCAGGATGTCCACCTTAGCACTTCTACTGTTCGTGAAGCACTTAGGCTGACAGCTCAGCTGCGCCGGCCATCATCTGTCCCTATTGCCGACAAATATGACTATGTGGAGACAGTCATTTCGATGCTCGAGATGGGTGACGTTGCGGATGCGCTTATTGGCGTGCTGGGCGCCGAACTCAGTCTCGAAAAAGGGAAAAGGGTCAGTATCGGCGTCGAACTCGCCGCTAAACCGGATATCCTACTATTCCTAGACGAGCCTACATCCAGTCTGGACGGTGATTCCGCCTTCTCCATCATACAGCTGATGCGAAAGTTTGCAGATGCTGGACAAACCATCCTGTGCACCATTCACCAGCCGTCATATGAACTCATTGAGCTGTTTGACTCTCTACTATTGCTCATCCCCGGCGGCAAGACCGCATACTTTGGACCACTGGGGCCGAAATGCGAGACCCTTAATGCATATTTTTCCCGGCACGCCCGACGCTGCGAAGAGACGGAAAATCCAGCGGATTATGTCCTAGATCTTACGGCGCACCCGCCGGTCGATTGGGCGGTGACGTGGGAACGGTCAGAGGAATACAAGCCATCCCGGCAACGTCTGGAGCAAATTCTCTCGCAGAATAACCCTGGTTCAAACGATAATGGTAATGCTGAAGATGATCAAAATGGCACGAGCTACGCAACCTCGCCTCTCCAACAGCTGCGGGTGGTCATCTGCCGCATTCTTCTCAACTACTGGCGAGACCCAGATTACGTGATGGGCAAAATGCAGTTGAATATATGGATGGGGCTTATAAACGGCTTGACATTCCTGCAGCTCTCGGACAGTTTGCCTAACTCGCGCAACCGCTTGTTCTCCATCTTCATTGCTATCACAGGACCAGTGCTGACGCTTCAGATTGAGCCGAGGTTTATTGCTTTTCACGACCAGTTCCTCGCACATGAGAAAGAGTCCCGTGTCTACCACTGGAGCGTTTTCGTGCTTAGTGCGTTCTTTGTTGAGATACCCTTTGCTCTTATAGGCGACCTTATCTATTGGCTATTATAGTACTCTCTGGTAGGATACTTCACTGCCTCGGAGCGCGCCGGATACGCGTTCCTGATGTATGAACTCTACCATATCTTCGTTGCCAGTCTCGCACGTCTGATATCCTCTGTGTTCCCTATCATTGCAGCTGCTCAGGTTGCGACCGGTTTCGTCTGGCTGATGGTTAACACTTTCAATAGACCTCTCTCCCCACCGCCGCTCACCCCCAAGGGATGGCGCTAGTTCTATAATATTTCACCACTGTTCTATTTTGTTGAGAGCCTGGCAACGAACGCGATGCATACACTCGGCATCCGCTGCTCAGCCTCTCAGGTTTCTGTATTTCATGCGCCCGCTAACCAAACCTGTGGTAAATATACCGCGTCCTTTTTCAGTTTGTCAACCTCCACGGGGTATTTATTGGATGAGAATTCTAGGGGTGACTGTCCATATTGCCAGTATACAAATGGGCATCAATATGTAAGTTACAATTATCTGGCCGAGTTTTGCTATTAATAGTCTGCTAGGTTCAACAGTACAACTTCATCTATGGCACCCGTGGCCCTAATATCGGCATCTTCATCGGCTTCATTCTGTTCAATCACACTATGGCGGCACTTGCGACATACCTGATCTTTATCGTCAAGTGGGAGAATTTAGGGTTCAGTTACAGAAGCAGCACAAGTAAAGTTGCAAAGTGAGTGTTGTAAACAGGGTAGATCGAGTCAAGTTAACGTGATTGATTGACAACTTACATACACTGTGACAATCACACCACATCGAGCTAACAAAGGTCAGAGCTGGAATTTGGTTGGATAGCCTTATTACTATCTTATCTGTCTAATTAGATTGTTGTATTGTGATCGCATGTACCAGTTAATCCTCTGTGTATTATCAACTGCTGTTTTGCTCTTGTATATGTAAATCATGAGGCATCCCATTGAACGAAGCAAAGGTTAGTGTGCTGTTTTTCTCTGGACCGAAAATCTTAGGTTTTTGCACGATAAAATGACAATTTATAAATAACCGCGAACAAGAATCGATACTGCGTAGAGCAATATTCTGTTTACCAACGGGGAGCTCTCCATATCTAGTTTTGTTATATGTAGATATATTTCTCCTAAAAGTCTATTCAGGTTATATTCTCTTATTTATGTTGTTATCTCCGCGTTCAATCGTAAGCCATATTCAGTATGTAGCGAATTACCTTAATCCGACAGGACTTTGTGCCAGTTTGGGAGTAAATATGCCGTGCTGCGTGCTTTCGATTCAAGGGCCAGGTGAAGACTGACCAGGCCATAGCTTAAGTTAGAATTAGAAGATATAGTGGCTAAAGGCAGCCGGGTTTGAGTTTATTATATTTAGGCTAGCTTATTGTCTCTTGAGGGGAGAGAAACAGAGAAATCCGGAAGTTTGATTGACTTTTAGAACGAAGGATACACGAGGATAACATTTCTCCTCCTCGTCAAGGCGTTAAACCTTATAGTAATTAACAAGGGAACCAAACTAATAGGATAATTTGTAGAAAATGACACACATTCATTCTTTGTAGTCTTGTAGTATAGATTAGTCTTAGCTGAAACGAGTGTATAGTGATGAAACAGAAAGTGTATAGTCAGGCCAAATCCTGGAGATACAGTCTCAGACAAAACAAATAGGTTCTCAAGTCTACCATTCATCAATATTCAAGCAAGGTAGTCCATGCCCAAGGCATATCGGCGTCCAGAAGAGCGAGGATCCAAGTAGGGGATCTCCCCGACTCCGCAGACCCGGTTACCGATGCGCTTGCCACCAGTGATACCGCCGTAGTCATAGGTAGCGCTCTGCAAAAATGATCAAGTGTTAAATAAGAAGGTACTGTAAGAGTGTTTTCAGAGCACATAAATGGGAAACTTACATGGTACACGGCTCGGTTGTCCCAGATCACAAGGTCATCCTGCTCCCAGCGCACTCTCGCCTGCAACTGATGGTTTTCAGTGACAAGTCTCTGCACGAACTCCTTCATCATGCGATTCTCGACATCACCCAGGCCCTCAAACTCCTCCAGGTGATGTCCAAACGCAAACAGCGACTTCCAGCCAGTAACGGGGTTGGTACGGACGCATGGGTGAGAAGCCCTTAGCTCTGGCCCTTGGTTCTCAGGTGCGCCACGCGTGCCTTTCCACATGTGGTTAATGATGTCCTCGGGCCTGTGGTCCCAGGGCATAAATGTAGCGTTTAGGGACTCGAGGAACTTCTTCATCGGTGGGCTAAGTAAATCATACGCCTCATACGCGCTGGCAAACATGGTGTCCCCGCCGGACCCTTCGACGGGGACCTTGACCATATGCAGCAGCGTATAATCAGTAGGTACATTTTCGAAGCTACCATCTGTGTGCCATCCATCGGCGCGGCTCTGGTTGCGCTCGCTACCCTTAGAGTAGCCACCTTCGCGGATGTACAGTTTCTTCTTGGTGTTGCGCGATGGCGACATGACTTCAGGGTCGACTGAACCATCGGCCAGCTCCATCTGGTTGACGGGGTGGATGTAAAGACTCGAAGTATATGGGCGCGTGGTGAGCTGCCCGAGGCGGTGGCACAGCAGCTTCTCATCAGCAATGCTTAGATTGGACTGATGACGGAAGACGCAGAATCCGCGCTGAGAGACCATTATGGCTAGATCGCGTAGGAGTTCATCAGCGTTGGGAGCATGCAGCATGTCCGCAACGTTGGCATCAGGAAACTCAGTACCTATCACCGGGGTGATCTCTTTGCGTACATAACCATCTAGGGCTCCAGATGACTTGAGTGGTACGGTTTTCACCGGCGCAGTGAGTCTTAGAGAAATTCCATCAATTCCATTGGCATGGCCATTGGTGTTTGTCTTGGTTTCTGTGACGGTGATAGACATGTTTGTAAACCAACTTAGAAAGATGGGCTGTGGTGCAATAGGAGGTCATACAATCAAATGAAAAGCTCAAGGAAATCTGATAACGAACTTGGGAAGTGAACCTTCAAGAAGCAGAAATGCCCGCTCCTTTATAGTTTTGTCTGCCAGCTCTGAGGCCAGCTATCGGACTTTTGCTTGCACTTCGTGAATTTCAAATTTGAACGCGACAGCCGAAAAAATCCCCTCCTTGTTAATCACAAGGATACGTGCATGATCATAGTAATATTCTGCATACTTGATTTCAAATCATGTCGCGATGATGGCTTCAAATGTTGGATCAAAGTCATACAGTGTGTCAAAGACTCTGGGCTGAACCCTGTCATCGACTGCTTTCCGGACGTCCAGGGCAGATAATCCTTCCTTTATTGGTGTCAAAACCAAAGATAATGCACTGCAGTTACATTCTCCAAGGGGCCTCCATCCGTCCTTCAAGCCGACTACCAGCATGGGTAATGATAATGCTCTTGGCTCTCCTGTAGGGATAAGTGATGTTTCACTTTGAGCTGGGGGATCTCGAAGAAGTCGAGCTCGCCATCATAACAATCCAGGATGATAGTGCAGTAGCGTCTAGGCTCATGCCCAAATAGAGAGTCGATCCCAACATGAAGCCGAGCTCTACATGGGTATCTCAGCCAAGAGGGCATTATATCAACATCTAGTAATGATGGACAGTATAATTGATATCTGGAGTTAAGATGCTCTCTGATCGTCCAAGGTATACCGCAATGGGTTACAGCATACATAACTATATATGGCAACTTTTGATAACTCCGCCAAGAGACTTCAAATATTTTCCTAGTAAAACCGGTGGTGGTCCTTCAGGGATAAGGATGACTTGACGAGATCTTTTACTCTGAGCGCTGTTCCAAATGGACCGACTTACTAGTAGCCGGGAGTATAAAGAACACTGTTGATGGCGTTAACAAGTCTGTCATGCAAAACTGCACACATGGCGCAATTACCACTGAATAGCATTCACCTATGATCGACGGCTGCCAACTCACATCGTGATGCCAAGGTTGAAACAAGGTATCAACAACAACAGAATTAACTGGGGTAAGTCTTGGCAGTATGGTATATGGAAATATAGGCGAGCCTAGGCACGTACTGTCCTGTATCACGCCCTAATGAGAACCTTGGAAACTGGTAGATACCTAGATGGGGCCATTGTTGTGGCCTGTTAGATTTCATGCTCATTCCATATGCATGATCGTATCTGAATTCTTGCGGCGGATCAATCACACCAGTATCCGCGAATGTTACCCTGATTAAGCTAATACCTAGGAGTTGACTTCTAGTTTCGCCGTTTTGTATATAAGGTGGAGAAGCTCACATGGGATATCTGCACTTCGGTCTTCCAAGCATTGGCATCCTTCATACGTTGCGAACATCCGCACTCGATTTCAAATAAAAGGAACCAGCTGCGACAATCTGCTGCAGTAAATACGCCTACGCTAGTATAAAAAAGGTGTGTTGCGCTTCTCGGAGGTTTGGCTAGCGTAGATCAAAGACAGTCGATGCATGCCGAGTCCGGAATTCGGACTCAGACAATTTCCCGATACATGTACCTACATACTGTGTCTCTCACACCGTCCGTCCTAGCTTTGAGTGTTTTAGTTGCCATCATTCCCATTTCTCTTTTGTCCTGGTCGGCAGAGTAGTTTTTCTACAAAATCTTTTCATGGCATCTGTCATAGAAACAAGTCATACCACTGACTCTAGCCGGAGGGGTTCCCCGGATGTCGAACTGCCGGGGAATTCTACTCCCCCGGACACACTCCAATCCACCCCGCATAGCGATGCATCCGCCGTTCAGCAGTTCACAGACCACCAGTCCCGAGAGCTTCCTCACTCCCGGCTAATGGTCGTCTTCCCGGTTCTGGCCTTGGCACAGTTTACGGCATACCTAGACCAGACTTCCATCTCGAGTGTTGTCCCAGCTATCGGTGACGCACTTGATCTGGGAGCCTCATTGCCATGGGTTGCAACCTCTTACTTGCTTGCTACAACTGCTGTACAGCTAGCCAACGGGCGGCTTAGTGACATCTTTGGCCGCAAGCGACTACTCATCACTAGCCTAGTAGTTCTGGCCATCGGAAATTTGGTGGCCGGGTTTGCGACTAGCCCCGGCATGCTGTTTGCGTTCAGGGCAGTCAGTGGCCTTGGTGGTGGGGCGATGTCAGTCAGACTTGATGCCTTTCTAGAGATTGACAACTGACATTTAATGCAGTACTGCTCTGGTTATGATTATTGCCAGCGATGTCACGACACTGCAGCAGCGCGGTAAGTACAACGGCTTTATAGGCGCAGCCGTGGCTTGTGGTAGTGGAATGGGACCGTTGATTGGAGGGGCCATCACGACACATGTTTCGTGGAGATGGACGTAAGTCTTTGGTTGGCTACAATTGACTGTGTTACTGATGATCTTTCCGATTTTTGTAGCCTTTGGTACGATGTTCCGTGGCTTGTCATTCTGATTATGCTTCTATACATGGTTCTCCCCGGTGGCCCGAAGGGAGTCAACACACGGTCGAAGATGAGAATGATCGATTGGGCTGGTCTTTTCATCAGCATTGCAGCTATTGTCCTCCTCGTGGTACGTACCGGTTCTATCTGGTTTCATATGTAGGAGGGTTAACATATTACACCCTCAAAAGATTCCTCTATCTCGCGGCGGTACTACCATCTCTTGGGGTAGCGCTCAAGCAATCGCCATGCTCGTGGTGGGAGCATTTCTGATACTCATCTTTCTTGCTGTCGAGGGGAGGTTTGCATCTCTGCCCATCATGCCTCGTAAGTTACTCCATCCCCTTCCTAGCAAAGTACTAAGAACGCTTCCACAGTACATCTATTTACAGCCGATTTCTCCTGCAACCTTTTGCTCATACAGAACGTTTTGTATGGATTTGTATTCTGGGGGAATCTTTTCTACATGCCCATTTACCTTGAAAATGTTCGCGGATATACCCCTATACTCGCTGGTGCCATTATTATGCCGATGGTTGGCACTCAGGGCATTGGGTCTATCATCTCGGGGCTGATTATCTCCCGCACAGGACACTACAATCATGTTATGATCACCTCGCAATTTCTCTGGATGGCCGGACTGATTGGCCAGATATTCTACTCTGCCACGACCCCTATATGGGTAGTCTGCTTTGTGGGATTCTTCCAAGGTTTGGGAACCGGCGGCTGCTTCCAGCCGAGTCTAGTTGCCCTTTTAGCCCACAGTAGACGAGCTGACCGTGCTGTTTTAAACTCGCTACGCAATTTTCTCAGGACCATGGGTGGCACGCTAGGCTTGACGGTCTCTGGAACCATCCTCAATAATATGCTGCAGTCACAGCTGAAAGGTGTGGTCAGCAAGGGTATCGCTACGCAGCTCGCTGCTTCCGCACATTCTATCGACAGTCTAGGCTTGACAGGGGCACAAAGAGCAGCTGTACTGGATGCATACATGCATGGTATTCATATAATCTTCATCGTGTATGCGCCACTTGTCGGAATATGTGGCCTGGGAGCATTGCTTGTCAGGGATCATGGCCTGGCAGAGAAAGACACCAGCGCGACGCTACAGGTGCGGTCGGAGAAGACTGGCAATGTGACAGACGTTTCGTCCGCATCTACTCCAATATATACTAATGAAGTAGCTGCGGGCTCCAAATAGCTTTACTCCGTGGTCTATTCAGCTATAAACATAAGCTTGTTTGGAGACAATTGCCGTGAATATAGGTTTAACACCACTCAGGCACTCAGTATTGGAGCATAATCGGCAAGTGAACCGTCCATTCTTTTTTTACCATACCAGCACAATTTAAAGGTTGAACAAAAGAAAAGAAAAGAAGAAAGAAAAAAACCAGCAGCCTCTTGTTTAATTAAATTCATGTTGTTCTCCTATTCCTCTTTCTTTAACAAGCAAGCCCTCTTTCGCGAGTAAGGCCAATTGATATCAAACTCGGACTATTCTTGGTTCTATCAAATTGGAACTTCAAAACAATTTCTTAGTCTTTACTACCACAATATTTGTTTGAACATCTCATGAGTGTTCAGTACTCCGGTGTAAATAAATTCGAGCATGATTTGATAAAGACATCACAAAGAGGACAGGAGCTTATACAGTGATTCTGTGAAGTCATATACATTGAGATCTATTTGAGGGCTTTGCTGTGGTTTATTGTAGTAGTGTTTTGGGTGTAATTTGCAATTGGCATCCGAGATATCGAGTTGTACATGTAGCAATTCCTTGCGTCTAATGATCTCGTTTTGTGTTAAGACAACATGTATTTATGTTTATGTGCGTGTGGCTGATAATTGGAAGGCGTGGACATATCTTCTCCAAATTAGCTCACTTGAAATTCAAGATGACATAGAATATGTACTGAATTATCATGTCTAATGTATGCTATTCTCAGATGAATTATTTCACCTGCTATCTATTCATCATCTAAGCTCACACATCATAGTTACTTAGACTCATAGGAAGCAACATGTAGGCCTGGATTTGTCATAATCTAAATGACATGTGTCATGATGTAGATTCTTAGTGTAAGTATATGACTCGAACATTCTTTGTCCTCTGGGAGAATATACATAGGGCGTATTTCACCTCTAGCAAGATTGGGATTTGAGACTGATCGTGCCTTACAAGAATCAATACTTTCATACTTTCTTTCCAGATTCAAACACTCTCACTCAGCGCCATACCCTATGTTCCAATCCAAACGACCCAGGCTACGTTTGCTAATCATTGTAAGAACATATATCTTGCGGCAATCATCAACCGTTCTTTGATAGTGAGATTCAATCTTGCGTTAAACAGCCCTTCCAGGTATGTCAATCTTCATATTTGAACTCATTATACCTAGATATTCATACGCTCAACAACCTTAAGTTCAGAGACACCTAACAACCTCCGTTCGGCAGTTTGGATACCCAGACTGAGCGTTATCTTCCAATATGTCTTTGAATGAATATCTCCTAAGCCATATAATTTTGATTGAACTTAAATCTACGAAAAGCCCCTTTCATATATGAATCACGCAATGTAAGAACATTATCATGCAAATTTACCTCAACTGCTTAATCGCTCTTAGCCTGGTTCTAGAATGTTCGCGCTCCGTATTAGATTGCTCATATGTTACATGCTGGAAATGAAATGAATTAATATCGAACAGTAGCAATATAGGGGGTAGACCAGACCGTAGCCCAAAGAAGGTTGTCGTAGTAAAAACAGCTAGAACATGTACACGTTAAAGTATTGTCTCTCACAGAATATTTAATTCGAGCAGAGTGCTTCGTAGTTGGGTGATTCTCTTCATCAGACCATCCTCTTGCAGCTTGACGGTAGTAAGTGCGCTTTTAACCAGAAGTGTACCAGGGCCTGTTGCGCACTCAGAAGCTGTGAGATCCTGCTTATTGTTTGGTTTATCGACACCTATAGCCTCTATGACTTCACTCATTCGGGTCAACAAATGACGCGATAGCTGGAGTATGAGCAAGATCTGGGTGGCAGAAGAGTCTGGCAATGAGAAGGATCCAACCTTCACAGATGGGAGGTTGACGTAGTCTTCTCGATCAGTCACAGAGGAGCGGTCCAAGCATGCCTGCATATTAGCAAATATTCGATCATAGATCTCGATCAGCCGTGTGTAGCAGGAAAGGATCAGAAGAAAAAATCCTTGGTCAACTGGGGCCGTCGAGGATTGTGTGACATCACTTGATGAATCCTTTGACACATCCACCGAAGCCGTTTCTAGATAACGAGGATATTGTTTGTTGAGGGCTTCAATGAGTCGCTGGGAAAGCTGGAAAGTACGATCAATCGCAAAGTCCTTGTCCTTCCAGCTCAGTGGTTCGGATAGGGACACCGGGGGCTTGGGTACCGTCGTTTCATGTGCAAATAGTTCGACATTCAATTCTGACAATTGGCGCATTGTAGTTAAGAGGCATGGGGACTTTGAATTGCTCCTCACCACGTCGTTTACCGGGTTCGTAGATATTCCTGCTAAAGGAACAGGAGCCTGCGAGGATAGCAATGCCCATTCTTGGTTAAACTGCTGCTGCCAGCACACCTGCAATGCACCTTGGGTATTATGATACATGTCCGCAGACCCCAACCAGCCTGTGGACGCTGGCATTGCGTTTGAGCCATCTGTGCCACTTTCGCGAGTGTAATTATAGTTGCCTGAGCCCTGTAGTGTCGGTGATGGAGAGCGAGCAGAAGCTCCGGGTTGGGTCACCCCAGGACTTGGTGCAAACGGCGTTTGTAACAGATCTAAGTCTAGCGCAGTGGCCATGTTTGATGAGGGCAATTGATTGAAAAACACACTCGGTGAATAGTTGGGGAGTGGTGTGCCGGCGGAGACAGGCGAATGTTGGTCTATTATATGAAAAAAATTCCTGGTTAGCTACGAACCTGCTCCTAACATAAAGATGTTAGATACGAAAGCAGTATGAAAAGGAGTTCGAACTTTTTGAAGGAGTGTCCGGCATAGTCATAATCAGCGATTGAGTGAACAACCGTTCCTGCTGGCGACCCATAATGGAACTGGATTCGTCCAAGTACTGTCTCCGAGATCGCAACGACTGGCTCCAGCGACATGTGGCCTTGGCTTTGACGCACCGCACACACGGGCCGCGTTCAGTATGAATGCACCGGAGCTTTTGGCCGTGGCAGCGGTCACAGGCGTAGCGCTGAGTGGGCTTTACCATGGTGGAATAACAAACGAAAAAGAGAGATAAAAATGATGAGCTATGCGGACTAGGTTAACGTTGGGCCGTCAGCCAAGGAGCGCGGTGAAACAGCTTTTTACAAGTCATAGAATCGCTTGTGAGTCGCAGGTCATTGGAAACGAGGGTTGTGACGATACTCACTCAGAGACCAGGATCAACATGGATATTTGTCGATGTAGAATGAGAGAGGAAGAGAAGAGAGAGAGATAGGATGCGCATTTGTCAGACGGGTTTCAAACCTGTTTAGCCGCGAACTTACTAGTCTGTCTACCCAGGAACAGAGAAAGTAAAGATCCACTTAAGGTATCCGGTAACAGCGTGGTAGCCTTGACTCGCCTCTATAGAAGCGTATCATCAGGATTGACAGGTCGCAGCTACAGAGTTCGATGCCAAAAGTCCTGGGAAAATATATATCAGCGTGGCTACGTAGGTAGTCAGGATGAGAATTTTATAGCCCGTCGTACAGCCTTACTCTCTCTCTTAGAATAAAAACATGTCCGGTCTATCTAGTGAAATGGTTAATAGAGCCTTCTATACCTGCGTATACAGCTAATATAAGGAGCAATCACATAGTTCCAGCTGCAACCAGTCGCCGGTGGCCTCAGGCGCTGATTGCCCGCTAAGGCGAATCGGTACTAGGCTGTGGATCTCCCTGCAGGGCCTGCTATTGGTCGTCAGCCCTTCGGCGATGGCGGCTTGGCGTTTCGGCGGTCGGCGAGCGGTGGGTCCTGCCTTATTTGGCCATTTTTGTAGGTACGCTTCATAAGAAACGTCCAGCGCCGAGTTTTGTCCTGTAAGCTCGCGTTGTTCGCCGAAAAGCCTTGCCATCAGTGTATGCATGGATGATGTGAGGTCTTCCCTAGCACCCAAGCACCGAAGAAATTAGAAATCAACATGTGTTGTTGCGTCTATTTCTTCTTGAGGTCGTTCCCGTTCCTATCTTCCTTGCAATGAGAAATGTCAAGACAACCTGAATCTAAACAACATCACCATGGCAGACACCGACGCGTCGACGGAAGCGAATCTCAACAGGAGCGAGGAGGGCCTCATCAAAAACGAAGCAGAAACCCCAGAGTATGCAGTGAATGCGGGAGATGACGTCGCAGACGAGCAATTGACCAAAGCCCAGGCTCTCCTGCTGGTGTGCGCTCTAGGTGTAAGTGCTTCTTAGGAGTTCGATGAAGCGAATGATTTACGGCTAATTGGTCTTTTTATAGCTTTCAACCTTCATTGCGGCTCTCGAACAAACTATCATCTCAACTGCTTCACCAACAATTTCGAGATCTTTTCATACCAGTGAACTGGATTTCACTTGGATAGGAACAGCCTATCTGCTTTCAGCTGCTGGTAACCTGCGCCCTAGTGAATCTTCCATAGCATGACTGACCCTAGCAATGATATTGCTCAGCTTCGACTCCGCCATGGGGCAAAATAAGTGATATCTTCGGCCGCAAGGTGAGTGCCAACAAGATGATTAAAGGAAGGAGTCCGCATTGCTGACTACAGCTAGCCAATACTGATGGTAACCATCATCGTGTTCTGGATTGGGTCCCTGATCGGCGCATTGAGCGTCAACATAAACATGTTGATTGCGGCACGTGTCCTCCAAGGCATTGGTGGTGGAGGCATCCTGGGTTTGTCCGCTACAATCATTGGAGATGTCTTTAGTCCGCGGTACAGATCTGAATGCGCCTTTGATTTAAGTGCAATGTCGCAAATACTGACTACGTTACAGTGAGCGAAGTAAGTACTTTGGCGTGCTTGGCGTCGTCTGGGGAATGGCTTGTGGGCTAGGGCCAATCATTGGCGGCGCATTCTGTCAGTATGTGAACTGGAGATGGTGTTTCTGGATTAACTGTAAGTCCTCAAGTTGTCATTTACGAATTTCGACATACTCATGTGAGATAACTAGTACCCGTGGCGGGCGTGGCGGGAGTTCTCTGCTTGTTATTCCTTAAAGTGGAGAGCCCTCGAACGCCTATCTGGGAAGGATTGAGGGCTATGGACTGGCTCGGAACCACTCTGATCGCGGGTGCCACCGTGATGTTTCTGCTTGGACTGGGATACGGCGGGGTCACGTATCCCTGGCACTCGGCTATCGTCATTTCTCTTATTGTATTCGGCATTGTCACGCTCTTCGTCTACACTCTCGTTGAGTGGAAGATTGCCAAGTACCCCATCACACCGTTACGCTTATTCAAATCAATCTCTAATGTTGCCACGTTTGGAATCGCCTACCTGCATGGTGCCGTCTACATCGCGAATTTCTACTACCTACCGTTGTATTTCCAGGCCGTCCTGGGCGCGTCTCCCATCTTGTCCGGCGTCTATCTTCTCCCCGTCGCTGTCACCTTGTGCGTTGCATCTACTCTAACAGGTGTCTACATCAGCAAGACTGGTCGCTACCGCCCACCTATCTACTTCGGCCTCATCATGATGATTCTTGGTGACGGTCTGTACACCGACCTACAACCGTACACGTCGTGGTCGCGCATAATATTTTTCCAGATCATCGCAGGTGTGGGCCTTGGACCCTTGTTTCAGGCGCCTATCATCGCGGTGTTTAGTTTGACCAAGGCAGCCGACATCGCCAGTTCCGCGGCTACGGTGTTTTTCATGCGTGATATCGCGACTGCCATGTCCATCGTGTTTGGTGGGGTTATCTTTGAGAATCGCATTAACGCGCATGCGAGTGAGATTGATGCTGCGGTGCCTGCTAGCCTGGCAGCGCAAATCGCAGGAGGTGATGCTACGAGTGTCACAGATGATATTCGCGCCTTGTCAGCGGATGCACGCACTGTCGTTGCAGAGGTCTACACCAAGGCCCTCCAGGACGAATGGATATTTTACACGGCTCTGTCTGCTGGGGCTCTTGTGCTAAGTGTGCTGATCAGTAAACAAGTGTTGAGCCGCGAGCATAAGATCAATAAGCAGGGATTGGATGTACAGGAGGCTAGTCGACTGGAAGAGCTAATCATGGCGAATGGGGACAAGACTGACACGACTTCAGCCTGAGTTGGCGATAGATGGCTTCATGGTCAGCAGATTCATTCATATGTACTGTGTCAGCTTACGCATGTAGTTTCCCCCTCAATATGTGAATTTTTAGTACGAGTGTCTATCTGTTGAGAAAAGTTTATATAGTAGTAATTTCCATTTTCATCCTTTCCTTTGATGTCACTTTACTAGTACCGCGTTCGTCGCTCATGTCAAGATCGAATTAATGAAAATATGCTTCTATCCATTCTGAGTATCCGGCCCGACGCATCTCTGTCTCTTAGATATCTCTGAACAGGGGCTAGAATTCCAGCCAATCGGACCATTATTTATTAAGCTTTCATTATCAGGTGATCTTTTGCCTTGCATATGTCGATTAGACAGCGGGAGATTACTCTCCGGTAGGAAAAGAAGCGGAGGAATCTCCTCGACTTGAGTATTTATATCTGGAGTCAAAGTGTTGACATTGGGTGAGAATGAGGGCAAAGATATGCTGAGTGCATGAGTGGGTTCACTTAAATTACCAGCTGGACCCGACGACCTGATAGGCGCTATAGGATGCTTGAAGCTGAAAGTGGGTATCTTGGGTGATGAATTGAGTTGCAATTGTTGTTGCCAGGTTGGCCATCCGGGGGTTGAGTCTTCTTGTGCCTGAAAGGAAGAGGTATTGTTGAAGAAAACAAAGGGATCTTCGAATAATGGAATACTAGACATGGATGTCACTTTTTGAGACGATGGCTCGGGCTCTAGTGAAGATGACAGTGAGCGCGAATTGTCGGATGAGAACCCTGCCATTAAACCCTGCCATTTCTTACATGCGACTTTGAGTTGACGTTTAACGGATCGCCAGCGGTGGTCTTGGAGGAGCACATCGTCGTCGAACAGGCCGTGGAGAGCAGATCCGGCATCAAAGAGGTGTGCGAGTCGATCTTGCCAGGATATCTGTTCGCCCGGCGCGAGCTTAGCCAGAATGTGGGCTAAGGCTCGACCAGTGGCATCAAGGGCGAGGATATAGAAATGAAGTGCGGCTGAAGCTATGTTGGTTGGCTGGGCGGCATTTTGTTTTGCAACAGATTGAATAGCCGGAAAGAGCTGTTTAAGGCCGTGCATGGATTTGGAGAGTTTCTGGAAGAGAATGTCGGAGAGAACCGGCGGATGGCAGTTGCTTTGGTCCTTTCCATGAGGAAAAAGTAGTTGGATGGACAGAGCGTGATAAAATGCTAGTAGGGCAGATGCAGCCTTGCTCTCCAAATGTTGGGTCTGCACCAATGCGATAACATCCAGAATAGCGTCACGCGAGTCGCTGCAAATCTGCGCCAGACTGCGTCCTTGATGGAGCAAGTGATCCAGCCGGCGGAGGACTAGGTCCTGCCAGGGGTGTGACTCGGGTTGTCTGCCTGAAGAGAGCCGTGGATACAAGGCATACATATTTGCAGACAGCGAGGTGACATGCGATAGGAGCCAGACGGACTGTAGAGACGAGATTTGATGTTTTAAAGTAGAAAGATTATGTGTAGCACGGTCAAGCTGTAGTAGCATTGAATCGGCTTCCGTGCTGGCTGGGAGGACCTGCATCAGCCCAGCCGGTAGTAGATCTGCCAAAGACATGTCCATTTGAATGAAGGCCCAGGTGGTGATGGCCAAAGCTACCCAGCATATGTTGTGAATCACCTCTGCTTCGACTGCGCCATGATCAATCCCATTGATCTGTGTTTGGTTCCTTGAAGACGACTCGTGCAACTGGCACTTCAGCATGGTTGCGATACGACATGCATAACCAATATAACATAACGCTCGGCGTGAATGACAACGGCAGGCATGATACCATCCCAACAGCAAGGTGATCTGAGCAGTAATAATGTCCGCCTTATTAGCAGAGAGGAGGTATAATTGAGAGATAGCCCATTTCAGCATGCGATCTTCTCTGGCTGAATCATCACTGAAGTGATGAGCGTCAGCCAAGAGAACTCCCAAAAGAACTTGGTTTGCGGAGTCATTGCGTATTTCGCGCAGGAGGAGGGTTTTGGAGATTATGATTGATAGCGGGTGGTTGTTGAACCAAACCTCGAGGTGTTGGGTGATTAGAGAAGGACTGTATTCGTCTAACACATCAGATGAACAGGGCAGGGATTCTGAGGCCTCGAACATGCTATCAATTGTGTCTTGCAACATACATGCCCGGTAGAACCGTTCACCGGGTCCGAAGAACGGCTGACAGTCTAAATTTCCAAACTTTACAGCCACTGTTTCCACCAGGTCTTGGGTCAACAGCGCAAGGAAGGCTGGGTAAGTCAAAGTACCTGGCGGGGTTGAGGCATCGTGTCTCGCTTTCCCCGCGGCCAGGTTCCTATTGAAGGAAGCAACACGCTCATGAAAAAGGTTTGATGGAGCAGCGACGGGTTCAGCTCCGAAATTCTCGCGAAACATGACATCCAATTCAGCCATGACACTGATACTGATCGAAGCGGCCGCGCTATCGCTGTCCCCCACATTACTCCTGTTAGAAGCAGCAGCATCATTCTTATGACTACGAGGACGACCCTTGGGAGTCTCCAGATCGTAGACACACTCGATGGAGCGCTCGCGACAAGCTTTGCAGATGGTCTCGCCGGAGCAGGCTATTTTGCGAGAACGACAGAGGCCACAGCTCCGGCGTAATTCGGATGTCTTAGCCATGTGAGGTATTTGGGATGTAATATCAATGGTAAATCGAGTAACCATCAGGCATTTTCCACATGCTATTGGCACGAACAGGCGTTGTTAAGTGTGTGTTTATGAGATGGCGGTTCCTTTCTGCGTGGGAAGTGGAATAGTTGAATGAGTTGATCCTCGCTATGGACTGCTGTGATTGGTCGATATCTAGTGGGGACCCGCAAAGTGCCACTTTACCGTAAGTGGCACTTTGCGGGTTACTTACTTTGGCCTAGCGTAGTTGTTGCAAGATGCTATTGGCCCATTGCACGCAGGGGAATAGCATCTACAACGATGAAACATGTATATTGTTCTTGTCTAATTCTGCTATTCCAGTTCGCCAAAGAGAAACTTCATCGTGTAGTCTGGTCAAATCTGACTGGAAACTCGGCATCATCAATATCCATCCCCCTAGGTACACTTACGCTGCTTCTCTTTACATCATCGTCACCCAAATGAATACTCCGGATCGGTCCTATCAATTTGATGTATAGTATTGGCATGTTTGCCTAGCATTAGAGACGGTTTTATATATCTAGGTTGATATGCGCTAAAATTCAACTATAGGAAAACAGGAAAACTAAAGAGCGGAGTTTTGCACATGGATCGAAGCCTAGTCAGCCCTACTAGCCTTCTAAAACTTCCAATAGTTGGGTGAGCCCACAAGACGCGAAACAATGGTGACTACCGCGCCGCCAGTGAGAATAAATGCACAAAAATCAATGAACCCGTACCACTTTCCATGATCTGTAGTGAGCAGCGCGCCTGCGATTGGACTGCCGGTTAATCCACTATAATTAGACGTCGTTAGCAAATCACAAGCCAAACAAATAACATGATAGGGAAAAGGCATGAAGTAGGCTACCCTATGGAGCAGAAAGCCATCATCAGTCCGATTCTTACGCCGATAATGTTATGGGCTGGGGTAATTTGACCGATGCATGCGGACTGCAGAGAAATCAAACCACCGGAGCAGATACCGTAGAGGACTGAGAATGCGACGATGGCTCCGGGGGCCGTTATACGGTGGAGACAGAAAAGTAGGATACCGCAACTTAGTGATGCAAGAGAGATCATGTTGAATCTGCAGCGGGTTCGCGATTAGTTGCAAATTCAGATTATTATTGTAGGAAGTCAAATCACACACCGCCCTATACGATCGGATAATATACCAGTGAAGACACGTCCAAGGAAAGACCCGGCATTCATATAGGCCAGGAGATTATTCGCCGCAGCTGTGCTCATGCCATAACTCTCTCCGTAAGAGGGAAGATAGAAGAAGGGGATGAACATTCCCCAGAGGACGAGCAGCATCCCCAAGCTGAAGAGTATGTATGTCTTATTGTAAAGGATCTCCTTGAAGTCGACCTTCGAATCTTCACTCTCTCCTGGCTCCGGCGGACGAGTAATGATCAGAAAGCAGCTGGGGATGACAAATGCCAGGCTTATGAACCCACAAGCACGGACGGACCATCCAAAGCCAATCTTTTTGAACATATAGCTGATCAACTCGGTCCAGAAAATGCCTCCGAGAGAAGACCCCGATACGGCAAGGCCCAGGGCAATGCCTCGTTGTTTATCGAACCACTGGTTAATCGCTGCTATGGTAGGATAGAATCTGAGGTTGTTTGTTAGTATGATAAGACCTAGCCTCAGAATGCGTAAACTTACAAAAGAGCATTGGCGCAGCCAAAAGCAATGCCCTGGGCTAAGATAAGTTGATAGTATTTTTTACACACACTGGTGAGCATCAAGGAAGTGACATAGATCACGGCTCCTGGCACGAGCAGCCTCGTCGCGCCTACTTTGTCATACAAAGGACCGACCACCAGGCCACCGATGAAAAGCAGAAATATCTGGTGAAGTGAGTTAGGAAGATAGAGAGGCAAAGGAGGTATTCTGACCTGCAAAGATCCGATCCAAGCAATCTTGGAACTTGACGTTCCTGCGAGAAGGTCCTGTTCGTAATAGGTCTGGAATGTACCAAAAGCATTAAGAAACCCTGCATAGAGACATTAGAACCTCCTGATAATGAAAGATAAAAAATAAAAGGGTACACAAGCAAGTTACCAAAAGTTGGAAAATAAATGAGTAAGCCTCCTGCCACGATCAACCAAGCACGCGTGCTCGTGTCTTTCGATGGTATGGGTCGACTGCTATAATCATTGGGAGGCATCTTCAAGTGTGAGACAGAGTGATTAAGCAGGGGATCAGAGTGTGCAGCACAAGTTTGGCTCCAGTCTTCTACTTGGAGGAAAGAACCGAGTATTCAAACCCTTTGGCGGCTTGTTCCAAAATTGGCTCGCTTTTTTTATGTGAAGGTTCGAACAGCTCCAGAGGAGGTTGTGCACTCGGTGCAGAAGTAATACGACTCTGGTGAGGTGAGCATCATTCTTATATCAGTGAATTTTGCTGGAAAGTGAGTCAAGTAGATTCTGGAGAGGGACAGGAAAGTCTCCGTCGACTAACGGAAGCATACATAATAAGCATGGCGTAAAATCAAAAACCTCCGTTCCGCGGCGCAGGAAAATAAGTCTCTGCGTGATTATATGATTTTCTCCCCATCTTCTTGAATTATTTACTATAGACCCCGGCTTTGGACGGAGACTTATAGTCATGATGTGTCTTCGTCGTTGTAAATAAATATCTCCCCCTTTCTACGTCCAAGGAGGGTCTCCAACCTACATATTCTCAACTTATAGCACGATTCTTCTCTCTAAAGAACTATGGAATCCCCTGTCGCCTTCTTCGGCGCAACTGGCGGTTGCATCAATGCTTGTCTCGCCCATACACTCAAAAACGGCTACCACGCCGTCACTCTCGCGCGAACCCCGTCCAAACTCATTTCGCTTCTCCGGTCGCAGGACATCTCACAAGAGATCCTAGACACGAATCTCCGAATCATTCAGGGAGACGTTCTTGATTTGGATGCCGTCAAATCAACCATTTTGCTCACAGACAACTCAGAACAACCAACAGTTGTTCCCCATATCATCACCGGGATTGGGGGCCACCCGAAAGTCCGCAACATGCATATCGAATTCGATTTTCCCCATATCTGCGAAGAAGCTACACAGTCCCTGCTATCAGCTCTTCGGGAGATTTATACGGCCCATCCTCGGATACAACGGAATCGGCCGCTGTTGACCGTGATCTCGGGAATGGGGATCGATCCAAGCATGAAGTGCCAGGACGTACCATTCTTGATCCGCTGGCCGTTTCATACGTTCTTGCAGGTTCCTCATGCAGATAAATGGAAGATGGAGGTGTTGCTTGGGGAGGAGGAGTCGAGGCGGTTGTTTGCAGGAGTTGTGGTTGTTCGTCCGGGTAGTTTGTTAACAGGAGATCATTCGGTGACGTCGGGGAAGGGGCTGGACAAAGTTCGAGTTGGGAACAAGAAAAGCCCAGTGGTTGGGTACACGATTTCCAGGGCAGATGTGGGTGAGTGGATTTTTAAAGAGATTGTGGCGACGGGGGGGATGAAGTGGATGGGAGAGAAGGTGACATTGTCGAGTTGGTAGGACTGGTTGTACAACTAGAATGAATTTATTCCTTTCAGACTTGAAATGGATGGATGTAAACTATTCAAAGCCGCTTGCCCGCTTCATCTATCTTGTACAGCACGGCAATGTGCACGTTAGATCTTTGCTGCAACCTCCACGATAACTTCAAGCACTTTATCTGGTACACTCAAAAACGGTATATGTCCAGATGGCAAGCGCACAACATGATCATACTTTCCATATTGAACTATCACGTCCTGGTATGGTGCTGGGATAATCTGGTCCTTCTCGCAAATAACATATGTCTTCGGAACAGTGACATCGGCTGTGATATACTCCGGAAAAGCGCACATGGATTTCCACGTCTGTTGTTTGAACAGCAATAGCCATGCTTCATTGGCTTCATGGTCAGTGAGGTCATTGAACATAATGGATTTAGACGAGTCTTTGAGTTGGAGTATGCCGTCCTACAGAGCAAAGAACCTGTCCGAAATAATAAAGTACGACAACGAATTATCAAAGCGGTCGGGTTTCAAGGCCGGTAGCCTCGGTTTCCTTACAGACACAGTGATCCAAGACGCTATAGGAGGATCATTATCGTCATTCATAAAGCTTTTCCCTCGTGCAGGAAAGGCATAGCCGGCTACTGTGATGAGCGCTTCAACGCCTCCTTTCAATCCCCTGGCACTGCGCTCGGCAGTGGAATGGCCTATCACGGCCGTTGAAGCGGGAAGATTTCCGTAGCTATGTGCCACAATCACCACTTTTTTGCCTTGGTCTAGTACTGGCAGCAAAACTTCTTGCAAGGCACGGTGGTCATCAGTCATGTCAAGGGCAGTGTTAATATCTGCGTCTGCTGATGTGGCTAGTGCCAGAATGAAAACCTCATAGCCCTGTTGCCGCAGGAGTTCAACAACTTTCCTGTAATGTGCGGCGCGTAAAAGCATGCCAGGCACAAGCATAATAACGGGTTTAGATGCTTCAACCATCTCGATCTTTATTCTAAGGCTTTCCGACGTCGTTAATGCGTCGTGTAGAGCCGTACAGAGGTATATGGAGGTATTTATCTACGATGTCCAAAATCTCGCAACGCAGACTCTGCGGAGACTGACCAGTGCAACGCTTTCCACTATTTGTGCGTCATCTTCAGCTTCGGACAGTAACTTTATTTTTAAACATTGGGTACAAGTTGCTTCAGCTGCAGAGTGGAGTTCTTAGTCTTTTCTAGTGCTTATGTATTTAGCAAGTCTGCGACGCGTATTATTAATCCAACAATTGAGGCCATCAAAATCATGCCACCAAACTTGCGCTTCAATTCAAAAGTTGAAAGAGGAACATGGTGCAGGTCCTTACTTGCAAGCTCTTCTTTGCCTTAAAAAAAAGGGGGGGCAGAAAACACCATATATCCGTCGAGCAGGTAGGCATTATAATTTCTCTTTACTCCTTACTCCATACTCTGTAAGACCCACTGGACGGACAGTTACATGTACATGTAACAAAAACCATGAGCTGAACCTGTCTCCACCTAACACCAGGTTTTTGAACATACAAGTGTAAAAACATAATACTTTTTGACACCTTACTGCTCTGTAGAAATCAATACAGTACCTAGTTACGCCGTAAGAAGACTTCCAAAGCTCTCCAAGGAATAGGGTAATATGTCCTTATGCCGGCATCAATCAGCCAAATATAAACACTAAATGGCATCACTGGACTGTACCCTAGCCGGGCCAGCCCTAGTTAGCATACCAACAAAGTCAACTGACTAGAATTAGATTAGAACTGATTCGTAGCGGTCAGATGCGCATTGGATTTCCTTTCCTTGACTGGGGCAAGTTCCGCGTAAGCGCAACTGTTCTTAATCGAGAATGATCCAACAGGACCTCAGCTTTCTGTTTTCGGTTTTTATATAAAACTAAGAATTCCACTATATTTCCTCAATAAAAAATTATCGCAACTTCATTTTAAGCACTCAGCAACACATAGAGATATGACCGCTTCTGCACCCCTTCTTCCTCGCAAGCCGTCGGACTTCAAACCCGTCATCTCGATTTACAATCATATCTCAATCGCCGCGCCGCCGCTCGCTGTCTTCTCAGCTGTTCTCAATACTACTACCTGGTCCTCTTGGAACTACTACAACCCTAGTGCAACCATTTATTACCGCCCTCCGTCAAGTGTCCCCCAACCAAAACCATCCTTTCTCGACACTGTTGCTGAATCATCATCCAGCTTTCTTTCGCCCGGTTGCAAGTTCACAGAGTTTCACTGCAAGGAAGCAGAGGAAGCGGGTGTGGGGAAGCCTCAAAATCTTGAAATTGTAGCCATCGAAGAGCTGCAGTCGCAAGATGGGAAGAATGGATATCGAATTGTGTGGCGCTTGCTTGATTGGTCGGACTGGCTGATGAGAACTAGGAGAGTACACGAATTTGTAGCAAGTGGAAATGGGCAGACGGAATATAATTCTTGGACCGAGCTCGGAGGGCTTCTGGCTTGGATTGTCAAGTGGACATCGGGGGATCGAAAGATGAAGTCTCTTTTCGAAAAGTCATTTGAAGGCTTGAAGGTATATGTGGAATCTGAGGGAAATCAAGTCCAGTTTTTGGATAACTAATCAAACGCAACGAAGATCGTTCCATCTTGTTAATAGAATACATTCACACACCATGGTAACCCCTTAGTCTCGTGTCTACTTCGATCATTCAATATACATCCGCTGTATAGTTGGGAAATTTTATTTTATAAGGAATACAATCAACAGACTCAAAAAAATGGCTAGTAGATAAGAAGATGCCACTGCTCCTCTACAGTCAATACTTGTGAGCACTCACCGTTCTACAAAGAATAGGATAGCCCCCCCAAAGATCAAAATATCTACTTTTATTTATTGAGATTTCATTGGTACCGTGAATACACGCATTATCCAGGTCAAGCCTGTCTTAACCTTGTACTATCATTTTGATAATCCATGCAAACTCCCTTGTGAATTCGCACATTTTGGCGAACTTCCATTAGAAGAAATTATCTAGTAGGACTACAGAATTACATTAGCATGTTCCTACGGTTAAGAGTGGCTTGATGCTTGGCCTAATTGATTCCGCGTCCTCTTCTTACTTTGGTCCCAAACATGCCTTCACCGATGAACATGTCGTCTCTTCGACGCTCCCGAGAGCCAAGCAGTTTACTCTTGATCACGACCTCATTATTTTACTACCTGACCTTTACCCCACTATATAGATCCTTGCCAAGCCATTGAGGATGTTGATAATTGCCTGTTTGGGCATGAATTAGCGCGATGTTTTGCAGGCTAAAATGTGTACGTCGACAAAGCAAGTGACAACTATGATAGATGCAGGTCCGTGACATGCTCGTGCGCTTTCTGCTCAGACTTTACGCAGACACATGGACGCTGCTGTGAACTTTAAACACGCCCAGGCGCCCAAAGTGTGGAACAATGTAAGCAAAGCTGGATAACTTATTCGAGCTAGTATTGATGGTGCGCAACAATCTATCTATAGTTAATAACATAATCTTATCTTTAAAAGTGTCCTGACATTGTTCAATATCCATCTTGTCTACTTTCTGTCTGGCAAAAAATTGCGCAAATCTTCTTGTAAGCTTGCTGCTCCACAGACAGAAAAGAGACTGCGAAGCACAAAAGAAGGGGCATTATCATGTAGAGCATGCCTACTAAGTGCGCACTTACAAATCCTGGCATTCTAGACGTGGATAAGCGAGCTTGGTATTCGGGAAAGCCGTGATACAAACTGGGACACTGTAACTTCCAAGTTGTCTATCGAAATAAGATTTAGTCAAATCCCGAAAATATAAACGTCATCGGAAGCATCCGGCGACTTGTGCCGATATTCACCTTATTTGCATTGGATTTTATCCTAATTGCTCTTACCTTCCACTGCCATGAGGTGCAAGTGTGGTGTAAGAGCCAACTAGATCCGGCGTGGGAATCACTTTGGCCCCAGATACATACTACCCCCGTGGGGTACTCCACTTATCAGGGTTTTGGAACAACTGGTTCGGGGAAATTTGTAGACTCGATTCGTGAATAGACAATGTGCATTGGCATTTTCCAAGACTTTCCCCGCATGTTACTGAGAAGAGTTTGAGGAATAAATACTTGCCCTTTATCCTTTGATCTGGCCGGCGTTATGTTTTACCAGGCTTTTCTCTGACTAACGTAATCCACCCCCGAACCGCCACCACCACCGACCCGCTACTTCCGCTGAAAACGCGTCAAAATATTCAACCTTCTATATTTAATATATTAATATACCACTAATTCATAATAAAAATCGTATAAAATCTGAAGAATAAGAAGGATGAATTTTATTAGTTATTTTTAATTTATAGAATAAAAAAATTCTTAATATTGAATAAGTAGCAAAAATTTATAATATTTCTTAAATAACTCTCTAAGATTGACTAAAAGGCACCCAATAATAGTTTTAAATATGCGTTAATGGATATAAATTAACTTAGTTTGAAGAGGAATTGCTTATAAAATAGATATTAGATTTAAATAAGTGAGAATTACCTCTCTAATCTTTTATAATATAAGATATAACTAATATTCTTCTTTCTCAGTATAGAAATTAAATAGTTAGCAAGAACTAGATATATAAACTAGTTTAATATTAATTAAAGCTAAAATTATGATTTTTATAAAGATATAACTATGAGTATATTAAATACAAAGATTTAAAGATAATTGAGAAATATTTTGATTGTGTATAAAAGACTATAACTAAGTATAAAATCCTATCAAAGGATATTTATAACTTTAATAAGATTGGCTTTATAATAGGTCTTTATATAAGCGCAAAGATTATTATTGGAAGTGATTAATATAGCTATTTATATCTATTATAATTTGGTAATTGAGAATAAGTAATTGTAATTAAGACAGTTAATTTTATTAATTAGGTCTTGTCTTTATATATAATCTTTAAAGCTACTAAATATTTCTAGAAAGATTAATTTGAGACCCTTTTAGATAATTAGAAGATTAATATTAGTGATAATAAGTAGATAATAGATTAGATTAGTATGGATTAACTTATTAATTACTTTATTCTTTATATAAATGGCTGGATAATTAAATAATATTAAATATTGATTCTTAATAACTATAGAGGCCATTTAATTATTAAATTTAATTATATATATACTAAAAATAAGATTATTCCAATCTATATACTTTTATATTCTTTATATCTCTTATAGCCTCTCAATGTTAGCTATTTTGTAGTTTTAAAGTAATAATATAGAAAACTTATTAAGTAATAGATGAGACTTAGCTTTAATTATATTAATAAAATTGACTTTCTTACTATATTTTTAAAAACCTATATAATAGTATATAAAGCTAAGACTATTTAGAATAGCTTTAAAATAATTAGATTAATACTATTAGATCTAGATTAAGTTTATTAATAACTTATTATCTAATTAAAGATCTTAATATTATCTTCTTATTTATCTAGTAATTTTTAATTCTCTTATCTTTAAACATCTCAAAATCTATATTAATTTAAATAATAATTAAGTATAATTAAGTAATAAATTAATTAATATATGTAGAGCCTATTTAAGATTATTAATAAAGTAATTAGCTATATATTAAAAGCCTACAAGACTAGTATTAATGAGCTTCTTATTATATAGAAGAAAGTTTATAATTTATAAGCTGTAAATAAGAAAGAAAAGTAAAAGCATTAAAGATTTATAAAATAAATAACTTATAAATAAGGAATTATTAGAGAGAAAGCTTAGATATTTATAAATTAGCTAGTTAAAGCATTTTAAATTACTACTACTACTCTAGCCGAGCTAGAGCTTCTAGCCTCTTAATCATGTGTACGCCGCTAATTTCAATATAGTGAGTGTGGAATTTTCAGACATAGAAGGCCTTAATGCCCTAATTATACTAGTAATTAACTTTTTGTATATAATTATTATTTTGGGTTGAAATTTCGGGTTAAAATTAATATAGAGCGCGTTTTTCAGCGGAAGTGGCGGGTCGGTGGTGGTGGCGGTTCGGGGGTGGATTACGTTATTATAACCACCATATCCAATCACGTAAGTGCTGTCCACCATGGCCGGCGGAGCGAAAAAACCGGTGAACATCTTTCGCCTCAAAAACTTGGGTGAACCCAAGGAGGTCTTTAATTGGAGGCTATGGTTTGCGGTCATTTCATTCGGTCTGATGGGCGCCGCCCGAGGTGTTGATGAGGGCTTAATCTCAGGCGCCTTCAATTCCAAGGATTTCCAGAACTACATCCACTACGAGTCATATAGCAAAGTTGAACAGACCAACATCAAGGGAAATGTTACCGCTATGGTCCAAATAGGATCTATTGGCGGAGCTCTTTTGTAAGCTAAGCTCAGAGTATGCCCACAAGTCTAAATCGCTGACTCCTTCTTTACCCTGATATAGTGCGTTCTTAGTCTGTGATCGTATTGGTCGTATCTGGGCAACTCGTGAACTTTGTCTTATATGGCTTGCGGGAATCGCTATTTTCATGGGTAATGGCGGTAGCCTAGGTGCTGTCTATGCTGGTCGTTTTATTGCTGGACTTGGTGTTGGTCAGACAGTCGTGGTAGCCCCTGTGTATCTTGCAGAAATTGTAATTTGCCAAGCAGTGACACCTACATCCTTGTTACTACATGAACTGACTTACCAAATTAGGCACCTTCTTCGATTCGTGGTCTATGTACCTGTATCTTTACTGGCTTTGTCTATCTGGGCATCGTACTTGCTTATTTTGCAAACTATGGCTGCCAGGTCCATCTCGGCGATAATACTCACAACCGATGGGTACGTTTGTTTACCCCATAGAAATACATGCTTTCTCCAATTCTGACATCATCTAGCTTGTTCCCACAAGTCTCCATATCATGTTCGCAGGCCTCATTTTTCTCTTATCTTTCCTTCAGTGTGAATCACCACGGTACCTAGTCAAGCGCGGCCAGATTGAAAAGGCTATTGCAACCCTTTCAAAAGTCCGCGGTTTACCTTTTGATCATGAATATATCGTACACGAGATTGGCCTTATTGAGGCAACGCATCATGCTGAAATGGAAGCTACGATGGGTTCTGGGGCTGTCGGAATTCTCAAGGAAGCCTTCTTGGTTCCATCAAACCTATATCGAGTCTACCTCGCCTTTATGGCTCAAATCTTAGCTCAGTGGTCTGGGGCTGGGAGTATTACTATATACGCTCCGGACCTTTTTAAATTACTCGGAATTACAGGGAATAACGAGAGCTTGCTAGTCAGTGCTGTTTTCGGAATCATTAAGTTGATCGCCGCAGTTCTCTGTGCTCTCTTCTTGGTCGATGTCATTGGACGCAAGCGAGCCCTCTTGGTCGGTATCGGCCTTCAAGCTATCTCTATGATTTATATTGCTGGGTTCTTAACTGCCGTCCCCAAAATGGGTGTAGTCGATGGCTTCCAGCTACCAGTCACACAGAAGGGCGCTAGCGAAGGAGCAGTCGTAATGATCTACCTTTCTGGGTTTGGATGGGCTCTAGGTTGGAATTCCATGCAGTATCTTCTGACGGCAGAGTTGTTCCCCCTCCGCATTCGTGCTCTTTGCACTTCTATGGCCATGACTCTGCATTTCGCCAATCAATATGGCAATTCGCGTGCAGTGCCCAACATGCTCCTTCCCGTGAGCCAGGGTGGAATTGATCCTAAGGGTACATTTTGGTGCTTTGCCGCCATAACCATTCTTGGAGGCGTTTGGGTTTGGTTCAGTATTCCGGAGACCGCTGGCCGCTCGTTAGAGAGCATGGACCAGCTCTTTGCCCTCCCATGGTACAAGATAGGAAGGTTTGGTAATAAGGATGCGGAGGAGCGTGACCGATCGGTGGATTGCAAAATGGAGATGGCGGTGCAATCTTATGGCACGTCTGAGCATATTGAAGGAAACATTGGTTCAAGGAATGTTTGAAAACAACGATATATTACACGGCTAGATTAGCGTTTAGGGACGCAGATGGGTACATTAGCTGCTATTTAGCTCTTACCATAGGCGAGTCAATGTCCTACTGCACGCCCCTAGATTGTATGGGACAGCTTGAGTAGAAAGAGGCAATTTCTTAACTAGCTAGGTCAGAAGTTGCGGAAAGTGAATGTGAATGATAGCCAATTTATTGCTCTAGACTAATTTTGAATCTAAAAAGAAATACTTGTTGGAAACATGACCATTTGATAAGTCCCTAAGTGGTCCCTTTTAGAGGTGTGATGCAGTGATTTCCTACCTTTTATGATACCACCTGGGTATCAGAAGAGACAAAACGCCACGGCCAATGAATATCAATGCCTGTGTATTTGATGCTTGAGTTAAATAAAGACAATTAATAGAACCAGCTTACGCACTAGTGAACCAGCGAAGACATTTTACAGTCTGGGCATTACCTTAGGGATTCCAACATTAACCTGGCGGCGACAAACCCAAGACTAAAAAGAGATTGACTGACTCTGATATGATGGTGATCGAGGAGCAAGCCTTTTGACATGGGATAAGAGGATCTGGCTTGGAGCGGACTTGGAAATCGAGAAAATCATTGAGATTATTTTATAGTGTAATAAAATTGTTAATTAAGGGTTACATATGCATTGATACGAGAATAAATCTCTTAGGGAACTAGATATGTATGACATATTCTATCAAATACACCGTCTAACTATGTTACTACTCTTCGTGTTCCAGAAGTTCCGCTTGTCCTAACCCTTCTACTCCTGGGAAAATACATGTTCAATAAAGTGACGATACACACCAGAACCATTGTAAATGCTACTCCCGGGACTGGCGTATACGAGCATTATGGTCGTGGTGGATGAGAGGTAGAGTTCAAGGGCACGAGGGGTGAGAGGGGGCATGAGTTAACGGGGTACACTTGGTAGATGGCTTCCATACCCTTAGACAAGTGAGTGTTAAAGTGGCAGAGAAAGTGCCAAAACCCCCAGCTTGCCGGGTTCATGGTGACGGTGATCGACTGTCCTGGGTTGAGAGTGACGGTACCGGCGCCCAGACCGTTCATTACGACGTTGTTACCATGCCAGTGGGCAACATGGGTATCAAAACCCATGTCCCAGAGGTACCAGATAACGTTATCATACTGGCACATTTCGAAAGAAGGGTTGTTGGCGAATATGTAGCCGTTTATCTACCATCAATATTGGTTAGAATAATTCCCCTTTTTTGGGTGTACTGCCCTGCGATTGTTTTGGAAAGGTGATAAAATAAAGGGGAAGCGGTTGACAAGCTTACGGGAAAGAAGTTTGGAGCCATAGTCGTAGTGACGTTGGTCAGAGGGTTATTGATCAATTGCGGATACCAGATACTGACGTTTCCAGTGGAAGTGATGGTGGGATACTCGTACGTGAGGTTGGCGACATTTCCGGCCTGAGAAGGTAGGCGCGTCATGACATTCTGAAGAGCGAGGAAGGAGTTGGACTCCTGGTTATCACCAAACATGACAGTGAATTCACGGTACTGGGACATGACCTTGTCCATCATTCCCTGGTTGTATACGATGACGGGGCCGCTCAAACCAGCATCTTGGTCCTGGTACATGCTTACATATGAATGATACGAGTACAACTTGCTAGGATAGCCGGGATTAGGAGCATCGGTTTCAGGGACGAGCCTACATTGTTATTTATATTAGCACTTGCACTCGCAAAGGAACATATTCTGGGAGAGTATGACCATTTGTACACAAAACAGCCACCAGGGGGAACAGCGTCTCCTTCGGTGGGGAAAGATGTGCCGTTATAATACTGGCTGCCCTCGCTCTCCTTGGTGTAGTAGAGACCCATGGAGTGCATGCTGGCGTAAAAGTGATCCATCTTGTTGACAAATAGAATCTGCGCAGAATCACCGTCATGTTAGGAGAGAGATGCCATATGAGGTGGACAGAATCTGGATAACGAACCTCAATCATGTCGTTCACCTCCGCACGGAGGGTAGGACCCTGGTAACCCTGCCAGGCGGGCTGCTCGGTCTTTTCGGTGAAAGAGGAGTTGGTGTAGCCACGGAACAGAGCCTTGTCGAAGACGGTGCCCATGCTTTCATTAGAAGGGATGTAGCCCCAGGTTTGAGCGCGGAAAGACTCATTCATCGGAACACCAAGCCAGTTATCCCAGCCTACCAAAATCAGAAGACGAACCAAAAATAACCATGTATGGACTGGAAAATAATATGAGCAGCATAAGTCAAAGTATCAAACATACCGGTAGGCGCGTAGTTCCACTGGTCGACCTCAGCGGCAACGTAGTAACGACGAATGTTGCCAGAAAAGGAAAAGCCATTGGGAATGGTGTAAGGCAAGCGGTCATTCATCATTGCCTCGCATTGCGCCATGCTGTAGTTCTGCATAGGGCCGGCTATAGCACCGACGGCCGCACCCAGAAGGGTCGCGGACAGCATGTTATAGCGCATGACTACTATGCAATCTGTCGACGAGGAGAGCCTAATCAAGTTGAACTTGGAAAGAGAGGGGGGCAGGTCGATTTTAAACCTAGGATGGATTCGACAGTGAATGTCTATCTTGACATTAGGTAGACATTGCGCCGCCCCAAAGATAGGAACTGTAAAGAGAAACACGCGTGGCATGCATTAATGCATTATTAGATTCGTCAATTGGGTCGAGTTTATCACCCACGTGATTAGCAAACAAAAGCTCGGAGCGGAGGAATTGTTGAATGTATACAGCATACGGAACTAGCAGAGTATGTCCTTGCATCTACTAGTATCTACTTACTACCCACAGTGTTGTGGGTCTTGTCTCACAGCAAATACTGAAGATCCCTGCGCGGAGGGATTTCTTTCCTCCCCAAAAAGCCAATCATATAACTCGCATTACAAATAATCAAGAATAGGAACTACCGTTATTAGTCTCAAGCCCTGGATCCATAGTGAATATGTGGCAGGCGTGTTCTTGCATAAATAGTACGTATGTGGAATAGCCCACCAAAAGACATATGAATTACTAGGTAATTAATACACTCTACATTCCATTCAAGTGTGGTAACTCGACAGCTATTGGACTTGGATATGTATCTTTTCTTGTGGTAGTCATCCAAAAACACCTACAGTATTCATGCTGATTAGCTAGTCAGAAGTGAAGTATCATGAAGGAACTCCGGGTGTTACATTCAACGACTTGACCTGCGAGCTTGAAATGCTTTGGTTCCATACATGTCTTTGCTAAGCGTCAAATTCTGCATATCACCGGATGAACATGTTGATATACAAGCGAGCTGAGTTACTGCTCGATCGGGAATAGCCTCCGAGCTAAGCCTCGCTGATCAATGGACTAACAGCGCCAAGCACGCTGGGCTGGAAGAGTGGATACTCTTCGCTGAACAAAGGGAGCTCTGTATACATATCGAGGTAAGTTTTCTCTAAACTGCAAAGTACCTAGCCGTGTCATAATAAATGTTGCTTTAGGTAAGTGTTGTGAATATCATGTTCAAACCATGCGACCAATGCCTAATAAAAAAAAATGGAAACATAACATCTTTGAATAGTATTAACAGAGGTCGCTAAGGAACAAGCAACGGATATATATATCTAAGCGTATTTCCACTCTTGGATCCCAGCCCCTAGTGACCAGTCTTGATACCTACCTAGGTACATATCTCTAGGTTGGGCCTCTTCACAACGAGTAAAGGTGTAAAATAAAAAAAGAAAAAAAAAACAGATTCTCTCCTATCAAACCTCCTTAGTCCCTATAGTGCTTGTAGCAACGGTCTCCTTCACATCAACTGTCGGGATGCCATCTAGGATATCGTCGGCTTCAAAATAGTCTACCGGTTCTTGCCAAGGTTCCTTTATCTTCGAGAATGGCGGAGGATCCAGCCAGCACAGACCATAGTACGAACCAAAACTCAATATGAGCCCGACGGGATAAGCAAAGTAATACATGCGAGTCGCCGCCTCGGTGATGTTGACGCCGAAGACTCCCAAGAAACCATAAAAGTTGGGCGCAATGCCGATTATGTACGCAATATATGCACGATAGTTCCATCCCTTGCGGTAGTAATACAAGCCCGTCGAACTGGATGTGTAGAAATCCTGGATTTGTAAATAACCTTTCGAGACGAGAAAGTATTGACAAAGCATGACGCCGGTGATGGATGAGAGGAATATTCTATTTTTCATGGTCAGTATAACTACCCAAGGTCAATGTTTAAGAAAAGACATACTGATAAGATGACAGCCAGCTTACAAAGCTAGATGCAGATCCTAAAATATACCACGGACACATGGCGTACGATATAAGACTTGCGATATAAAAGCCACGCCGAATGGTGATAAATCGGGGCCACAGAGCAGCGAGGTCATTCCCCGCAGGTATGAAATTTTCAAAAATAGAAGAAATGACAGAAGCATACGTGAAGCCCAGGGATAGAAAGAATACACCAGCGCGCCGGCCAGAACTGTAGTCTTGGACCAGAAGCATATCCAGAAGATTAATAGGGTTCCAAACAAGCTGCCGTGGTCGTCAGTTAGACAATGAAGAGAGACAGAGAAATGGGAGCAAATTACTCAGCCTACCTCTCCAAATATCAGAACGGAACTGGAGACGATGAGGTTTCCAACAAGTCCGTAAATCAGTGTTGAGAGTGGGAAACCGATGAGCTGTGGCCACCAAGCATTTTTTGGCTTCCGGGCATAACGAAGAAAGTCAGCTGCGTTGGTAGCATAGGTGGCACCGTTGGCGCAGTAAATCCAGATGTATCGCGCAATCGCCCAGGATTTGGCACTGCCGGAAATTGTGCTTCCCTGACGAGCAACACTTCCAAGACCTCCTGCTTCTACCAATGCCCAAACCAAAAGAGCAATACTACAGACGGCAAATATAACCAATTTGGTGTACATGTACGGTCGTAGGTCTGGGATTTGAATGTGCAGCAGAGATGTAGTCACGACCCTAAAATATAGATCGAAATACATCAGTACGAAGCGATGAAACGGCCAGGTGGGGACTTCTCTACCAGAACACCATGAAACCGATCATTCCACCTGAATTGAGGGCTGATACGCCTTCAGGAAAAACGTCTGGAATGTTTGCAATTGACGGGAAGATAGAATGCAGCAGGACATAGGCACATTGGCCACCCTGGACCGCGTTGACCCCAGTCCAGACCAATGTCATCACGATGCGGTTGAAGATGGGCCAGTAGGCTCCCCAGATACCAAAACAAGCCCGTGCTATAACTGGATATGGAATGTGATAGACGGCACCTGGCCTGCCGTTGAAGCAAAATACCGTTGCGATCATGACTAAAAAAGTAATAATATGCGTCAGTTTTCAGTTTCAATACTTTCATTCTCTTACCAAAGCAATTAAAGCTTACTTTGTCCTCCTAACTGGCACATCAAGGCTTCCCAAAGGCCCAAGCCCGCAGCTAGAGCGGCTGATACACCATAGAACGTGGCTGGAGTAGCATTGGCAGAGATCCAAAACCAGAAGTAGGATTTCCAAGTGTAAGTACGGCGATTTTGCGGTACAGGGCGCAGGTCTAGATTATCGAGCCATTGGTGACGCCCTAGATCATGATTCTCCCTATATTCCCTTGTCTCGAGAAACGTGATTATCGACATCTTGAGCGACCTATAATGCCGAAGAACACGTTACAGGCTTGGATTGGCAAGGTTCGTACATGCCTAGTTCTGCTAGAGATGAACAGAGGTGAGATCTTATTATACATGCGGTCATAATCTTCTATCGTTATCCTGCCCACGGAGAGGGAGTATTGTAGCTATCAGTGTGAAGTGACTGGCGGATTTCCTTTAATCGGGCATCCGACGGTTGTCCGGCTTGAACTGCTGATAAGCCGATGGTCCTAAGCGGATAAGCGTCGCAAAAGCTTGTTGGGACAGATAAGAAACAATTCTCCTTGATTTTGCAAAGCCTTCACTGTGATGACCGTCGGCCATCGCGAGATAAGAGGTCGACGTGCTTGCAGATGCGGCCGTTCGCGTGTTCGCCATATAAAAATGTACACAACACTGTAGTTGCAATAGCGCCGCACCGGCATTGAAACGTCGAGTCTAGCTCTGGACACGCAGGAAAGGAACACCAAGCGAGAAACAAGATGAGCACCGAGGTCCTGCAACAGCCGGCAAAAGTCCAAATTCCCGATGGATATACTGTACTCGAGTTGACTAGCGCATATGGCCCTGTGTACCGCACAATCAAGAACGCTACTCCGCGCGACGCCACCCCGGAAGAAATCCCCATCATCGACATATCTCGCATTTTCAGCGACAGTTTGGATGTTCGAAAGACGGTTGCGAAAGAAATCCGTGACGCCGCTACGACGATTGGGTTCTTCTACATGAAAGGACATGGCATCCCCGAGAAAGTCATCAACGCAGCGCTTCAGAGCGCACAGGACTTCTTCCATCAACCAGAGGAGATCAAGCAGCGCGTGAACCAGGCAAATTCAAAGTGGTTTAATGGCTGGAATGGCCCCAAATCCCATCGAGCCAATGCTGTAGAATCATTGGACATACGTGAGAGCTTTGGATTCCGCTACGACCCCCGCTACGACCCAAGCGTAGACAACGTGGAATCGATTCCGCAAGATATCAAAGACGGGTTTCGGGCGGAGGAATATTGCTGGACACAGACGGCCAACTTGCCGCACTTCAAGACTGACGTGCTGGAGTACTGGCGCTCGTGCCTCGCCCTGGCGCGCCGACTGATTCGTATTTTTGCGCTGGCCTTGGAACTCCCGGAAGACTACTTTGATGCTATGACATCGCACCCTGACGCCGCAGTAGCTTTGAATTACTACCCGAGTATTCCCGAGAACATGGCTGAGAAGGCCGATGCAGAAGTTGTAAGCATTGGATCGCATACAGATTTACAATTTTTCACCATGCTCTGGCAAGACCAGAACGGTGGCCTGCAAGTGCTCAACCGGGACGGACAATGGCTCAATGCCCGACCGATTGAAGGGACATTTGTCGTGAACATTGGGGACTATCTGATGCGCATCACCAACGATCGATTCGTTTCAACAGTGCACCGAGCTAAGAATTTCAGCAAAAACGAACGGTATTCTTTGCCGTTTTTCCTTGGTAAGTGAAGCCAAGTCACATCAAGCCATGCAGCGCCCTGTACTTACTGTGGGTAGGATTCAACTTCAACGAAACCTGCGGCGTCCTGCCAAGCTGCGTCGATGCCCATCACCCAGCCAAATACGAGCCCATCTCGTGCTCCGAATGGGTACATCTGCGATTCAAGGCGACCAACCTGGAGGGAGGCTCTGGTGGTATATAGAACGAGAATATTGGCGCAACTAGCTTGTAGCATAGAAAAAAGAAAGTAGAATAGACCGAGTAGTCTGAAATATAAGTCCGACTCTCCTTCCGTGGATGGCAGTTGGCCTAGGGAAGGGAAGGCGCGATAAGATAAGGAGCCACGATAACGTACACAAGGTTATGATGGCCGCGTCCCCAACCAACTTCCTTCGTCTTCCACCTCCTTATTCATTCATCCATCCGCTTCTCCATCAATACAATGAATCAGGTTATTTTCTGTCATGAACCCTGTCGACAGACCCTCCCTTGAATCAAATCGCCCCGAGAAAGAGACCAGAGGCAGCAAGAAGAGGAGACTCAATCGCCCAGTGAGTGCGTGCGAGACATGTCGCAAGCTCAAAACCCGGTGCGAGAGCGTGCCAGGAAAGAACGCATGTCGACGATGCGTATCTTTGGGGTATGCCCTTCAATACATTTACTCCCCAGTTAAATACATCTGTTGATCCTCCATTAGCATAAGCTGTGACTTACCTGGCATCGACAATGAACCCCGCTTTGAGGATACCGCATCTATCAATGATGTTGACGCGAGGCTTGCAAGTATTGAGCAACGGCTTGAGTGTGTACAAACTCAAATCTCCATCATTCCAGAAGCCATGAATTCAAGGCTAGCACACCTCGAAAGAAGTGTCGATGAGCTGGCACAACTGATCCGTGGGGTTTTCCACGGTATGCATGCCATCTCTCGGCCTCACCAAGACACGCATCATACACCCGGCTCTTCTACAAGCCTTGATTTGACTGACCCGGCAGGGAACGGCGTTACAAGACCGGTTTTGCTTCTGCGAAATCTGCAGACCCAATTCTTCGGGCCCAAGCGAGATTTCTCTGACGAAGTCCTCGCTTTGGGAAACGTCGTATCTGCTGAAATTATCAGGCTTCCTCTTGCTAGACATCTTGTTCAGATGCAGGTTTACCCCGAAGCCAATTGTGGTGGGAATCACATGCTGATGGGTTATCTCCCGAAATAGATTCATCAAGCACTACGGGTTCTGGATCTCAGTCAATAACACACATGACCTTCCGGATGACTTTGAGCAGAATCATCCTTTGTTATTTAGCACCGCCTGTCTGTTGGCCTCTCGATTCGTGCCCAGCATTAGCAAGGCTACGGGCCACAAAATATATTTGATGGTTCGCCGTTTGGCTGCCAGCGTTGTCCTGAAGCCCCCGCCTCTCAGCCATGAAGAGCTCCAAGGTCTATTGCTACTGAGTATGTTTAGCCCGACTATCCAGACGACGATGCCAATCGACAGCTGGTTAATGAGTGCGCTTGGAATAAATCATGCGACCCTTCATCTAAATCATCCGGCTAACATGACGCTTCCTGCGAATTCTGGTGATATGCTCCTACCGAAATTGCGTATCTGGAACGCTTTGTGTTTGACTCATATTCAGGAAGTGTTCTCATTCCGGGTTTTCAATGGCAAACGTAATACTAACGAAGAACCAGATTCTCAATTGGAAATGGACGACAATCTATGGTTCATCAAAAATTTGTTGATTACTGCTATGATATTTTAGACACTCCAAAGTCTTCTTTCGAGGATGCCAGACTGTCCGCGGAAGTTTTACTTTACTGGAAAACTGCGCATCTCCTTGGCCACAGCCAACGGATGGAAGCTTCGGAAAGTCTGATCTTTGATGAACTTGTCCAATGGAAGCTGTCATGGGGGCAAGTGTTTGGTAAGCCACTTTTCATATATTCATTCGATTTTTTCGACCATGTTCACTAATACATGATTATCTAGACAATCCGCTTTCTGTCAGTCTAAGATTTAGTTACATGTTTTGCTATCTCCTTTTGTATCGTGTTTCACTTCGAGCTCAGACTTCGTCACCTATCCTAAAGGGTGCAGCATTGAAAGTTTCACGCGAGATTCTGGAGATGTTTCAAGAGCTCGATTTCGCTGTTATCCTCGATCTTCCGGATTATTATTTCTTTATTACCATATATGCAGCTCTCACATTGTGCAAGTTTACTATTCGTGACCCATTGATCGCGGCAACACAAGAAACTCTGACAGATCTTGCGCCGAATGACGAACATATCGCTTTTCGTTTCGGGACAGTACTCCAAGAAATCCGGCAGAAGGCTGCAGCTGCAGGCACATCGTTGATGCACCAAACGAGCAGAGAAATTGAGATCGAGGGTCTAACTTCAAATGAACATTACGCATGGGATGTGTTCATGGCAGCATATTACCCACAGCATACGGGTACACCTGGTCGTGGACTTGAAAGCACGGCATTCAGTGATGAGACGGCGGTTTGATTACTAATTTCAAATTCGAACATACGGGCCCAAGAACTTTTCACCTGATATTTTTTTAATTTCTATTTTCTTCTGCTATTCCACACCCATGTTCCTCCGATAAGCCTCGGATAGCCGCCCATAGCTTCTTTTGATTTGTTCCACCTTCGTTAAATACTCGGACTGTGTCTTTTTGTCTGTGATGGCAGCCAGAAGTTCGGCGAAACTTAGAGCGACTAGCCTGCTGCTGCGCAGCTTGTACTGCGGTCTTATTTGGGCCAACGTGCCATCCAGACTAGCTTGTCTGGCTGTCTCGGCCTCGCGCACGTTGAACACATCGTTGAAGATATCCAGATCTCCATGGCACTCAAACACGTAATGTGTCTCTTCATAGGTGTACATATAAATGAAATTATCGAATCCACTCCAAAGAATAGCCGACAGGCACAACGAGCATGGCTCATGAGTCGTCAAGAATAAGCAATCTGTTACTGGGGGGCGTTGATCCGCGGGGATTTCGAAGAATTGTTTCAGCGTCCAGGTCTCGCCATGCCATAGGGGGGAACCGCGTTCTTGATTTGTGTCTGCGTATACGACACTCAGGTCGGACTTGCGAAGGATTGCTGCGCCAAACAGTTTGGAACCGGCGGCCACGGCGCGTGCTGAGAGCGGGTGAATATCCTCATTAATGCAAGTGCACAATGCATCGAGAAGTGCGGTTGGGGAGTGAAGGGTCAGGGCATCAGTCATCTTGTTCGCTCTCTTACTCCCTCTTGTACTTTGTGGTCGAAATCGCTGTTTCTAGCTGATCAGATCGGAACTCCAGAAATAATTCTTTGCCATTATTAACTAATGATGAATGCGATAAACTGAGAATCGCTTATCGCCATCAGCCGAGCGAGCTTCGGGGACCTCCGACGGATCGCCGGCGGCGTCTTAACCCACGTTTCTTAGATATGCTAAATTGATCGATAAGGATACAACTTGCACGGTCAGATCTTGAATCTCAATGGCACTGGGGGTTTTGAATGACCCAAGATGGTATGCAGTTGCAGAGGGAACGCCTATCGCCGATAATTGAATTTGATTCCCGGCTGCAAAATGACAGCAAATTGCTCCATCGAATTACCTCGACTAACCAACGCTTTGCAAAGCCACTGATACCAGTACTCCTGATATGATGAAACTGGTATGAACTTTTCATAAGACACCCGGGAAACGATAAACGTATCGACCCCGAGCACATTGATGTAGCAGTACTGAAACGCGCGTCAATTACCACCGCATTGTTTACACAATTTGCAATAATCGCTCTCCCAGACCAAAATTGATCGACATCTGCAGGAGGTGACAAGAAGCCATCTTTATAATAGTGAAACAGCACAATCTGTACCTATTTGGCCATTCACGGGGTTCTCCTCAATTGCCCTTAGCGCCGTACAAGAAGCCCTTTTCAGAAATACATTAGACTCTAGCATTGTGGAGCATAACGGCGCCACTAAAAACTTAGTATATATTGAGCTGGAGCATGATTTGTGAACCCACCATGCGATGGTTGGATGCATTTAGGCGTCCAGCGAGCTGACAACCGGGGTTCAGCTCAGCGTGGTTGCACTAAAATTTCAGGCCGAGGGTGGTTGGTGAGAAAATTTCCTAATTAGGACTAGTCGAACCACGCTGAGTAAACACTAATTTCGAGACAGATACTAATTTATACATTATTCCTAATTGGGATATAAACCAGAACTCTTGTTAGACTTATAACCATAAGAAAGAAGACTAATACTCAAGTCTAGCATAAGTCTAGTTAGTGGCGCATAGTAGCTATTCAATTAACCACCTTTCTGCCCTCATATTCCCCCCCCTCAAGATTACTTTTTGTTTTGGCGTCTGGAAGGGCAGGAAGAAGGGTGGTGTGAGCCGTGGTGAAAATACATTTGGTGTCTCTGCCTTCAAACAATCATTGCTGCGCTCGCAAACCACATCTGCGAAGAGTAAACTGGCTGCTTCCTACGACTTTGTCATTGTTGGCGGCGGTACGGCTGGGCTGGTGGTTGCTTCTCGGCTCAGCGACGACCCCAGCACCTCTGTGCTGGTCCTCGAAGCAGGCGCCGACTTGACAGCAGATCCCCGCGTGAAAATCCCCATCTTCTACGCCTCACTACTTGGTTCCGAGGCTGACTGGAAATTCCGTTCTACCCCTCAAGTAAGGAGTGTCTACGTCTGGATCAAGGCTGTGCGCTCACTCATTTCTTTGACAGCCCGGTCTCAGTGGCAGAATGCTTGGTCTGAACCAGGGCAAGGCTCTGGGAGGATCCAGTGCTGTAAATGCGCTCGTTTTTGTTCCTCCTTTTAAGGGGGTCGTTGACTCATGGGAGGCGCTCGGTAACTCAGGATGGAACTGGGCCACCCTAAAGGCATATTTCTCTAAAGCCTACAGCACTCCGGCTGTAGCCCAGAATACCAAAGAGGCTCTTCCAATCGAGGGCTGGCCTGAATTGAATGAATCCAAAGGTCCGATTCAAACATCCTTTGGCAACGAGACGCACCCTATTCGACAGGCATGGGCGGCATTCTTTCGTAGCAGTGGGCAACCTCGGGGATACATTCATCCACAGTTCTGTGGGCTCCTTCAGTTGCCTCGCTAGTATCAACTCGGAGGATAAGAGAAGTTACTCTGCCTCAGCCTACTATAAGCCCGTTGAGCTTCGACAAAATCTTCACGTTCTGACCAACTCACACGCCGAGAAGATCCTGTTTGACAAAAGCAATCATCCTAAAGCTATTGGTGTTCAATACAGCCTCAAAGGTGTCTTGAAGACTGTTAGTGCCAGAAAAGAAGTTATTCTTGCTGCTGGTGCTTTTCAATCCCCAAAGATCCTTGAGCTCTCTGGAGTTGGTGGAGCAGAACTTCTTCAGAGGCATGGCATTAACGTCGTCATGAATCTCCCGGGAGTTGGGCAGAATCTTCAGGGTATGTGAACAGTTCCTATTTTAGTCTACTTAAAAACACTCTGGCGACCTCTCTTCAATTGACTCCCATCTAATGTTGAACTATCTCACCGTCCGGACGCGTACCCGCTGTTAAACAGATTCAAGCTAAGCTCTATTACTACTTATAGATCATCTGATATTGTATACGGCGTTTCAGGCAAAAGGGGACCTTGAGTCTAAAGACGCTCTGGTGAGACAAGAGCCTGAAGCTCTCAGCCAGGCCATGCAAGAATATACAACAATGCAGACTGGACCCCTAGCTTCGCTCGGGGTTCACACCTACGCATATTTGCCTCTTCCTGCACAAGACAGAGTTGACATCCAGGAATTACTTACGAACTATGGCCCCAAAGAATCACAAGAGTACGGTGCGATACAAGCCTATTATGACATCGCGAAGACCACCATTCTTGACCCCGAGCACCCGTCAGCTGCATACCTGTCTGCGTTGGGGCAGACGAACTATGCCACGGACCTCAATGACGAGAGTACCCCAGCTGCTTCTCCTGGAAAGTTTGTCACGCTCGGAGTAATGCTTTCTCAACCGCTTTCCCGTGGAAGCGTTCATATGTGACTTGTCATATCCTCTCCGGGTTAGAAAGTCGAAGGACTTATTATTCCTTATTGTTCACGCCTTATGCTATCGCAAAGTCTAGTTTCACTCACCATAGCTGTCCTGAAAAAAATCCAGTACCTCCGCTAAAGCCGAAGACTCTCCAGTCATTGATCCTGGTTACCTGTCTAATCCTCTCGATGTAGAAGTCATAGCGCGACACTTGCTCGGCGTCAAGAATCTAGCGCAGTCACCCCCTTTTGGGAATCTCCTCGAACAGCCACTGAGGTTCCGTGATCCAGCTGCGGACTTTCAGGGAGACTTAGATGCTGCAAAAAAAATATGCCCGGGAAAATCTGATCTCTATGTGGCATTATGCGGGAACCTGTTCCATGCTGCCCCGCGAGAGAGATGGCGTAGTGGATTCCAACTTGAGGGTTTATGGTATTGAAGGACTCCGAATTGTTGATTCTCGTGCTATTCCGCTTGTAAGCACTGCGAATCTGCAAGCCACTGTGTATGCATTTGCGGAGAGGGCAGCGGATCTCATCAAGCAGGACTGGAAAAGCGAGTAAACAAGGCCTTAAAGAATATCTTATCATAGATACTTTCTCTTCGAATAGGAGTTACATTTCCACTATTGCGATAATAATGAAATTATATTCATTTGATCTATCCCAAAATATATTGTAATAATACAATGACTTGCTCCTCCATTCACCAAGCGACTTTAATAGTTTTATGAATCTAAGGAGTTCAAGTTGCGTAGCTGCTATATAATATGTGGTTTCGATCAATTTTTATCATGGATTCCTTTCTTCAAGACTAGAATCTAGGCTTTCGATTACAGACATACATGAACAAGCTCCAAGTAATATTGATATCACAAAACCTCATATAGCAGGTTTATTGCCATAGCAGGTTTATTGCCCCTTGATTGATGCATTCGCAGGTTCACTTAATGAGCGACCGGTTTTTGTCAGACTCTCCGAACTACTGACTAACATCAAAGATTTGTTCATATACTTTGACGTTATAGCATTTATTAACAGTTCTCTACGAACTAGCCCACAGCTTGACGAGTTAAACAAAGAATCGTAATATAAGCTTCCAGACACTAGATTTTGATTGTATTGAAAGACCTAGCACATATCTAAATTCAACCGTTGAAGTAGAGTTAGGACCTACTACTTGGATCATGAGTCTCACAGGGTAATGTATGGTAGTATGCTACTGGCACCAACTCGAATGCAGCAATTTCATACAGTCAAATCAAACGCATGTTCGTTTGGGACATTGATAATAGGTGAATAATGAATATTATGACGAGAATGGCACCACTTTAGTCGGATCTTTTGTCAGACCGACCGTAAACAAGGCCTCACTACCAGCCTCGGAGAATCCTAAGCAGATTACGCAATCTCAACAACGACAGAAACTGTAGCCTTTCGACGTTGGATCCCATAGCAGTGTACATTTCTTGTTTAATCTGCATGAGGTAGTCGGCAATCTGCTCATCTGTATGGTATGTTTGGTTATAACAGGCCCTGATGGACAATTTATTGCCAAATGTCTGTATTCCCAGATAAATTCGCTCGTCGGTTGGCACCGCAACCATCCAGAGATGTTGGACTTTGAAAAAGTCGTAAGTTTCGGGGAAGACATCTGAGAGGTTCCCAATAAAGCTGGGTAGTATTCCCTTAAAATAATACTTCGATAATAGCAATGCTGCCTTCTGCAAGTATGGAACCATGGTCGCAATGGCAGCGTGCTTACGACTGGCAAGGCTCTCGTACTCGTGTTTAACGCGAAATGCTGTACGCCGAAACTCGTCGTCTATATGCACCTGTATAGGCCAAAAGCCAATTCGCAGAGCAGTTGCTTTTAGATGGGCATTGACAGGTGAGGCCGTGCATTTTTCTCGAAAATTGAAGATAATGAAATTTGAATGAACCGTACTGCGAGAACTGGGGCAGACAGCTTTCCCAGCATGGATAAGTGCTGCGTGCACAAAAGCAGTAATCCCTAAACCTGACCCTTTGGCGTGACATAGAAACTCCGATGTCTGACTTTCGGTGAAGTCGAGAGATTGTGTCTTGCCCGAAGCTGGTGGAAATGTAGTGTTTATGGAAGGAAATTCGAAAGCCTCTCCATCTGCTCTTGGCTGGGGCAATTTTAAGGAACATGGATCTTTCAAGGCCGCTATTCCCGCAGCATCGAATGCGCTAGAAGCAAGATTCTGTACTTCCTCACCCCAAGGCTCATTCACAGTTTCACCATCGTAATGCAACCGGTGCATCTCTGCAAAGAGATCTTGAAGCATGCTTACAAGCCCATGTCCGTCTATATGCATGTGGTTCATGCGGATGATTAATCTTCTTTTCCCAGGGAAGTAGTATAACCTGGGTGCCTGGGTAGCAGGTGCAACGGCAAGGTCTTGACATCCCTGTACTTCACTCTCGGAATCCCAATCTTTAATGATGAGAGTCTTCTGAAGCCACTCATCAATGTCCGATTGACCTTGCAGAGGCGTGTACCGGAAAGCTTTGGGGCCGACTTCAGAGGCAAGAAAAGGATGGAGATAACGGATTCTGGCCCAGGCTTTTTTAAGCGTTTCCAAAAAGGCATTGGCATCGTTAGGCAAGGTTTCTATGCCAATACTTGCCACGGCGTCAAGGCTCCGGAACTCTGGTCTTGCTCGGTCATGACAAAGGGATGAAAATGTTTCTTCGAATGGATCAAAAGGCCTCGTATACTGGCCGTTCTCAACTTCCCACTTGGATGATTTCGGACCATGTTCCATGGAGTTCGTTGTGCCTGCCAGTTTGGTGGAGGTGCTTGCAAAAGTTAAACGAGTTCGAATTGTTCTGACAGCAGGTAACCTGTTCCAGTGCAATCGGAAACGCAGAGAATCTGACATAATAGGCGTTGTAGAATTCCAATGAACCAGAATTCATAGCAGATATATCCACGTATTTATAACCTGAATCTCATGGGGATTTGCCTCTGTTGTCTCCAAGCAGTGGGCGTCACCAATATGGCTTTTCCAAAGCTTTAGCCATAATTGTTAGGCCTAAGCACAAGATCTGCGTACCAATCCGAAGACAGATAGCTATCAGTTTAGGTATATAGCACAGTTGCATGCGTCATTGTGGTGTCTCGGCGAGGTATGTGTGAATGATGCAACCACTCACTCTAGCAAATAGATTTGAGGTTGTAATTTGGAGAGCTGCGAGTAGTCAGGCGGATGCCCACAAGGCCATCAAGTTATTAAAAGAGGGTTGACTCACTTCAAATGTGCTACACCAGATACAACATGTATGATATTTACAGCTTTGATCATACACATCCAACGTCATTCTAGTGATCTGGGACATGGCCCAACTAACGATATGCATAAATCGTGCGCTGCAGCGGAAAAGATTGACTGAAAAGGAAACCAAATACTACAAGTCTAAAAGGCAGGCTGGCTTCTGCTTTCTTACATAGCCAAGGAGGGCACACGGCAAGTCTGATGTGCGCCAATCCACCAGTAATGATACATAACGGACAATCCTGTATCTGCCAGAAAAAGGCACAATGACGCTTGTAGACAGGATGATGAATGATACCATCTGAGTTCCCAGACTCTGAAAACTTATCACTGGACCAGACTGTATCGCCACAATCGGTGATTTCTACAGCAAGGCAAGATTTAGATAACGAAGAAATGCTGGATATGAATAAAAATAAAATTAGTTTCCTGAACGGAAAAAAAGGGGTTAACCAATACACCCATTACAATATGTGATTATCTGTTTGATATAGTCATTAGCGATTCATCCATAGTCGTGCAATACTACCATAACATATCAGCATAAAATCTTGAAATCCTTGGTTCGAGTGCATGGAAATTGACGGTCTTGAGAGACATTTCTTGTTTTTACTGTACATCTAGTATTGTGGGTGGCGTGTGCATAGACGATTAGATTGCTTGCCTTTATAGGTACATCGTGCATATTCTTGCGTTAGGCCGGGAAGTGGCGTATTTTGACTGCAGGATGCTGGCATATTGTCTTAAGAGGCTTGCCAGAATTGATCCTGCATTGATATCCATGAGCCAACAAATCTCGCTGGTGCGCCCACCAATTACGCCTTGCTGCTTTACCAGCCCGATACCCTATAGGTAGGCAAAACATACCGATGACTGTATCACTGGTTATCAAGCACTAGGATCTAAATGAATGTATGTCGGTTTTCCAACATGCGCTTCTGAGATGTAACTCGGATAGAAACCAAAAGAGCGCTGCAAGCTTGGAAGTAAGCATTATACGTGCGCGAGACCCCGTTCACATAGATTCAAAGAAAACGAACGACGAGAATCGGAGGTCCTGGTCAAGATCAATACATATCCTAATCAAAATTCTTATCGAAATCATTGATTGCAACTTCAAAAGTAGTAAGGCTTTCCAAAATCCCATTCCCTCGCAAGTTCAAGCTGGGCCAAGTGAATTTCTCGGTCGTCGGAGTCCTCGAATATTGCCTGAGCGGCGAATTTACCGGTCTCATCTGGCCTGACAAAATATGAAGAATCTACCTCGCATTGCGTGTATGTTTCAGGCACTTTGCCTTCGTACAAATATCCACGCAAGTGTTTTGCCACGCATAGGGAGGCAACAGCGATGGAACAATGTCCGTAGCCCTTGACTTCAATGATCTGCGAGCCCACAAACGCTCTATTGGCCGAACGAGCCGCAATAAGTGGACAGACAGGGTCATATGTAGTGGACAGAATCAAAAGTGGGTGTGTTGTTGTGACGTTATTTTGTGGCACGTATAGGTGGCCCTTTGGTAGAGACCACTGCTGTCGCTGGTAGAATATCTTATCCTGGGAGGCGTCAAATAGACTGTTATTGTAAAACGGCAGCATATAATCAAGAAGCGACTGTCTATCCTGAGGCCAATAATCTGGCCCGGTGAGGCCATCATTCAGCTCGACAACAGAATCAGCATCATCAACACCCAAATATCCCGATGTGTCGCCGTAGGCCAGAAAGGACCGTGTCGCATTCCCTTGTAGAAGGTCATACAGATTATCTGCCAAACCAGACCATGTCTGGGGTTTGTACAGAGATGGAAAGACCCCATTGTACCAGACATTATCGAAAGTTAGAAGCCCATGCTTTCCATTGTCGATATAGACGCCGATGGGTTGCTTCTGAAGCTCTTCCATATATGACAAAACCAGGCCGCGCAGTTCTTCTTTCGAATCCGCGAGTAAGGCCAGGGAACAGCTATCTGATCCTTCCTTGATACAGAGATCAAAAAACCCATCTAAAACGGCGTCTGTATCAATCAAAGATGACGCTAAATCAAAGCCCAGCCCATACCACTCAAATTGGTCCACCGCACCGTCGATGATGATTCGTTTGGATCGCTCAGGGAACATTGTCGCGTATGTCTGGCCGAGAAGTGTGCCATAACTAAATCCCCAATATACCATATCTCGCTGACCAAGAGCATCTAGTATGCTGTTCATATCTGCTGCGGTCTGTGGCGTGTTGATGTACATAGCGTACTCTCCCATCGTTTCATAGCACGCCTTCACAAAGTTCTGCGCCCACGCAAAGACCTCAGGACTATCTACTTGAATATTCTGCGATCTGACGGGTTTCAGTTTCTGCCGCGTGGAGGCGTCTGGATAACACGAAGCCTGTGGAGTTGAATTGTTAACGCCGCGAGGGTCGAATGACACTAAGTGAAACCCCTCGCCAACCAGGTCCCTGATGCGACTTCCTGCTCGGTGCATGAGGGACAGACCGCTTCCTCCGGGTCCACCAGGGTTAAGCAGGAGGTTTTGTGTCGCATTCTGGCCTCTCATGCGGATGATTGGTATGGAGAAGGTCCTATCGTCTGAATTTTGTGAGTCGAATTGGTCCATGGGAACATCAATTTTGCTACATTCGACCGGGGTTCCTTTGACGTCTCCGCACAGCTCCCATGTAATGTGCTCGCCGTCATACTGCAAAGTTCTGGGCCTGTTCTCACATACAGAAATATTTTGCCGATACTTGAATGCGATAAACAGGCACAGCAGTACGAAGGCAATGATAGTCCGGTGCCTTTGCCGCTGCCGCCGCCCTTCTCTTTTTGGTATCGCGACGGGGCCTCCAGGCAGACACTTTTCATCCATGGTGCGCGTTTGCATAGCGCGCGTGAAAATCGAGGCGGGTGGGCAAAATTGCAGAGGTGGCAGCATATGCAGCGGAGAGAAGAGTGAGAGAAGAAAAATGAAAAAAGAAATGGCGGGTTCGTTTACAATTTATATTAGGTCGCAGCCGTAGTTCATAGCCCTATGTAAGTCGGGAACGTTGGGAACTAACCACATCAGGCAACCTGGTTGATATTAGCACAGTAAACGTAGCAGGACTAGAATAGGCCTATATGCCCTTTTTCATGGAGAGTAGACATTGCTTCAGTCTAGAAGGGCATGTAGACTCTCTTCTCCGCGTTGGCAAACGAAACTGCATTATCGATCTAGCTCTTGACATGTCAATAAGCCCAATAAGATGATTCAGAAGATTAGGGAATGGGGTACGCTTATAAATATATGAAAGAGGGAATCTTGTAGCATACATAGCGGTTTTGAACAAGCAGTCAAAACATACATACTTTTGCTAGGCTGTTACCTAGCCATATATCAAGCATCTATCCCGGTCAAATCAAGACAGATGTTCTACCGGGTACATACTACATAGGTATGTATCCGGCTAACCGGAACATTGAAAAGGATTCCTAACGATTCGTTATATTAACAGCACTATATGTAACTAGCTGGCGTTTGGTAAAAGCAGCAAAGCCTCAATGTGGCTTCTGCCAAGCTCTCTTCTGCTAACGCTATCAGGCAACGGCAGACGAGACAAGCTGCGCTGCAAGTTGCACTCGGATTACCTCTGAGGCTCTGAAAAGAAAAGTATCCACCTAGGAGTATAAGATGGAACACGGGCCCTGTCGTGGCTGGGCTTTTTGCGTTGAGGTTACTGTACCGTAACCGAGACAGCTCACGCACTACATATTGCTGTACTTATTGTGCAACTAACAAGATGAATCTCGCGGCAACACGAAACAGTGTATGTGTCTTCTGGACCACAAGCGGTTATTCGCAGAGCATCGACGTTCTAATATTCTACTTTGCTCCAATTTTAGGCCCTTGTACAGTGTCCTCAAGATAGCGCTTTGGCATTCACGGCGATATGGTATCATCCTGTCGACAGCGCTGCATTTACGATCTGCTCGAGGTGCTATGAAGATCAACTTCGCCATTCACCCTTTGCGGTCAAATTCGCAGCGAAGCGACTCGCAGCAGACCCTCATCGATTTTGTCTGTGGAATACGGAACGAGTAACTCAGTTAAAAGGGCAGCATCTTAGCAACAGCAACTGGGATTCGATTCACCGCTACATGATTGCGAGACGAGAGATTCCTAATTGCACAGGACCGACTACTGCGGTCACAGCGGAGCCAAATGCGAACAACTATCGCTGGTATAGCCTGAGGAACTCCGAGATCGATGGCTTCGTTTGTTGCAAAGCATGTTACGAGGACACTGTTTGCGCAACCACTTTTGCAGACAGATTTATTCTTGAAGACTTCGGTGTCAATGGTCAGAGTGCCACGTGTGATATGTGCATTGGATTTATCAAGAAGGCAATACTGCAACACTCTCCGTCACAGAACTGGGCTACGTTCATTGAATGGGCACGCGCAAGAATGAAAATCCCAGCTTGCAAAGACTTAACAGGTGCCGCGTGCGCATCCACGCTTTGGTACATGCCAAACCCTCCGATACATGGCGTCCTGGTTTGCGGCGCCTGCTTCCATGATGGAGCAGATCTTTCTCCTCTGGCGTCACATTTCATACAGATTCAGATACCGGAGAGTAGAAAGCAGGAAGTCTGGGAATGTGCGAACTCGCAGACGCAACTTGGCATGTTAGTTGCCTGGAACGAGGCGTGTGCGAAGAAGATTATTACTCTCTGGCATAATGCAGCGCACGTTATTCCAGGGCTACCTCCCTGTACCAAAGATGGGATTAGAAACGGGATATGGTATACGCTGGATGGGTGTCCCGACTTCAAGATTTGTGGTCGATGTCTTACAGGCATTATGCAAACATTTGGGCTGAGAAACTACTTCAGACAAATTGGAGGGCCAGCTGATGGCTCACCATATATCTGCGATTTATTCCCCGGCGTACCACGAGCGCTAAGCTATTTCCCAAAGCTCGACGAAGCAGTGATACTGAGCGATTTCTCCATCTTTCATAGCTTTGTCGCGAGACTAGCACCTCTTGCCACCTGCCCAAAAGATGGTCCGTACAAAAATCGTCGCTGGTACTGCGGTGAGGAAGCTACGATTTGCGAGAGCTGCTTCGAGGAAGCTATCCGGGACACCAGTCTTGCACATACGTTGACATTGCGCCAGCGTCCAGACGAGTGTATCTGTGACGCCTATTCTCCACGCATGCGCGGCCTATGGAACAAAGCCTGTGCGGAGAATAACATTGAATCCTTTAATTTAGCCCTTCGTGAACGCATGCAAGTGTATCTAGCCACCGTGCCCCGGATGCGAAACATTCTGGAAGTCACCAAGATGAGAATGAATACGCAAAGCACGCTGTTCATGTCATCCATCATGCTGCAAGGAGCGAACAACATCGTTGCCGCATCGAGGACGCATAATCCGTACCTATATGGCAATTCGCACATTGGGTACAATTGGGAGACTCCTTCCGGTGCACAGGGAGCGATGCAGTTCCAGCAAGCACTCAATATGAACATTGCGCCTACCGGTGATATGGCTGAGATGAAACAGCTGGGTGACCTTTGGAGACGGTATGAATGATTACTCTGTCGTTGTGGCATTGATATTCGTCGATTCTCGATACAATACTTTATAGTGCCGAATGTGAGACTATGAGGAATTCCCATCATCGGCTGTTCCGAATGTTGGCTTAGATATGAAACATAAATTGAAATGAATAAAACCAAACTACTATGCAAATGTCCTATTCCACTAGTATGCATCCAAGGGACCTAGGTTTGGCTAGGTAATATAACATTATATGTACACCACGCAAGCTAATTGCTATATTTATAATTCTGTAACACTCTTCGAGTGGATTACTGACATGTCTCAAGTCAAAGCTTCATATGTTCTTCTAATATTGGCATTGAAACATGGATTGAACCACTACATCAGGCCACGGCCATTATACGATCTTTGCCTGATGAACGGCATTAACAGCTTGTTGGAAAACTAACTACATCCCAATCTATCGCCGGTCAGTAGCCGTAGATTTACCATCATGCTTTTCCCGAAGTTCAACTTCCACCAAGGCGTATCTGCAACTCCCCTGGAGGAAGGACAAGGTCATGATGTTGTGGCCGTAGTATATAAGGAGACGCGTTGATACGTATACAAGCTGATTGAAGAGTCACTGCTTGCCGTGACTGCCGACCAAGTAAATAACGGAAAATTAAATTTGCTTAGATTATCTCCTACTCGCTAAATAGTAATTAAAAGTCAAACCACGGTACTATATTGTTCACTTGTTCAGAATAAACAACGAAAAAGCCCGCATGCAAAGACACCGGCTGTAAATTGCTTCCACTCAAAATTGCCCGTCTCGAATCTCAATGAAAGCCTCATATTGCTTCTGAGTCCATCGTCGACATGCCTTCCCCCAGTAAATCATCGGCGCAGTGGTCATGATGAATATAAAGCTCAAAACGCCAATTTCTATAAACACCAAGGACAGACTCTGCGCATCTAGCCAATATCCCGCTGCAAAGGTGAAAATGCATCCGATAGTGTTGTTGATGACGGAGACGCCCACCATACCCTCAAGAACCATATCTGGATACGCGTCCATGAGATAGGCCATGCTGAGATCGCCTGCGCATCCCCAACCGAAGCCGATAAAGCCTAAGCCAACATATGGCCACGGCCAATTCCAACCTTTGTCAGAACCAATACCGAACAGCATAAGTCCTGCGGGGCCAATCAAAGCAACTGGGAACATAAGCCAGAGACGTTGCTCAGCCTCGAATATGTTGTTGTTGCGTCGCGCCATCCATCTGACAAAGACATCAGAGAACCAACCGCCGTAAACACAGCCAATGCATGCGCCTATCAGGGTTGGCACATTCATGATGCCGACCGCGGCGTCGCTATAGTACCATGGTGCATCGTACCAGTTATCTTCCTCTACCGTGAGATAGAAAGTGAGCCAAGCGTCCTGAGCTCCCCACTGAAGTCCCGAGTAGAGCACCGCTGGGAATGAGAATATGCGCAAAGTAATCCATAGACGGCGGATGTATTGCTTGAAGCCTGTTCCAACCAGTGTTGGAGAAGGGGTGATGAGGGCGATGCGTTGGAGATAGGTCTTCCCTTTTTTTGAGCCGCATTCGACATCGATGCCAACATCGGGGGATACAGATTGCTGGTTTGTCAAAGGTTCTTTCTTTTCATCAAGCGACCCTTCGACATTGTTGGGCTGAGTATGATTTGAAGACACATCGAGCCCTTGAATCATATGCTTGCGGTCAAACGATGTTTCTTCCAGTCCGAAATAGAAGAGGACCAACATGGCACCGGAGAGGATGGCAGCGAGCCATCCAACCCATCTCCAACCCATGACAGGGCTATCGGTGATGAAACCTGCAACCAGCGGGCCCAGAAAGGTGCCAATACTGACCGCAAGGACGTATAGTCCTAGCACAAAGCCGCGCCGATTCTGGAAGAAAAGGTCGGACAGGGAGAGCTGGGCCATGGCTTCGGCACAAGATTCCGATGCACCTACGAAAAGCTGGTTCCAGATGTTGTCCTCGGTGGTCTCAACACGGGCCAACCATACAGAGCCGATGATGGAAAACAACAAGCATATCATGTACGAGATACGCCGTCCGTATAAGAAGGGGGCAGGGCTCAGCAGTAAGGTGCAATAACCGATTCCTACAAATAAGACCCCCGCGGCGACGTTGATGGCATCCCAGGAGATGCCCAGCTCCGCGTTCATTCCATTGCCCGCAGTTCCGGCATCGTTGGAGGTCGCCGCGGTGAAGGCGACGATGAGCAGAATTAACGACGCATGCCAGTATCGCCTCGGCGCACTCCAGTTCAGCGGATCGTCTGGAGAGTTTGTTGGCGTTGGGATAAGAACTGTCTCTCCGTCGACGCCGGAAGCCAGCCGCTCAGTGCCGTTCAGGTACGTTCCGTCGTCCATCGCGCTTTGGGGCAGTCGGTTGATGCATGCCACCGTTGACGCAGGGCGGGTATGGGGACATTTTATGTTGTCATCGTGGATGCTAATATAACTATCTAGTGGTTGGACGAGATAGATACTCGATTCGGTGAAGCCTATTTTGCGGTCAAATCTATCTATACCACTACGGAGCGGAGTGTCTGTGCTGCCCAGTCATATCTCCTCAACGCATGGCAGATAAGACTTATCGGTCCTACAGTTGCAGTACAGCATAAGCTTCACATAAGAGAGCAGAGGAAAAAAAGAGCACCGGTGCTGGATAAAGTAGTAAGCGGCTTCGTATGCTCGGTGTTCGTTACAGTGCAGATAAGCGGCAGATTCACGAACGTGGCATTCGCATGCACCTGCTGGAAGTGGCTAGGAGGCCCGGCGATTCCCTCCAGTAAAAGCAGATAGAGCAGTCAGAGGGCCTGTAAGTCCCTATCTCTCGCCTGAAAGCTTGTAATGGCGCTAAGTTGGAAGAAGCAAGTACAACACGGGTGCTCGAGATAAGCCTGGATAAGTGTGGAGGTGGAGTCGCTTTTGTGTGCACGCGCGTTAGCAGGCTGACGATGGCTTCTCTATTAGCCCAATGTGACCTGGTCTGCTGGTTGAGTGAGATTGGCGAAAAGCTTAGCGTAGACATCTCCTTGGGCTTTGCTGTACTTATTCCGGAGCCTGCCAGTCGCCCCTCGTCTCGTCCAACTCTGCAAACCTCAGCGACCGACTCAGTGTCCTGTCTACTACAGCTTAAACAAAACCCTTACAGCAGCCGAATGTCCACTTGTCAGCTCAGAATGGCCCAATCGTTCCACATTACCTCTTCCATTATGGGAAATAGTCCGTTAAAACCGAGTAATTGTTGCTCCGGCCTGGCTGCGCGTCTCGCAACTGCGACTCCCGTGGAGTCTGCACCCGACGAGGCAAAATGCGCAGAGAGGTCGGAGCGCAAAAAGGTGATTGTGGTGGGAGCTGGAATCTCGGGTCTCCGAGCCGCGTCTATCCTGCACAGCCATGGCTGTGAGGTCGTTGTGCTGGAGGCCCGGGATCGCATTGGAGGTCGGATACTGACGAGTAGAACGGAGAATCGCGTGCGGGATATTGGTACGGTTGCTCCTCGGAGATTAGACAGAAAGAAGACGCACTTAGGCTAATAATCAATTTCTTCGTCAAGGCGCCGCATGGATGCATGAAACCTCGCAGAACAGCTTGGTTGAGCTGGTGCCTCGTCTGTCGATTCCATACTATTATGACGACGGGGCCCCCTTGTATTTCACCAGAGACGGTCGTGCCGGATCTCAGTTCAAGGCCAAAAAGGTGGCCGACGAGTTCGCCGACTATTGTACGTGGTATTACCAAACTCATCCGGACGCAGAAGACCGTACGGTTGATGAATTTGCTAAAGAATTTGTCCTGCAACACAAGCTCATCACCGATGACGAGCGTTGCTGGGCACCGCAAGCCGTCCGCGAGGTAGAACTCTGGATCGGCACAAGTACGGACCAAGCTTCTTCCAGGCATTTGTCCTATTTCATCACGGAGCGCAATCTGTACATGAAAGGTGGCTATGATCGCATTGTGGACTGGACCGCAGCGTCTCTCACAAAGGACCCTGCCATCATCCGACTTGGCCATCATGTGCAGCGCGTGGAATGGAAGGAAGACGGCAAGGAACTAGCAGGCGTCCACTATACAGATGCAGCTGGAAATGCTGCTCTGATTGAAGGCGACGCGGTTGTGATGACCGTGCCCTTGGGTGTATACCACCATAACCTCATCTCTTTCAATCCTCCCTTGCCGAGTGACATCCAAGAGGGCATATCAAAATTTAGCTACGGAGCTCTGGGGAAAATCTTCTTTGAGTTCACCGACGTCTTTTGGTCAAAGGACAACGACCAGTTCATTTTCTATCCCTCTCCAACCGATGAATTCGAACATTCTTCCGCATCTTCTGTGCACTCCAACGCCAGCATGAGCTCCATGGGGGAGAAGGACAACATCTTGAACTACGCCACTGTCACAATCAATCTGTGGATTATGACGGGAAGCAAGGAGCTGTGCGTGCAGATTGCTGAGCCCTTGACTCAGCGTATCGAAGCTATGAAGGATTCCGAGGAAATCTATCGTTTCTTCGAGCCACTGTTCAAACTCCTTCGTATAGAGCCCTACAAGGCCCTGCCCAAATTGGTCAGCGTGGAGACCACCCATTGGACTCAAGATCCATTGGCAGGGTATGGAACGTACTCGGCCGACAAGGTCGGGGACAACCCTCTATTGTTCATGGAGGCGTTGGAGAATCACAAGAACAGTCGGTTGCAGTTCGCAGGTGAGCATTGTACTCGCATCGCCAATGGTTGCGTACACGGTGCATTCAAGACGGGTGAAACCGCCGCTGAGAATCTGCTTCGTACTTTTGGCATTCCATACCAGGCAAGCGATGTTGTTAGCTTGAAATAAGAGACGTTCAGACGTATGTAAACTGGAATTTGGTCTTTGAAATTCTACGTTTACCGTTCATGCTGTCTTATCGGTGAACAGAGAGGCAAAGTCTCCTGTTCGATTCTATCATAGAAGGAGGTGCCTAGGTAGTAGGTAAATATTCAGAATAGTCATTCAATGGACAAACATACTTATTTACTCTCGTCGCATCAAAAGATCAGCCCAAGAGTGAGCATTGTAGGATAAAGTCAACAGATTTCAACCGTTTAGTCGCTAACTTGCACCGTCGATATAATCAATAGCTATTACAAAGTATAGCATGCCTAGGATTTACCTCGTGAGCAATACATTAGAATTAGAAAAAGAATGCACTGGAGTCTTCACCTCGTGTTGTCAACACATGGTCATGTTGTTTAATAGCGCGTCAGGGTGCTCTCTCCACTGCCCACTGAAGGACAAGATTGCCATGTTCGGGCAAAGGAGAGCAATTTGTCAATGACAGGATGCTTTTTGCGGACCTCGGTCGTGCACTGGAGAAACTTCGGGGACTATGGACGCTCGACGGAGTACCTTGACTGAAATTAGCTTTGAAAGCTTTGAAACGATCGACATCGCCATCTACAAGGTCTCCTGAATATCATGATGGTCTAAAAGAAGTGGGTTCGGGATCGCCGAGTTCTGATGGTGGATACACATATCACTATGCAACGGAATATGTATGCTGTAAAATAAAGAAGACGCGAATAGTTGTTGCTAACATATCCACTTTTGCAATGCTACCTGCCTAGGCAGTGTCCGTTCCGGCTGTATTCTGTACTCTGCCTACGATAACTAGCAATATGCCATGATATCATCTACTGTATATTATGGGTGGCGAGGGCGCTGGAATCGGCCCCTTTTTAGGGCTTACATGCATTCAGCCTCAACGTGCGCCAAGAAGCGCCATGAAACTTGCATGATGTAAGAGTAGAATAACTAGTTGCAGACTTGAAATGATAGTTACCTCGACTGTCCCTGTTGATCCACTGATCGATCCACTACGATGTAAGCGGCCTATATTCTACTAAGCTTATGCGAATACTTGATGGTATCCACGGGCATCCACCCGCGTGCAAGAGCTATGTACAACTGGCAGTGCAATGCGAATTGGAAAGCTCTTGTTGTTCAGGGGCCATCGGCAACATCGTCATCCAAAGGCAGGGAATTTCCCAATTGAACCAGACAGAGTCCAAAGGCAATTCTGGCAAGACCAATGACACAGAAGAAATAGGATATTATTACCTTCATGATGAGCAGCAGCCACTCAACGATATGTCTAGATATTGTGTGAGATTTTAGGTAAGCGAAGGCAAAAAAGATAACCAGGTATTTAGAAGATCGACAGGCGTTAAGAACTAGGCTCTCCACCACTGCTAAACACCTAGTTAGCTCATCATACGCTGTACGGAGTATGTGGATGAGCTTTGAGAGTAACATACTTCCAGATAAATTGCTAAGAGAATGAAGAATCAGCATTAGGAAAATCCTCTGCACCTGACCTGTTTGCAGGCAAAGACGGTGATATCATTTGCTGGCAGTGAAGTATCGCTTACTTAGGAACGTACTTGTGAGATATCAGAATGAGGAAGAATCGCAGGTATAAAGAGGACCGACTTGACTCTCGACTTCTACGAAATCATCAACAACACAACTCATTTTCTCATAAAAATTTCCTCTTAGAAACATTCCAAACATCCTTTATTGCAGCAAAGAGTTGCTCCCTTTACAAAATGTACAACTTCGGACAAATTCTCAGCATTTCCGCCTTGCTTCTAGCAAGTGCGACCGCCTCGAACGTTACCACTAAGAGATGGGAGACGACTGCATGCTGCGAGGAGATGACCGATTGCACCACGCTCAGCGGTGAACAAGATGGACTCAAATGGTGTGTTGGTTACTTCGAGGGAAACACCGAATGGACGCAGGGCGATTCCGATGCCACTCAGTGCTTGACGTACTTGCACTATACGCAAGACGACAAATGCATCTCAAAGTCTGGTAGTCGCTGCGATACTGGTGGCGACTCTCCAAACGTCGCAATCGTTGACGACGGCTTCTGGTACGGAGACTACCAGCTGTCGAGTGCAGACATGTCCGCTATCAACGCTGCTATTCAAGCTTTGGTCGGAACGGGTATTGACATGAGCACATCCCAGGCCGGTGATTTGGGAACCCTGGTCTTTGCGCATGTTGCCGACAATGGATCCGGAATTAACTCCATCGAGGTGTTCAACTCTGGAAGTTGCTAGATCAATTCAGCGACAACTTCGTGACTGTCTTGCTTCTTCACTGCTGATGAAGGAAAGACGATCAAGGGATGATCTGAATACAAGAGATCGATGAATAAGATTTTGCTCATGTTGGCTATTTGGAAGATGGAAGCGGTTCTCTATTGTACATAGGTCATGCAACACATCTCTAAATCGATAGATCCATTGAACAAATAACTCTCGCAAGAACAATATTTTGTACTGAGGTTCACCGTAGCCATTTACATGGAACGATACCTAGGTATATCATCGATACCGTTCATCTAAAGTCTCATAACATCATATCCCCTGGCGGACGGTAAAAAGCGTACTTGTTGTGTTTTGGGAGAGCAGGCTCGGTTTGACAAGTGAAAGTCGACAGGTATGGGAGATCGCCATGGCGAACCAGCTCGATTAGCGCTTTTGGGGAGACATTGAAAGGTAGGGGCACCTGTATCCCATCACGGTGCGTGACAGAAACTACCTCTGGCTCGCCATATTCTCTATAGATTTGCGCGATAGAAAGATCGCAAAAGTTGACGGCAGTTTGACCAACACTTTACTGAGATGAATGTCTAACAATTGCCACACAGAATTAGTTGTTAGCCGCGTAACAAACGCCAGGCTCCATTGACGAACCTGCATGAATATAGCCCTGAGAATGTACATAGGACACAGCCTGGACAAGCCCTGCCCACAGGGCGCGTGCGACATTAATAGGAAACAAACCAACAAAGCCTGCATCCCGGAAATTACATCGTGCGGGTGCTACAGTATAGCATTGATGTGTTAACCCTAAAAGACTCAAACTCGTCCAACAGACGAGGCCCCGAGTTACGGCCCGGGTGTGTAGACGATGCCGAATACAAAGCTCGGAGGATCTTCCTATCCCGTGCTGTTGGATCTGCTGTGCCCAGTTTAACAGCAACATACTGCTTGAGACAAGTATCCTCGGCCAGTCAGACAGTAGAATAGCCCCCGAAGCCTAGCTTATCGACGATGGTATAGCGCTCGTGAAGAACGTCGCCATTCATAACGGGGCGATACCCCCCAGGTGTATATTTTTTCCAGATTTTCGGCACCATCAATCCAGTTGTACTGGTAGTGACGCGGTTTCACATCATCGGGGCCGCTATTTGGGTTCGCTGATGAATGAAAAGCTGTGTAGCGAAGTTGAATGGCTACTGAACATCCAAAAATCCAATGGCGGCACGTATATAATACTGGTCGTGAAAGTTTTGTGAAAGCGAGCGGCATAGAACAGCGCCTCATTGTCTTGTAGGATGAGGACAAGTTGTAATCATCGTGTCACAAGAAAAATATTGAGATACAACCACCCAGGCTAGGCTCATTCTGGTAGGAGCTGTAGCACTGGACAGCTCAGTGTAACAAAATACAGAATACAGAGGAAAAGACGATGAGATATCGGAAAATTTTTCAAGTGTATGTACAAGTTCTAGTTTGCTGCCGTATACGTATATACATTCCTAGGATTACAGCGTACCCATTTATCAAGGTAGGAGGAGGTATTGATTGAAGGTTTTTAGATACATATAAAATGACCTTCTTAGTTTTCACGCAGAATTGAGTGATCTCAAGCTACATTATGATTGATAATTGAATAGGTGATTCTTATCTTCTAAATTTCTGTTTTCCAAAGCGGGGAAACTTCGTGAATCTTGCCGAGAACCAGGCTCCAGCAAAACCGAGACCTTCTCGACAACACAACACTGTCGGCTACACCACTCAGCAGCAAACATGGCTGACCAAGAGACTGTCCAGAAGATCCTTGACGATATCCCTCTCCGCTACCGTGGACCAGGCGGTGCTATAGCCGTGGTCAGGCATGGGGAGCTTATTGCACAGCGGGTCTGGGGATATGCCGATGTTGACCAGCGTGTCCACCTTAGCCCTGAAACGCAGATGCCCATCTGCTCAATCACAAAGCAGTTTGTCTGCGCCTTATTGCTTGACCTGAAGCATAACCCGACTCCCGAAATGGCTGCCAAGGGAGACATTGAGTCCCGATTTGATGAGAAGTTTCGCGAACTTCTTCGTCCCGAGTTAACCAACGGCACCGGGTTGACTATTGATCATCTGTGCGATATGCAGTCTGGTCTTCGTGATTACTGGGCCATGACCGCGCTCTGGGGCACCAAGCCGGAGGATGAGTTCCTGGTTGAACGAGACTGCCCGCCGATGTTGGAACGCACCAAGTCGTTCCATTTCAAGCCGGGGACCGAGTACTCTTACTGCAATGTCAATTTTCATGCCCTTGCCCGGATTATTGAGCGTGTCACGGGGGAGTCTCTTGGAAAGCTGCTCGCCAAACGCATCCTCAAGCCGGCAGGGATGCATACTGCATTCCTCTGCCCGGACAACAGCAGACTCCCGCCACCATGTCTCGGCTACGAGGGAACAGAAGAAACGGGATTCATTCCCGCTGTAAATCGGATGCAATGGTCAGGCGATGCTGGATTGGCTGCATCCCTCACCGACATGATTGCTTGGGAGAAGCATCTGCACCACCTATTCGCTGACCCACAAAGTTGGTACCACCAAGTTTCTCGGCCCATAACTTATGCCGATGGCACGCATGCCCCTTATCACTATGGTCTGAGCCATGTTGATTTCGATGGTGTGGATACCCTGGGCCATTCCGGTGCGCTGCGTGGCTACCGGTCTCATCGGCGCCATGCTTTGCAAGAGGGTCTATCCGTTGTGATGTTGTTTAATCATGAAGGAGACGTCGTGTCTGCCGCTAAAGATGTCATGCGAGCCCTTCTGCATAAGCCTAAGCTGGAATATGCCCCTGTGGATCCAAGTCCCATTTGGATTGGCAGTTTCCTTGATAAGGAAACACAGCTGTCCATTACAGTCAGCAAAGGGCCTGCAACAGGAGAGCTTGTCATTGCTTATTCAGGCCATCCTGAAATCATTAGGCTCACTGACCCCAGCCATGGTGAAGCTCCGGGGATGTCAGCAAGTGTTGACGGAGACGTACTGCGTATACATCGCACTATGGACAATAGAAAGCTTGAGGCTCGGCGTCTTGTTCCGCGCGATTCCAGCTTCAGAGACAGCTCGCTTCAGGGCGACTACAAATGCACCGAGATCGATTCAGCTTTTCACTGCTGGGGCGATGCGGGGATGTTGTATGGAGAATTTGATGGATACCTCGGTCAGGGAACCGCAACTAGCATGAAATACCTTGGTGATGATGTTTGGATCTTGGCCTGCCCCCGAGGACTTGATGCTCCGGCACCAGGAGACTGGACTGTTGTCTTCCACCGTGATGAAAGCGGCTCTATCACCGGGTTCACGATCGGATGCTGGCTAGCAAGAGGACTTGACTTTGTTAAAGTCTAACTCGGGGCAGGCATCAGTCTGCTTTCTAGAGCATACTTTTCTGTTCTATAATGACAATGCTCTTTATTGAATGTTTATAACTGGTGTTGACTAGATATCCCGTGCGGCCAAATATTAATGCCAATCCTAGCACTATGCCAACATTTAACCCACTTTATGTGATGTTATACAAGCAGCATAATCGTTCAGGGGTTTAATATCTGTGGACCCTTTTAGCTGCCTAGAGCTGGAAGTAAATAAGTATCATGCCCTTTTTCGGTGAATCTTGGTATACAGCGGATTATCTCCTCCGAAAGAATTTATGCCAGAGCTCCCAACAGTGTGCGAACTTTACGGTCATTCCCGTAATAGGGACGTTGGCAAGCCCATCTAATTTACTGCGAGTGAGAGCCATCTATTAAGTATCAAGTATAGCGAGGCGTTCCCCTCGGCATCAAAGAATGGACTGCTGCAAGATGCTAACTATTTAAAGCGCAAGCTTTATATCCTCGCCATTCGATATCCTCACTCCAGGCTTTTCTATCCACATCGTTTCTTATTCAACAACCCACACTCTTGCAGCCAGCTACCAAGCAGAAAGTGAGATTACTGAGTATTCAATATGTGTCTATGGCATTTGTATGGGAGGATTCAAAATTGCACGCAAGAAGTGGCAATTCGATGCTCTGATTGGTGGAACCAGTGTGTTTAGCGAGTTCACCACTTTCGTGCTCAACCATTGCCCCGCGCGCATAGTGTCAAAGTAAATGCAATACAATACCACTTGGCTATAGACTTAGCAGAGTAGGAATATGAGGACGTTTAGTCTCTACGACTATATCGCGTTGACCTCTGAACATGTCCCAAGAGGCCCCGAAAGACCTAGCAACGAGAGAGCCCACAGGGAGACCACCAAAACGCAAATACATCAATAGGGCCTGTAAAGAGTGTCGCGCGCGGAGATCAAAGGTATTTGAATTGTTTTCCGGGTCTCTCGCTCTGGTATATGCTCTCACAGTGCAGCTAACCCCGGAAAGTGTGACGGGAAGAAGCCAGCATGCTCTCGCTGTCTCGCGCGAGGAGTCGAATGTTCATATTCGACTGAAGAAGATGGCCGACGGCCAGCATCCAAGACTTACGTGCTGCTCTTGAGGCGACGGATTGAGCATCTAGAACGGCTGTTGCTGTTGCAAGGGGTTGCACATTCTCCACCGGTTCCTGGGCGACTGGAAGCCAACCATGAAGAGCTCACAGAGCCCACTCTCGCAAATGACTCCCTCTTATCCTCTGACTATGAAGATATCTGCTCATCATTCGAAGGGGCGCTATGTTTAGATGCATCACTGAACTTCGACCGGGACGGCCAGCCTCGATACTTTGGCGCTACCAGCGGGCGTCTGGACTTTCAGCCTCGTAGGGAACCCGGCTGCAGCTGTCTATTATTGTGGTACTCGGCTGATCTGAAGGCTAGATTCCAGCGGGAATGGCGATGCGCAGGCAGAAACAGATTCCATTCAATCATCAGATCGCGGGCGAGCTCGCAGCATCATCCAAAATTTGGAGTCGGGGCCCAGATATCAAGATTCGGAAGAGCTAGAATCGCAGTTGGTCGATCTTTACTTTACATGGGAGCAACCTTGGAAGCAGGTTGTTGATGAGAAGCTATTCAGGGAAAGTAGGAGAACCGAGGGCAAGTATTTTAGTCCCTTGCTGCTGAATACTATCCTGGCCTTTGGCTCTCGGTTGTGCGACAGACTGGAAGTGAGATCAGATCCGGATGACCCAAACACCGCGGGAAAATTGTTCCTTGAGAGAGCTGAGGCATTACTTCCTTTCGATTTGAAGTGGCCCACCATCACGACTATACAAGCCTGTGCCATTTTGGGAACACTTTACGTTGTTAGTTATTCCAAAAAATGTAGGATTATGGCTATTAGAGTTTCCTAACTTTACCAGGCTATGGGATCTGATGCAGCGGGATGGTTACATCTAGGAATGGCGTCTCGATTGGCGCTTGATATGGGATTTAATCACGATCCAGCAACATTCAAAGGCTCATTAACCGCAGAGGAAGTCGAACTTAGAAGGCGGATATATTGGGCGTTATACTGCGACGACAAACTCTTTTCAAGCTATACTGGCCGAGTTTGCACGATGCTTGTAAGTTTGGTAAGCCCGAGTGTTTTGCCTATTTGATACTCCTAATGCTTCTTTTTTTTAGGACTCTCAGGGGGCCATCAATTTGCCTTCTATTACGGAGATATCGGCCATGAATAAGAAGACACAGGAACTGGAAACCGCTTTTAGTGTATCTGAGAGAGAGCTACTGCCGTTACGTAGAGCGTTGGCAACGCACTGTCGGATATTGGAAAAGATCTTACTCACGTTGTAAGTCATCTTTTGTGTCTCCTCCGCAATAATATCTTAACCATCCCAGGTATGCACCCAAGCCGATGACTCGAACGTCTCAAAGGAAGTCTTTTCGTGACTCTTGTATATTGGAGCTGAAGAACTGGTTTTATGATCTCCCTCCCGGGCTACGAATTGATCGGCCAAGAACTGGAATGCTTCCTCAGGTATTCACATTGCATATGGTTCACTATACTGCAGTCATACTTCTCCTGAAGCCTTTTATTTTCACTGGCGAAGATGGAACCTCCCAAAAGGCAGACCTTCCATCAAACACGGGCGACGCTGCCTCAGAAAGCTCCCTCGCTTTGTGCTATGAAGCTGCTAGGCAAATTTGTATTGTGGCGAGAAAATACCGTCAAGTATTCGGCAGCTTCCGAAAGAGCCCGATAACAGCAACTCATTGCACACTGTCGGCGGCGCTGTTTTTACTGAAAAAAATGAGGCACGACGGCGGTGAAATCAAATGTTCCGACCGCAACCTTTTCCAGGCTTGCCTCAAGACATTGAAAGAACTCGGCATATCTTGGTACCCAGCATGGCGCTACTGGAAAAGTCTCTCGGACACATTCACTGCTTCCCGCAACAATGCTGGCAACTCAGCCATGTCTGACTCTGCTTTGAGTTCCGGGTTAGATGCATACCAAAATATTCTCCAAGAAGTCCAGGGAGATGCTCCTGAATGTTCTATAGATGAACAAGGGTCTGCGGGTTCCCCGCAGAGCCTGACATGGTCGAATAATATGGACTGGGCAATTAATCTGCCTGAAGATCTGGATCATGCTGCTGCAGATCAGCAAGACCTTGGTAGTCACATCGACTCCAGACCCGACGTGTCATACTGGCCAGATCTTGATGCTGGATTCATGTTTGACTCACTCCCAGCTGATTATACCAACTTGAACTTTTCCAACCGGACGACCTGAAGGTTTACTAACCGACGGTTGATGATACTGGGAGAAGCCAATTCGTGAAATTGTATGGGCTGTCAAAGAGACTAGGAGCTGCTCTCATATACGCAAGCCTCCATAGCAGCCAACACAGCCATATGCACTATTTTTCGTAATATAAACCTCTTCCTAGCCATGAAGCACGAGCAAGCAACATGCACAGCACCACACACCACATGAACCAGTTAACGGTCCGTAATGACGTTTAAGCATTTTGAAAGCGTTTTTGAATCCTCAACTTGCAGAACCAAGTTTGTATTGCAGGAGATCTCCATTATGGCGACTATGGAAGCTCCTGGTAAACGGCAGCAACAACTCTCCTGGCTGAATAAGTGTGCAACGACTGGATGTACGGTACCCAAAGAAAATTCGAACACCCGTTTAGTCACGAGTATCTAAGCTCGATCGATAGGATTATATTTTCCGACGGCTTCCTTCAACGCTATGCACTCTTCTTACCTAGGTAGTCCTCTTGAAGTTCTGCTTATTAATGACGATGGCAAATTTGCGTCTGCGGGATACATATTCCGACAGGCGGCTCGGCTACCTATGTAAGTAGGTAGGTACTTATAGTGCTCTTGTGTACCTAGGTCCTTGATCAAATAACCGAAAAACCAAACCTTCGAAGTGTTTCTCACGTTCGTACTATCGACACAATGGCTGATCTTCAATACTACAACTACCCTGGAGTGGGAACCACCAATCAGAAGCTGTACTCGTACAGTCAGGCGGTTCGAGTAGGAGACACAATCCATTGTTCTGGCCAAGGTAACGAACCACTGTTGCACAGCGCGGTCATGGAAAGAGAGACTGACCATCTCAGGTGGATGGGACCCTGAGCGCGAAGAGCAAGTGTTCCCAACCGAGATCAACCAGCAAATCGACCAAGCATTTAGAGCCGTGGATCATACTCTTAAACACGCTGGTGGCAAAGGATGGTCGCAGGTCTTCCGTGTGAACTCTTATCACTTACCGCTCAACAACGAAGCCCTTGCAGCAATGACAAGAAATTTCAAGAAATGGATGCCGGACCATCAACCGATCTGGACCTGCGTTGGGGTGACGCGACTCGGCGAGGACGACATGCGTGTGGAAATCGAGGTGCAGGCATACGATCCAGAAGGCGCAAAGGCAGCAAAAAACAAGACATCATAAGTCTCAGGACCTTTTCTGGCGCTGAAAACGCTTGAGGCTCAAGGGAACAAACGTCAATCTGAGATCCACACACAGCACGACGATATATGTCTACGTTCGCACTAGTCGTGCAATGTTTTGATAGTGCTTTATCACTAGAAAAATATCGTTACATGTGGATATTCCAAACTATGTATGCACAAGGCGCGTTGTTGGCCGATAAATGGGAGGATATCGCAGTAAGAAAGGGTTCTAGCAACTCCGTGTTTCTCGGCATTAGGTACTACACCGAATAATGGTAGATGACATTCATTGTTCAGTTCGTATACACGAGATTTAAGTGTCATAGACATCGTGGTGATTTATCCGTTGGTCAAACGTGCACATTTCCATACTGACGACTGGTGAACAATAACTATGTTTTTACATGATACTGCTCCAGTAATTCCTTGACACGATCAACCGGCAAGCCTTCAGCCCTGTGTCCCATAAAACCAGTAAGTCCATCTTTAGCAGCAACCAAAGCATTGAGAATGGCCTCCTCCGTTGCCTCCGCTGCTGCATAAAACAAACCGTCAATGCATTCATTTTTGACTGACTTGGTTGGGAATGTCTCGACTGTCGGAAGATATCCTGGCATCCCTGTCTCTAGCTCATCGTCAACAACGTTACCTGTTGAGAGGGCCAGGAAGATATCCCCTGAATAAGTTCTACCCGCGCCATGTCCGGCTACTTGAGACAAACCAAGAGTTGCTCTTTGGGCGAGGCGTTTCAATTGATGCGGAAGAAGGGGGGCATCAGTTCTGTGACTTGTCAGCCTTACATATACTTATGTAAAGGGTTCAAGAGATGAGGAATGGGATGAAAATACATAATGACAATAATGATGCTCCCTTCTCCCATTTTACTAGAGACGGGTTTCGTGGGCAGTTTCTGCGACAAGATTCGCCCGACTGGCACTCCTCCAATTTGGAGATCTTTTTGCCAGCCATAGTTTGCTTGAACCAAGACTCCGACGGTGAAGGTCTCTTCCTTACTCCTTCCTGGAACAATCCGAGAAGATGTTCCTGTTCCTCCTTTATATCCGTGACACCGCATTCCTGTACCACCACCATGAGAGCCCTCTAAAACCGGAGGCGGTGGATTGGACAGTGCTGAGTCGATTGCCTCGTAAACATGATGCTTTTCAACGGCTGACTTCGTCACGTCGTTCAAAATACAGTCAAGTGTCTCCGCGACAACGGGGATTCCGATATTTCGAAAGGTCTCTTCGAAACTTTCTTCATTCTGTTTCGCGAGATCAAAAAGCCAGCTATAAACGGCATCGTAGACCTTGCCTACGCTGATTGAGTTCGTTAATGCGATTGGCTATACGAAAGTCAGTCATTTGGTACAAATCGAAAAATCTTTGCAAAGAAAGATGGATGGGAGGAAGAACCAACGGTGTTGAATGTCCCAATCTCCTCGATCTGGTGCGCCCCAGTCATTTCTCCCATTCCATTGAGTTTATGAATTGCTGCATAGCAAGGCTTTTGGCGGATCTCGTCTGGACCTCGCGGTAATATCACGGTGACACCCGTATGCGTGTCGCGACCTTCATGTATGGTAGTTTGTCCGACTCGCACCCCTGGTTGAATATTAGAGTACATAATCGAAGAGAGGAATGAACACACAGAAACTACCTTTGACATCAAGGATAGAATTTTGAGGACCAGGCTGGAGCTGGCCGGGGGCGTATCCCAAATCTCGAATTCTCATGCTGGAGATGCGCATGTTGTGAGAGAGTATTTTTCTATTCTGGACCTTTGATTGTATTATTATCTTATGAAGAAGGAAAAAAGATTCCGACCGAACTAACTCAACATACATATATAGACTGCAAAAAGTTGCCTGGCATCGGTGGATAATCATAGTATTCTGCGTGATAAGAACAGACAAAACCCGGTGATAGGAGAGGCAGACCCGATCAAAATTTTCAGCCGGTCCTCCTGTTAAACCCGATGATAGCCACCAGACAGCGGATCGCGCGCACAAACACGCCAGGATGGTCAGAACAACCATTGCGTGTTCAAGGTGCAGGTAAGACACACAAAACCTGGCATTATTCTCCGTGTATCTCATCAACGGCTTCTAATTCGGGCTTTCTGCAGACGATATAAGGTCAAATGCGTCCATCCAGGAACTCCGCCCTGTCGAGGATGCGCAAAAGCCGGCCTCGATGCATCCAATAGCTGCGTCCTCTCCAGGCCCGTCGTGACTAGAAAGAAAAAGTCGGTGTTGGGGTCCCTTTAGAATCGCATGCACAATGCTGATATTCGATTAGACAGCAGCCGATACCGCATGCCTCACGGTCTCGGCAACAGCGACACTCTATTGATGTAATATCACCAGATGATGGATCCAGGACAGATGAATACAACGATCAACTGCATACCCGCCTTGCTGTTAGTGATTGCATCCTCGACCCTGCCCTCGTTCTACGGGCCGGCACTATCTTTAAGGACAAATTCCCCGAGGTTCCCTTTCTGCATATGTCGACTTTCAGGAAGCTAGTTAAATCAGTGGGTAGGCATGGGGGAAACTCCGGACCTTCGCCTGCTCCAAGCTCTGCTGGATTTGGCCGAGCAGCTGGTCTTTGTGCCGCCTTGCTAGCAATCACGCTACCTTTCACTGATCCACAAGCATCACGAATTCAGTACGTCAACATAGCAAAGGAAACGATTTCGTTGGATGAGTCCATGGATATATACACGGTGCAGACACTGATTATACTAGCAATACATGAATGGGGCAATGGAAAACCACGCCAGGCATGGATATACAGCGGCATGGCAATTAGAAGCATGCAGCTTATAAGCCCCATGGCGGATTCGGACAAGTGCACAGAGCTGCAACAAGAGATCTACAATCGGACTTTCTGGAGTTGTTTTGTTCTGGATAGGCTGATATTTTGTGGTAAACCTCAGCCACCAGCACTCCCACTCGCATCGGTAGACACTCATTGGCCGTCGAGAGAGACGGATTATGCATTTGGGCTATCTGGCGTCAAGTGGTATCCCAATAAGACAGTCGGAATCCAGTCTACCTCTGTGGTCGAATACGTTGATGGCTATTTTTCCTTGCTCGTACAAGGCGTTGATATCTGGGCTGAGATCCTGAGATGGATAGTTAGTGGTGGAAGACGGCATCCAGATGTTGTCACGGCGAGAGAGACACCTTGGTCGGAAAGATCACACTGGTGGAGAATGTATCAGAGACTTGATAGCTGGAGACAACGGCACGGAAGTCGGATTCGTTTTCCTGACGTAGGTGTCGACGGACACGTTTCACTCCGGGGAGGAGACGGCGAGGCATTTGTATACATCAATCTCATCTACCATGTGAGGTGAGAACAGCCACCCTTACAGCAAGAAAGCCACATCTAATCATGGTCCTTTAGCATATTATTTTTATGCCGCGAGTACATCCCTTTCCTGCCAACTCCGGCATCCCGGCCTTCCGGACCAGTCGATCCTCCACTTTTGGATGAACCGGCTCCCATAGGATGGTGGGAAAATCGTGCCAGTGAGCTATTTTTTGCATCATCTAACATTACTTCACTTCTTCATCAACTCAAAGAAGAAGGGACACCTCTGATTACCCCATTTGCTGGTTTTTGCGCCTTTTCAGCGGCGACAATGAACATATATGTCGCATGTTTTCCCCAAATGAACCTCGGACGAAGCCAGGGACGAGAAGCTGACGCGGGGCGTGATTTGGCTTATCTTGATGAATTCCAGGAGCGCTGGCCTATGGGGGCCGGATGGTGGGCCACTATTCAACGAACTAAGGATCTAATCCAACGAGCGAGTGTAGATTGGTCAGGCTTTGAGGGCAAAACGCGTGCTGACTTTGTGAATCTTGAAACATCTATCCACGACTGTACGGGGTTGTCCCCCAAGAATGATGAGCATTGTCCAGAGAACGACAGGGCTCCTACCGAGTCTGTGAATGATCAGGTTACGCTGAGGTTACAGGAACCATCGCAGTCTAACATAGCTAGTAGCCAGTCTTTGTCAAATCCACAAGCAATGCCTGATTGGCACGAACTGTGGTCTCTTTGGGGTGATCATAATTTGGCACCATTTGGGGTCGAAGGCAGTTCGTATGAGTACTCTCTTGCATTCCAAGACGGCAACATGTCATTGAATTAATTAATCGGGGATATATTACATCTTCGACGTTCAGCCATGGATCGACTTCTTGCTGTATATCCTTACATATATTTATTGATGACAAACAAATATCAATCCCCAAGATCGCTCATATTGCTTTGTCTGCTAATCCAAAAAACTTCCCTTTTATTCCATATTCCATCTTTCAAATTCGAACGCTGTGCTTGAACTATGTTACCCAAGGCTTTACAGCTTTTTCGGCAACTTCGTATGCTTGTTTCAAGACAGATACTAACGTGAACAGCTCGTTATTGGAAACAGTAAAGGGCGGCGCGATCAGGATATGGTCTCCTTCAATTCCATTTACTGTACCAGTACCCGGATAAAATGCCACACCGAGTTCGAAGGCAGTCTTTTGAACCATCTCACCAAACGCAATGCCCTTCTTGAAAGGTCTTTTGCTGCTTCGATCTTCGACAAACTCCAATGCCCAAAACAGTCCCCTTCCCCGGATGTCACCAACATATTTGCAGTTAGTAAATGCATCCCGTAGCAAAGTTTCAAGATGCTTTCCAGCTTTAGCACAACTTTCCACCAAGCCGTCTCGTTTTATGATATTTTGCACCGCAAGTCCCGCAGCGCATGCTACTGGATGTGCCTGGAACGTCTGGCCGTGGTTGAATGCAGAAGTTCCTCCTCTCAGGACATCAACTACTTTCTCGCTAAGCAGCATAGCGGAGACAGGGACATAGCCTCCCCCCAGACCCTTGCCGATAGTCACGATGTCTGGAACAATACCTTCCTGCTCGAAAGCGAAATATGTTCCGGTGCGTCCAACACCACACATAACTTCATCCAAATGAAGCAAAATGCCAAATTCATCGCACATCTCGCGAATGCCTCGGAAGTATCCTTTTGGCGCCGAGGTGCAGCCTGATGTCGCCCCAACTACCGGTTCAGCTCTACAAAAGAACCTCATTAGACCCTTTCCAGATGAAATAAACATTCAACGAACTGGGGGTGGGGGTGTACCTACATGAAAGAAATAACTTTCTCATGGCCAATGCGAAGAATCTCCCGTCGAAGCTCTTGGATTAGCCTCTCGGAATACTCTTCTTCAGTCTCGCCGCGTCTTTGATACTGATATGCATACGCCGGGCTGACGAACGACACGTTCGTGGGCAAAATGTCATTGTAAGGCTCTTTTCGGGGCAGATTCGATGAAATCGTCATTGCACCCATTGTATTTCCATGATAGCTTTGTCGTCTTGCCACGAAGTGGCATCTCTGCAGCTCTCCCTTCTCCACAAAATATTGTCGAGCCGCCTTCAGCGCCGCTTCATTTGCCTCGCTTCCGCTACCAACCAGATACGCTTTTGTAAGCTTGTGCATGTCGCTGCTTTTGGAGAGAAGCAACGTCGCGAGCTTCTCTGCCGAGCTGGTGGTGTATGACATTGTGTGCACGTAGCTCACTTTCTGCATCTGCTCTACCGTTGCTGCAATAACCTCGGCATTTCCGTGCCCTATGATGGCAACAGCAGCTCCGCCGCATGCATCCAAGACTTTTTGGCCGTTGGGCAGGTATAGATAGTTTCCTTGGGCATGGGTGACTAAATGTGGTTGTTGGGTCAGTGATCGGTGCAATAGTGCTGGATCCTGGACCGCGGGCGGCTGGAGGGCCATATCTTCATGCGAAGGTTCTGTGCTAGAAGCTGTCTCGTTTGTAGTGGAGGAAGCCATGGTTGAAATTTACTAAACTCAGTCCGTCCGTATCGAATCGAACGTCGGAAAAAAAGGTTAGTCCAGTTAGGGTATCAGATAAGGTGCTTCAGTAAGCTACTTTTGATTGCGTACCAAACAATGGTTATCCAGCAGAGTCTTCATTCCTCTTTAAGCGACATCGGATATGAAAGAACAGAAAGAGATGAAGGTAAAGGATACTTGTAATGCTCGACGAGCGAGCTTATGCATGCACCAAATTTTGTAGACTTGTGCCGATATTAGATCGTGTTCACAAACCCGGTCAGATCGGATTTACGAATTCGCTCCACAACATATGCCTCCAAACTGCTGACTGTTATCTTGAACTCACCCAACAGGGGACTTTGGCATCTGTATGGTCGAACGATAAGCATGATGTGATTCGTTGTGTTGCTGTAGAGATAGCACAAAAATCTCCGGGTTTGAATCAGGTGGAGCTCCTTTTCAAACCCGGGATGCGACGATTCTATGATGTGAGCTGTCTTGATATGTCGACGGCGGATTATGATGAAATGCTATTTGAAAGTCGTGGGAAAGACATGTATATTCACTAGATTTATAAGTAAGATGTCCACAATTTGTTTGGGAACTGTGGTCCTTTAATGTACTGCCACGAGTCTTCTTATCCAGTTCCGGCTCCTCCGCGGCCATAGCTAGAACTCCGCCAACTGAGAATCCGATATCTCGACCTTCATATCAGTGTACTTAATCTATCAACCAAGAGCAAAGCGATGAGTCTTAGTCGTGAGGCCGCACTTAAATACCCAACCGGGCCATCGCCCACTCACCTTCTCTTTTGTTCAGCAATTCTACATATGAAAGCAACCTTCGGATGTGTCCATTTGGATATTGTTAATGTACTCACATGCCAGCTCGGAGGACTAATTCTGCCAGTAGTTCGTGCTTGGTAGGACTTAATGAGCCTGACTCGGACATTTTGATCAGCCAGCTGACATGCGGGAGAACTGCACTACATGTCTCCCACAATTCCCAGCCATGACCTTGTTGATGTGTTCTTTCGTTCCAGGTGTTAGAAAAGCTGTAGTGCAACATTTGCAGCGCGATATCTAGGTTCATTGATTGCTCCGTCGGTGACATTCTTGCCCATACGGTAGACTGGATGAGACGATGAATTGATATAGCTTTGTGTGCAGTCAACCTGTTCAACAAAGATGCTTTGATAAGTCCACTCACAGCGTCACCGAAACTATGTATAGTAAGTAGAAGAATTTGGTTTGGGGATAGCTGTTTGCTCACTCAAATTCATCGAACAAAAATTGCAAACTCGCTTCGCTAATACCGCTTCTTTGGTTGGTCAGAATCCACTCAAGGATACGATCAGGGTCAAAGAACACAAGCAGGTTAAGCAGACTCTTTGATTCTTCACTAAACAGACTCTCGAACGAAACATCCCACACGGTGTTTAAAGTATGTGCATATTGAATAGGTCCTTCAGATCTCGTGAATATCTTTTGAGATCATTTTTTATAGAGACGCAAGAGCTCTTCAGAGGAATATCCGCGATTTTTCATAAATTCACTGATTTGGGCCATGGCAAGGGGGAAACCACCAAGCAGCTGAACCAAATTCCTGGCTGCAGCTGCATCATTCTCTGTGGAGGGTTCAAGACCGGTCAAAGAATGTAGAACGTCAACGCCTAGCTCACCAGCAAAGCACTGCAAATGTATAACAGTAGAGGTTTTCTTGCTCGCAACTAATGGAGACCGGCATGTGATAATCACAGAGCCTCTAGTACTTGCGGGCCATAGTTGTTCTAGAACTGCAGGATGCTCAACATTATCAAAAATCAGAAGAAAGGTTTTTCCTGACGTATTTAGCCAGTCTCTCACTTTCTGGATGGACTGATAGTCATCCTCAGCGGCCTCTGTTTTTTGGTATCCCAAGCTTAGTCGCAAAATTAGACAACGCTTGAGTGATCTTTATTTGCGTTTCAGCTGGGATCCATATTCTCACGTTATTGCTTCAATCGTATCGGAGACATGGGCTTCCCTGGCTAGGCGTATCATATCCGCAGTTTCATCAACACGCCTTGAGTATAGCTGAATATCCGATATGACGTCGGAAAAGTCATTGCTGAATTTCAGCCACACATTACGGCTCCTTTCAAATTTTGAGAAGAAGAACTCTCTTCGTCAAACATACTGCCGCAAGTTTAAGAAGCAGGGGAGTCCAAAGAGCCATACCGCCATGTGGACACTCTACTTCCCCTCTGATGATATAAGAAAGAGCAGATAGGAGTAGAGAAATTAAATATTAACAGTGTCTGTATACAAAATACAAACTCATGCCTCTAGCCAATCAGAGTAGCTGCGATAGGTAGATATATATATATATATATATATTACCGAGGTAGCATTCAAAAAGAATGTCCACACCTAGGCAGTCCCACATAACCTTCAAAAGGACGCAAGTACTATGTACCTACGACTCGGGGTTCTGGACAATATTATTAAATCGTAACCCATGATTGGCTCAACAGACAAATAATACCTCTCGCTTATTACCCCGCCCCTGAAATTGTCTGCCCCCTTTGACCTTCGTTACTTACACACTGACACAACGCTTTTGCGACGAGCCAACATGTCTATCACTCACATTGTTCTCTTTCAATTCAAGTCAAGCACTGATAAGGCGACTATTGACAGTGTAAGTGACCGTATATGTTTATACGCAGCGAACCAACGTCCGAAAGTGCATATTGACACCAGCTCGATAAAGACCTGTAACCGCATGCTTGCTCTTCGAGAAAACTGTCTTCATCCACTCTCTCAACAGCCATATATAAAGGCCTCATCTGGTGGGCGGGACAACTCACCTGAAGGAATCCAGGTAAGTAATTATCGGTTTTAAATCCATCGCCCAGGAATACATTATGTATTTGCGATTTTCATGTGCTTTAATCACTGACTCTTCGCTACACTGGAAAGCATGGCATTACGCATGCCTTCGTGGTCGAATTCGTAAGTGAGGAAGACCGGGACTACTACGTTGAGAAAGATCCTGCGCATCAGGAATTTATTCGCAGCCTTGATGGAATAATTGAGAAGGCGCAGGTCATTGATTTTACGGATAGAGTATTTTGAAACACAGTCGAGTCTACTTTCAGATACAATGAATCCAGCAGACGGAGAATTTCTAAATTGAATTAGAGCTAGGGAAATGACACCACTTTCCACATTGTGTCCTTCCCACGTACAATTTTTTTCGTCCATCTAGAGACGCATTGGGTTGCTTCTGTCTTGATATACTCATGTGATGGTACCAGCCGAATGGTCTATCTTAAGCCTGGATCCATTACTGTAATCTAGGGCCACTTACTCTCAGTTAACGTAATTATAACTCCTTGGCAGATTGACAAGAAGATACACGAAACGTTAGCAATGTTATGAGCACGGCAAACTGTCGGCAGGCAAAGAGGCTCTCCTTCTTGGATATGCTCATATACGTTAGCTTCCACTCTCCGAAGATCTCGCTTGCTTGGACACCAGCTGTGTTCCGTGCTCAGTGTTACTACAAATTCCATCCACGCTCCTCGAGGTGCGGCAGTAGCTCGTAATGAAGTCGGCTAGGCATAAGCAGCCACCAGTGGGGGCGGTTTCCCGTAGCGATTGTGCCTCACTCTCTCATGAAATATTCTGTCTCTATCGAAGTATTAGACGTAAGAAAAGTTGGCAGTTCCATTTACTTTCCATTGATGGCCTATCTACGTAGGTTAGGTAATCGCTGCAATACCTGATCTTCCGTACTCCCCGTTTTCCTGTGAATTAATGTAGTGATTAACATCTCGTAGGCATACATTATATGCTAGACCTAGTACCTAGATAGTTTGCTTGCTATCAATCACCACAGTCTTGTAAGATGTACCCAACGAGAGGCCGCGCATTCCTGACACTCCCTAATGAAAGTAATAAAGGAGGGCAAGAAATATAACAGCGACGACCCCAGCAGCTTTGTACATTGTAGTCAAAATAGTTGGGTCAAAAAGGTACACTACACTGGAGCAGGAAGAGCTAAGAGAATTAAGCACATCTTTCCAACCAACCAGCAGAAGAGTTCGCCCTACATTGCCCTCAGTTGTTGGCTGCCCTTGTCTTCTCGTTAACTATGAACATTTCCGTCGCGCTTGGATATAAAACTAAAACGCGATGCATGAAGTGGCAAGCCTGCAAAGCCTTCCTGCGTAAATGTTGGTGCTTTAGTGTTTACCTGTTTTCGTCTCATATCACAATACGATGCCCTTTCCCATAAGTATAGAGGTGTTACATTACAGATCCTAATATCCACACAAAAGACAGTTCCTCAGACAAGAAATAATCCGAAATAAAACAGAGATGGCGGACTTCTATACGCTCATTGCTACTATTACAACCAGCTAAGATTAGTCTTACCGGAATAGGGCTATCGATTGTCACATGATTCATATAGCTTAGTTATTCGAAGACAAGAAAAAAAAAACCTTCATTTTGCATATTGCACAATATTGGGAAATTAGTACCTCCAAACAAGAGCTAGCACTTCTAGTGTGGCTCTCATATCAGCGAACTATGAACAAACACCTTCCATATCCTCCAACACTCCCTTCAACTGCTCCACATTGTTTGAATGGCCACCAGCCGTGTTTGCCGCCCATCTCCTGTTCAATTCCTTCACTGTCAACGCCGAATTTTGATTCACAGTTTCAACTGCATCAATGATGTCTACCGTAAGGCCATCGGGCGCACCATCATACAGAGGGATCGGTTTCGTCGCCACCTCAATGTCGCTATTAGCTGCCTTGAATGTTGTCAACTGGGCGTTTCGGCGCGTATTTCGAATGGCCTGAATGTTGAGCTTGAGTAAATTGGCATTGTCAGGGGAGGCAGTGGCAAAACTGATGGCAACGCCCCCAAGCTGGGACAGGAACTTGCTGTAGTCATTGCTGGCGCCAGGCAACGCAACTCCCGGTTTTATTTGTCCCGCAAAATCTCGCCCATCGGGGCCTTTAGTCGATAGAGCTGAGGCTGTCCGGTCCATGTCGGGCAGTGCTGGGTAGGATGTCGCCGGGGCGCTTCGTGTAGGAAGGGAGCTAGGATTGGCAGCTATATAGCGGAGGAGTTGATCCAGGGTACATGGATTGCGACCTGTGCCTTTGCAACCAGTTGCAATCTTCTTCGGGGTCCCGCCGTTGAGCTGGCAATCGATGGAGTACATGTAGTAAATGAGAACTCGTTCGTAGCCTCCAGGAACGGAGTATGCGCTTGTCTGCGCGATTCCAAAAAGGAGGATGAGAAGAGCGATGAGACGCATGGTGAATTATGGCAGCACGTAGAGACTGACACTGACAATTCTACTATGCAGTACAAAGGGAAGAAGGCAATTGTAAAACAGTGTGAGTATCTCACTGTCCCACGGAGTCGGACGCTGCCAGTAGAGGCATGACCTCGGGAATTATATCGTACTTTTATCGTGCCATTGTTACCATTAAAACTTTTGAAAGCAACAACAGCATCTCTCAGTCGACTTCCATTTCCTCAGCACAATCCTCAAAACCAGCTGGTGGAACGATGTCACGTCAATTCGCAACGCTGACCGGGGATGGCTGAGCCGCAACTAGGGTAGGCCAAGCGGATGCTAAATAAGCTCGAGCCTTGGCCATTTTGTACATATGTATCCCGCTGCTGCACCTTAAAATTGTCCTTTACGTACATTTCCTTGGCTCATAAGAAAAAATCCGCCCGCTTGATCATCTACGCATCAAGTAACTTATTACTTTCACTTTTGACAAATTACCCCTATCTTGCCCCAATCCTGCCAACATCTCGACATGGCAGATAACTCCTTCAGAGATCGTTTGAGGTTACTGGCCTTCAGTCTTGGCGAGGCCAGGGATGCTCTTTGCGGCAAAGCTGTACCTGTGGCTCTTGGACGCAGAGTCACGCGTCTTTGCGTGATCCGTGGTATTCGATACTACGAGCAGTTTGCCGAGCACCCAGACCTAGAACAACTTAGGCAATATGTGCCAGAGATCTCCCGTGCCTTGAACGCTCGCGCCATTATGAGCAACAAGATCCCCTCTATGCCTGAGGCGCGAGATAGACCCTACTGCATCTGGCATCCTCAGGTGGCATCACAAGACACCTACAGGAAGCTGTGGCAGCAGTATCCTGATATGTCGTATCAAATTGCCCGCGCGTGTGCCGTAGCCAACTACGTGGAGTTGTACCTCGAGATGAATCTGTTGCCTGATGTCTCTGTTGCCGAGGAAGCCCGCGCCAGCGGGTCGCTGGAAATCTACGAAACAATCATGCAAAATCCTATTAAATATCGCATCATGAATGATTACACCAGAGAGATTACAATGCAGAATCCACAACCGGCATGTTTGAACGATGATACAGCCGTCGTATCTACTCTCGATATCAAACAAGCCATCCGGAAACCCCGAGGCGAAGAGATAGAACCTATTATTGATGGAGCAACCATAGAAAATCTCGACAATATGTTCGAAGATGAGATGGACTATCTCATGCCGTTTCCCGGGTTCCATGAGAATGTGTTCAATATTACAGAGGATATGAACGTGGGGGTGGTGGATTCAGATGAACCACAGCTGAATTACCTACCGGAACTACTCTCCCAACCTCTTCCTATTGATTTGCCACAGGGCAACAAGGACATTTTGATTCTAATGGCGGCCTACTATGGGAACATCGAAAGATATACCAGACTGCGTCGTCCTCGCATGATTAAAGGGGAGACAGGGTGCCTTGTGCGAGGCATATATCACAACTCTATGTTCGCCCTCTGGTGTGGGACCCAGAGTATACCAGAATGGCCCGCCAGCGCGCATGTCACGAGCGCCATACATGCTCGGATGATTATGAACAATGACTTGAGCCGTATCATAAACCTGAACACGAGGCAACCCTACAAAGAATTTCTTGACCGCATGCCATATATGATCTGGTTTCCTAATCCCGCGAATTCCAATACGTACAAGACTCTGGCCAGCACAGTGCCTAGGATGAGACCGTCAGTCTTACACGCAGCGGTCTATACAGAGGATAAAGCTCTCTTCGACTGGATGCTGGACGACCTCGGCGTGGCCCCGACCCAACCTGCTTATCAGGAAGCCAAGGTGCTAGACAGGGGAAGAGGAGGTGAGGCTTCCCACTTCGTGCGTCGTCTAGAGGCTCGCAGTCAAGAACTAGAGATAGACCTTACCGCACCTATTGCAAGTTTCAAAATGTACTCGGCAAAACCGCATCTGAGCAGTATCTTTTTAGCGAAGGACCTGACGCCGGATGCAGTTCATAGCGCGATGGAGGATTGGGGGTTTTACGATGGATACATAGTTGATGCCTCCGAAGTGGAGTTGTTTGCATCAGCACCTGAATCCTGGCGGCCAGACTCATGGAAAGTTGAATTAGACTACGAAGCGTGGCCGAAAAGAGAAAGCACTCAAAAGTAACTTAGAAGCATTAATTTCCTGGTAATTGAAACTTTTTGTGACTGCTTTTCAAGTCAATCCTAGGACAAACATGTTATGGCGGCATTTGATCTATGAGACTATAATTTGACGGGCTAATGAATCCTCTACAGTGGTCCTAGACAAATACATGAAGCCAAATGCTACTGTGTTCTGACTTGGACCCGGCGAACAGGCTCGAGGAATCAGCTTCCAAATTATCAACAAGATACATCGAGACGCTGATTGATCACGAACTTGGGCAAGTAGTATTGCCAAGCATTTGCACGTAGTACTCTGGTATATCCATCATTATAGTATCAACTGATCATGGCCGCTACTCGTAGTATTGGATCCTTCGGCATACTTGGCAGTGTCTGGGGCAAAAGCCAACGACCCACTGTGAGACTGTTTGTTCCGCGTGGAATTTTCGGTCTAGACAAGGGTCGGAAAGGTACCCCTGTTGTCTTATTGCCATGTAACGTGTAAGATCTTGGTAGATATAGAATTGTCGTTGGATTAGAGGAAAAACGCATCTACAATGAGGCCGGCTCTTGGCATGCTCAGCCATGTCGCCTCGACTATATCCAAGTAAACAGTAATTAGAGTATTTAGTCTATTTCAAACACTTTCGGTGGATATCTAATTCTCATTGGGTAGAGGAAAAAGTGCATTTGAGAAGAGGCTGAATCTTGGCGTGCTTAACGAAGTTGCCTCATTTATCAAGATCAAACTTAGCAACAGTTTACATGGTGTATTTAGTCCGTGTCAAGCATTTCCAGCTGAAATGCCGAGATCCGATGTAGCAGCACTCGTTCCTTGTAGGAAACTCTCATGCATGGTTATCCATGAGTACTACGTTGAAGTTATTGTTTCATTTCCCTTGGAAGGTTCTGTACTTCTCCAGCTGATGAACGCTTCCCACTATGTATGACTTGCCATATAAAGACACCTTTGTCCCAAGCATCTAGCCTCCTATTTTCAAGGCTGTACTCTTACAGACGCGACTTGGCCTCTGGCCTCCAACACGTACAACATGAGCTACTCTATCCTATCAGCCACCATATGGCTTCTCTTTTGTTTTCACACTGTGTCTGGCACTTTCTTGTCCCAGATTGAGCCTTGTCCTGACTATTGCGGAGATAAAGACCCGAAAGATTGGACTGTCTACTCGTCATTGACGCCTCTAAGTCAGTGTAACCAACCAATTCTATTCGACTTCAACATTCACACTCCTGTCGACGCGAACACGGTCTTCAAGTTGCGTGCTTGCAATGCTGGCGATGCCTTGCCTTCGTCTGTGGCTCATGTGGGTGAAAGCAACCCCATAAAGGCCGCCCGCTCCATTGCAGCTCCCAAGAATGTATCTGTCAGCAGCTCTGGCACGGCTACAGAGGTGCCCTTTCAATTGCTAGTTGGGGGGCCTTCAGCATCCGCAGCAGCTGATGATTACACAGCCATCCTCTCTGCCGTGCAAAAACGTCTTCAGAGCCAGGCGAAGAACGAGACGGGTGCAACTATTCTATTCGGCTACTCCAACGGCGTTGCTGTTGGCATGTTTGTCGGGGCTGGCATCGATCCTGCCGCAGCTCCTCAAGTTTTCAAACACCTACTTAGCCAGCAACCGGAAAGCGAAATGGTGGTCCAGCTCTGTGGTAATAGCCGCACAGCAAACTACGTCTACGGCCTGTCTGTCAACACGAATGGCGACGTTAGTTCAGTTCAACAGGATGTACTCAGCTGGTGGAATGCCGAGTGTGTGGAGAAAAGCTCTTCTGATATAACCAGTGATTCCTTCAAGGTCAACATGGTGGACCAAAGCTCCAGTAAGATAATTTCTTCGTCTGTTAAAAACACTCGCAGAGACGGAACATGTGAAACCGTCACTGTGGTCAGTGGCGATTCTTGCGGAAGCCTGGCCTCAGAGTGCGGCATATCCGCCAATGACTTCACAACCTACAACTCGCAGCACACTGATCTCTGTTCGACCCTGGCCATCGGAGAGAAGGTATGCTGCACATCAGGCGGGTTACCCAACTGGCAGCCTTCAGCCAACTCGGATGGAACATGCGTAGTGTACAACGTTCAGCTGGGCGACAACTGTGCTGCCATTGCGGCCAACTATGGATGGCAAATCAGCGACCTCAACGACTTCAACGACAAAACTACCTGGGGATGGTCTGGCTGTGACTCACTACCCGCGGGCATCGCCATGTGCGTTAGCAAGGGAACTCCCCCTTTACCTGCGAGTGTAAGCAATGCCGTGTGCGGTCCCACGGTCCCGGGCACAACACAACCTGACAACGGTACTGCCATTGCAGATCTGAACCCATGTCCGCTTAACTCCTGCTGTGATATCTGGGGTCAGTGCGGCATCACAGAGCTCTACTGTAATCCTGAGAAGGGCCCTACTGGGAACCCAGGAACAGCTCCTACGGGATCATATGGTTGTGTATCAAACTGCGGAACGAATGTTACCAACAATGGCTCTCCGCCGTCCAACTTCATCTCGGTTGGCTACTATGAGCAATTCAATTGGGACCGCGAATGTCTAAACATGCGAGTTTCGGATCTACAGGACAGCTCTTACACTCACATTCACTGGGCGTTTGCTGGGGTAAATGATGACTTCTCCGTCAATGTTACAGATGACGGTAACCAGTTTCAAGACTTCCTTAAGCTCTCGGGGGTTAAGCGCGTCGTCTCCTTTGGAGGCTGGGGATACTCGACTGATCCGTCGACTTATGCCACGCTACGCAATGCCATGACAGATGCAAACCGGGATACATTTGTGGACAATATCAAGCTCTTTGCGACTGTAAACAACCTTGATGGCATTGACATTGACTGGGAGTACCCTGGTGAGGTAAGCAGCTAACTAGCCCGTTGCCATTTCTAGATACAGGTTGGTGCTAATGTCATCTCCTTTCCAGCCGGATATCCCAGGTATCCCGGCAGGTGAAGCATCCGACGGACCAAACTACCTCCTGTTCCTGAAAGCATTGAAAGATGCGCTCGGTGATGACGTCTCACTATCAATTGCTGCACCGGCTTCCTACTGGTACCTCAAACAGTTCCCTATCAGTGATATGAGTGAAGTGGTTGACTACATTGTCTACATGACGTACGATCTACACGGACAGTGGGACTATGGCAACAAATACGCGCAGGACGGTTGTCCCGATGGTAACTGTCTCCGAAGTCACGTCAATCTCACCGAGACAGAGTATACTCTCGCCATGATCACCAAGGCGGGAGTGAACGCCAACAAAGTTGTTGTCGGTATCTCGTCGTATGGCCGCTCGTTTGGTATGACGGACCCAAGCTGCACCGGTCCTGATTGTACTTTTGAAGGCGAAGTCGTAGATGGCACTGGGGGCGGTTCGACCGCAGACTTCGGACGATGCACTTCCACTCGTGGCTATATCTCAAATGCCGAAATTAACGAGCTGATAGTAAGTAATGTCGCCAAGGGTTGGTACGACGACGGCTCCAACTCAGATATGGCCGTTTGGAATACGACCTGGGTTGCGTATGAAAGCATTGACACTCGCACCACCCGGACCAGCTATTACGAGGGTCTCAACTTTGGTGGCACCATTGACTGGGCTGTTGACCTGCTCAGTTTCACCGGCGACGATGGAGACGAAACTGATCCGGACACTGATGATAGCGGTGATGGCAGCTACCCCTTGCCGGATCTGTCTTGCTCTGACACGTACGCGACACTCGACGATATTCAAGCTGCAGCCGACTCAATCCCATCAATTTGTGCTGCCATATACATGGTCCAGGCTCTGCAAACCATTTACACCAATGCCATGACTCAATACGATGCCCTGATGGACAAGGGGTACGACGATAAGTTCAAAATCTATGCAGGCGTTGTCGTCGACCACGCCGGAGACTCGATGACTCAAATGATCTACGAGAATGGAACCAAGTACTTTGATTGTATCGTAGCTGAGATGAACTTTTGTTGCTCTGACTGCGACTCTTCAAATGGCGGTTGTGACTACTGTCGTAATGACACTTCGGGCTGTGCGGAATCCTGCAACCCTCGCTACGGCACTTGTACTCCCCTCAAGCGCGATACATACGCTCGCCTAGACGATGGCTTGTTCGCCCGTGACGTTAGACTCATTCCTGGATACTCCCAAGAGCCCGAGCCGTGCCCTCCTGACTATTCAAAGCACGGCTATGGTGAAACTGACACTGACGGGACGCCTTCCAATTCAATTTGGTGGAGTTTCCAGGACGACAACGCCACGGCTCAGTTCTATGCGGACCTTTACTCCCAGACGGCTATTCCAAAGAACAAAACGTCAATCCAGACCCACGTTCGCTATAACAATGATTGTGCGCCGTCAGCGTCCCTAGGCGACGGTGATAACTGCTGGAACCTCGGTGTGGATTATACCATCCCATACGTTCACAACTATACAGAGTCCGATGTCATCAACCCTAAGGACGTGGTGACGGCTGCTACAGCGAACGCGACCGACCTTCTAGGCCAGATCGCCGATGTCCTCGAGTCTATGCAGAGTGGGCTATATGATGGTGATTTCATGGACGTTGTCGATTCCATCTCTATCCCCATCATGATGATCAACTCATCCATCACAGAAATGGCGACCATCGAAACCGTCGCTGACGAGATTACAAAAGAGAGGCGTATGGAAATTATCATGGCCTTCTTTGGCGCTGTCCTATTCCTGGTCCCTATTGCCGGAGAGCTCATGGGCTCTGTTGCAGAACTGGCAGAGATTGGATCCATCGTCTCGGCTGTTGGGAGCGCCGGAAATATCGCCTTTGACATTTATTCAGTTGCTAGCGATCCCAACAACGCCCCTCTCGCCATTATGACGGCCATTTTTGAGCCCCTGGCCTTGCTAGATATCGCTAAGGTAGCTAAGGCAGCTTCTATCAGGAGAGGTATGTCTGCCACGGATGTTGCCAAGCTAGGTAACCAGGTCAAGCCTATATTAGACAAGATTGACTCCATTAAGTCAGCATCTGCCTGCGTGCGATAAAAGACGTGATATAAAAGGAAGGCTTCGACCAACATGTTTACCTTGCTTGAGTATAGAGTGTTTCCCTAGGATGGCCTATAAAGGTTTCTACCTTTCGCATATAATTCGGTTGTAGATATATAAGTCAGAGTCTCTATGCAAGATCTCTTATGCATACAAAATACATTCTTTTTTTTCATATGTGACAATGTAACATCTTCTGTTCTGTGATGCGGCGACTTGTCACTTGCAGTCCTTATATACGCCATTTCACGCAACTACAACTAGAGCATTGGCATACAAAGGGCTTTTTCAGGCAAATTTCAAAGATGCCGTACTAACGAATTGCTCCTCTTGGTACCTATATACAAAAACTAGTTTTCTCACAATAACCTTAGTTTTATACCTTGCTAATGTCCTTAGCCGAGAGGATAGGTATAAACCCTTGCGTTTACGCTCCTGTCAGCCTACCGAAGTCATTCTCAGCTCAACCATATTTTTCACAAATCCCAATCCTCATAGTTGTGTTTATACGTAACGGATATCTCCAGCAATTCTCCCCTTCCTAGCCAATGAGTCGAGCGCGTTTGCGACACTTTTCGCGGCAATCGAAGCTACTATGATAGAAATCACCCGGCATCCATACTAAAGGAAAGGAAAGAAATAGTACGATCGTCCGGCGTGCGGGTTCGACTTCTATCAGGCGGAGATGACAGCCTGTTAACGCAGGCTATTGAGAATCTTGCAGCGCTTATGGATGAAGCTGCTGTTGAACATCACAGGGCAGACGTCGCCAAGGCAGTCCACGAACATGATGTGATCATGGCGGGACTGGGTGATAGTGCATCTACTTTCTGGATGCAGGCTTTCGACTGAAGTATGACAACAAGTGTATACAATAGCTGTGATTTTGCTTCAAACAGCACTCTTTATTCTGTATTAATGTCTAAGCACTATCTCCCAGCTATAGTGCTCCACCAAGGAGCTGATGGTCCTGTGTCTTTTCAAGCATCTGTCTCTCAAGTAGTATTAACTAGGTATCCAAATTGCAGTCAAACATATGTCCTAATCGTACAATACAATTTAGTGTAGAAGCTTGACTACACCCGTTTGATTTATTTAGTACGGTACCGTTTCAGAGAATAGTAATGATCGAGTTCACATGAATAGTATTGGTCGCGTGTAGCTTTTGTTTTAGCTAGCTTAAGGTAACTCGCCATACAATTTGCTTATGGCACAAACTCCAATGAATCCTTCTAAACTAGGAATCCCATGTGTCGTCCACCGTGGCTGTACTCACTCCACAACCCGTCGGCACCGTATAACTCTCGTTGTCACCATCTGCCCAAACAACATCCCCGTCACTTTCCACCAGAATATACTTGTACTCGAAAGATTCCCCTGCTGGCAAATTCACGGTAACAAACCATAAATGATCTTCATCAGTATAATCTGATGCACTCAACGCCACGGCGTCGGAGGTGTCCCACTCTCCCAGTTCACTGATTGAACCAGATAAGAACATGTTTTGTCCGTAGACTGTTGTTGCAATTAGGTCGAATGTCACTGCTACAGATGTAGGGGTAGCACAGGCAGTTGATGAAGTGGATGTTGTACTCGTTGTACTCGTTGTACTAGTAGTGCCAGTAGTTGTTGCTGCAGCCGTACTGGTTGTGACAGTGCCAGTGCCCCCGGTGAGAGTAGCTGGCCACGCCGTATCCGTCGCAGTGGAATAAGTTCCAGTAGCTGACGTAGCCGCACACGTTGCCGGCACCGAGCTTGCGCTTGTCTCACCCCAGGACGGAGGCATGATTGCATTGCGGGCGTTGTTGGCTGTTAGCAACGCAGCGTAGGACCACGTCAAATCCCGGGCAGAGAGTTGTAAGCCGTCGTCTCTGCTGAATTCTTCAGCCATAGAACCGTTGGTTGCTGCATGCGATTTCTGCAGTCCTTAGCAAGTTTAACTCAATTGGGGTTTAGGATTGATAAGCTATTAGTCTTACCACGATATTCAAGAAACCATCAGCGTAGGTGGTAACAGCGTCAACAATATCCACGAACTCCGACGTGGAAGAAGAATATGTTCCAGTCGCAGCCCCACTAAATACGTCTTCGAAAAAGGCCAGCGAGGTAGAGTCGATGGTGATACTTCCCTGTTGATTCCACTGGTACACCGCATCATAAAGCAATTCGGCTGCAGCCAGCGTACACAGAAACCACGGATTCCCGTTGTAATACGAATCCTCGGGGTATCTCCCCACGGCAGCGGCGGTGCCTTCCGCAGCATCATCGTTGATGGCATAAATATCTCTAAATGAGTCCACCACAACTTTATGGTTAGCTAATGCTCTCGAACTGCAGGGCTGAAACGTCGACTCGTCGCAGGCAGCATCAGGATCGAAAGTATGTATTGTTCCAAGAAGTGTATTCGCATCTTTCCCAGATCGGCTTGAGTCAAAGTTGGCTAGAATGTAATCGCCTAGCCAGAATGATTGCAGGAAACACAATATCTCGGGCGCTTGGCTCTCGCAGTAGGGGCAGGAGGAACCGACGGCAGAAGCAAAGGTCGCTCCCTCCACGAGGGCACGGTGCTGAACCGCAATTGTGAAGAAGGAGGAGCCATCTACTTCTTCCCAGAGATCTGAAATCTATTAGTATGAGTATATACGGGTTTGACGAAAGAATTACCGTAGCCGGTTTGGTTCCAGTATTCTGCCACGTAGGACAGATCATTCCGCACAATGGGCCATAGTATTTCCGAAGCATACTCCGAATAGCCATTATTCTTTAAGACCATCAAACTGCATTAGCATAGTATCTTAAGATAATCTGAGCGAGTATACTCACGATTAACCAGCCGCCGAAATCGATCAAAGCCGTAGCCCTCAACGCAGGGCCATCCCTCTGCGGCCGTCCCCATGCTGACGTGTACGCTGTCTCATCGACATTGAACTTTGGCTCAGCAAGTCCTAACCCGCCATTAGAGAGGCTTCCGGAGGGGTTCGAAACAGTTTGTATGTAGGCCTGGGAGTCGACGTATTCTTCAATAACACCCTGCAAGGAAGTTTCGCCATTGCGGAAAAGGTCGATTAGTACTTTGGCAGTCAACGCTGCATCCCGGGTCCAGGTATAGTAATCTACAAGCCCAATTAGCGCTAAGACTTTATGCAAGCGTGGTGTATTATTTTGCATGTATACAATCTGGATTGTCAGTGCTGGGTGAAGCAATGATAACACCGCTCTTGGCACTTTCTGCCCAGATCCCGGTTGACCCGATGTTGTTCTGTATAGCCTGCAGCGAGTATCCAGTTTCCGTGGCAAGCCAGGCGTCTAGAGCAGTGGTTGTTGTGGTTGCTTCACTTGCGGCGCGCGAGTGGACAACCGTTGAGGCCAGCCCGACATAGAAAATGAGAAGCAAGGAGATCATATTGACAATGCCTCAAGGAGGCTAGTTAGCTTGAGTTGGTGTTTGCTGTGCGTTTGATCTGACTTCATATGTGAGTCTTCATGAGTGAGTGATCTCCAGATCAACTGAGGCTACTTATACTTTTTCCCGCAGATAATAAGTGCTGCATCATGTTCACCGAAATAGATTGAAAACGTATGAGGTATCAAAATCAAGACAGATATAGACAAGTATATACTACTTTGATACTACGTTATTCCTTGTCACCTTTCATTTACTTCCAACATCTACAGATTCGAGGCATATTTGCAAGCGTAGGCTTGCGGAGTCAATGCGGACAATACTCCACTGCGGGTACTATTGGTACCCGCATCACACGGCGCGGCCCGCCATCGAGCTAACGGCGTTCTCTAGTGGGGCACCGTTTATTCAGAGTACTTTGAGAGAATCTACAAACACTCACTCATGATAATCAAAAGTTTTTCATTTGTATTCCAATGAATAACCTTAAGTTAACGTTAATCATATCCATCGTAACCAAAGTTTGCGTAGAAAACAAAAATCAGCAGGCATTTGCTTATCGTGTGTCAGTGTTTGCCTAGATTAGTTACCCCGTTGTTGCTCCGTCTCTAGCCGAAGCCAATCTATGAAGACATGTGAAAAAGCCGCTGACAGCTTCATGGACCCGCTAATTCTCCTCTAGCCCTAAATCTACGCGTTCTAGAAGACAGATGCTTAATGTATCCCGCTGCAGGAACGGCGCTTTGTCGGAGCAACATAGCCAATCTTCATTCAAGATTGAGCATTCCTCAAAACGTTACATGATTACTCCATCACTATCCCGCTAGCAAATGGCTGTCGCAATCCAACTTCGTTCACCGACAAGTTTATGAGGATAGAAAATCGTATCGCCGTCGTCTACAATACGTCATTCTGATAAAATGACGCATGAAGCGCATACCCTGAGAATATGCGTACTATACTCGCATCCCTGGTTCCATTTGAATGCTAAAATTTCAAACAGACTTTATCAGCTGCATTTTCGCTCTCATGGCCCTTGGTGCAGGCTTGAAGGCTAGCAACTGACAGGCTCGGAGACCTGCGGCACCTTCAGACCGAAAGGCACCTTGGCTAACTAAGAATGTCTATACCATCTCTTGGCTGGTGTTAGCAATTACCTGACATTTCAGAGGCATCGAATCAATCTTTGAACAAAACTTTACGGCAATTTATAGCGGTGAGTGGGGTCTGAGTGAGATAACTGCTCTACAACCTTCCTCATTGTTATCAGTAGGTATAACTACAAATTATTTTGTCCATCGTTGGAATATTTGATAGTTAATTGGGAAAATAAATGAAGGGGCCATATGTAGGTTAATCCCTCCCTGAAATCATTCGGACGATTTGGAGATTAACTTTATACATTCATCAAGTATCATTGAAGTCTGCTAGCCCCTAATCAACTAGAGAAACCAGAGTGGTAACAGATCAGCAAATCTGCACCAACGAATGTAAATTGGAAATCGGAGCGAAGTTGGCTATAACTATCATGGATGACAGGAAGATGGAATTGAGATAGTAGCTAAAATAATTTCTTTTTGTCATACCGAAAGCATACTCATAACTCTAAAACAGTGCAGACATGACTGCAGCCGAGAAAATTCTGTCCCCCTATTTACGCATGCTATGGTTTGTCCAGATGAACACTCCGCCTTGTAACACATAGAATTGTTGATTCGGCGATGAACTTCCCTCTCTCTTTTTCTGTTCTTTTCTGATATCTTTTTTAATATACCTAAATTCCTTCTCCCATTGCTATCTGCCGAAATATTTGCAACCTTGTCAGGAAGTGATCGTCACAAGAAATGACGACAAGCGGGAAAGGAAACATACCGGTGTCTGCATAAATATGGGTGACATCTAGCCCTCATGGGATAGGCCTGCATGCGCAGTATCGACTATTTCCATGCATGGTAGCTACATCAAGAACAAGAGCCGACAGAAGAATTGCAAATGGCTAAGTGGCATCTAACCCTGGGATACTATATTTATGGTACAAAACTAACTTGACTGCCAATCAAAGCAGCGGTAGAGACACAGGCACCGATTGCTACAATCCAAATCTTTTAACATGGACAAATTATCCAAAGTATACTCCTTTCTCGCATCCACGCTCATTCGTCATTTTGCAAACTTTTGGCGGAAATACAAACCTTGAAAACAGCAAGACTTTGGAACAACAATGTACCGCGAGGATAAAGTCGGTTTCTCGAGGGGATTTCTTATCAATGTCCAGATGTCCAATGATAAACTAAGAAGAGAGTAAAAGAATCTCTTTGCCAACCCGGCATTTTCCCAGATACAATGGTTCTGATTCAACTGTATATCGACGCAGCTTCAATATTGCCCTCACAAGCTATGCAAACACCTCTCCCCAAGCCCCGGAAACCGTGGCAGTGTACACATTCTATGTCATAAGCACACGACGAGCTCGGACACAAGTTCACGGATGATATGAAGGTTCTTTGTCTCTGATCTCTTGAACAGCTATTCTTCAAAGAATATCATACTCCTAAGCTTCCTTGACGCTATGAAAAGCTATAACTCTCAATTCGGCCAGGTAAATTGTCCTATTGGTGGGACAGGTGCGGGATTGGCTCCACTTATTTTTACTTGATTGGACACTAGTTTCTTCAGCTTTCGCCATAACAATTATCCGTGGCGAGGGATATTATCAAGGTACTGTTCAACATTTCGCCTCTTCAACCTTGATAATGTTAATATTATTGCTTCGAGGGCATACTTCAGTAATGGCTAAGGTGTAGCTAAGCATACTGCACCTCAACACAGACGTGACAACCAAGACGGATTATAATATCCCTTATTTTATTTTCTCCAATGCGACAATGATAGCAGCTATGGCGCAATACCAGCTATGGTGTATGCAATGAACATTTGTGGACTTATAGCAAGATTTGCAATCATTCTGCCTTATATTCTAGCTTTCGCCAAGGTTTGCCAAGACGATCGAATGATTCCATTATTTCTTGGTCAAGAGCAGCGGAAAGAAGTAAGAATCAAGCCTCCCAACGGTCGTCTTTTGTCGAACCGACTTAATGATTAGGCAAGTCCCTGGGATGAGAAGGCTAACGGCATAACTCCGCATTTCTTGAGGTCGCAGTAACGACACCTATCGCAGCCTTACGCGAATTTCAAATGGTCAGATAGACACTTAGCACCGAGTCTCCAAGTTTGAAAGTTTGACCAAAGCCAATTGAATGCCAAGATGGACGCGACACAAGTTTTATACTTTGGATACTGGAGAGGGGCACACTTTGCTATGCCGTATATCTCTCGCTAATACGATGAATGGACAGCATACTGACTGTGGCTTACTAGTAAGGAAAAAAAATGGCTCAAGCGACTTTACGTATTGCGTGACTGGATTCAGGAAGACTGTTGTTTAAAGCGACCTTGAACACTTAATCCATGGTTATTGTACTTTTTCTCTTTCTGGAACACGGACCTGCACAAAATCGGTCAGCAACGTGCTGGGCCTTCATTGACCATGCCAGAAAAGTCCGAATTGCTATTTACAACCTCCATTGCAGACGATAATGCAGGTAACACGAGACTTAGAAGGCGACTCGTATGGAAGCTTGATATCAGGTAAGGTAAGCCGCACTGAATAGCTCTGCATACCTCTTGAACCTAACCTGTGCGGGCAGGATTCTTCCACCGCTAGCACTCTTATACCTGGCGAACTTTGTGGACCGATCGAATGTCGGGAATGCAAAGATCTTAGGTCTGGCAGATGATATAAACATTACCAACCACCAATATGCAACTGCACTTTCTGTTTTCTTCGTTTTCTACGTCGTCTCGGAACTTCCTTCGAATCTCATCCTGAAACGGATGACGCCAAAATTCTGGCTTCCGTTCTTAGTTTTTGTCACCGGTATCATCGTCATGTGCATAGGGTTTGTCAAAACATATGCCCAGTTTATTGCCGTTCGTGTGCTACTCGGAATCTTTGAGGGCGGCCTATATCCTGGTTCACTGCTATTTTTGTCGACACTATATACTCGGGAAGAGCTAGCCCTGCGAGTTGGTATTTTCTACTCGGCTGCTTCGCTTTCCGGTGCGTTTGGCGGTCTACTTGCTCGAGGCCTCTCCGCAATCTCCGCGACCTCCACCATACATGGAAGTTGGCGTTGGGTAGGCACACCTCTCTGCATCAAAAATCTCCACCGCTTTCTAATTTATATGTAGATTTTTATAATAGAGGGCGTCATCACTAGTGCAATTGCCATTGTGTCGCATTTTCTACTGCCAAATTCCGTGGAGACTGCCTCCTTCCTCACACATTCAGAGAAGGAATTTGCAAAGAAACGTCTTGAACTATTTTCTGAAGCATCTGTTCTCTCATCAGAACCAGAGCATTTCCAATGGTCTGAAGTGCGTCGGGGGATTTTTTCGCTTCAGTTGTTTTTCACCGGCACCGTTTACTTTTCCATTTGTTGCGCACTCTTCTCTTTTAGCCTCTTCTTGCCATCGATTATTCAATCCCTTGGCTACACGGCAAACGAAGCTCAACTACTCTCCGTTCCCCCCTATGCCGTAGCTTCGGTGGTAGGTGTCGGAGTGGCATTTTTGTCCGATCGTATGCGAGTACGAGGAAAACTCATTCTTGTTTCTCTCCCGCTAGCTATTATAGGATATGCTCTCATAGCTCGGGTCTCCAGCAACGTGACAAAATATGGCCTAACCTTTCTGATGGCATCCGGTATCTATGGCTCAGTCCCACCCCTGTTGGTGTGGATACTCAACAACAGTGCTGGTCACTACAAGCGTGCCACAGCAGGCGCCATGCAAGTATGCTTAGCTAACTGTGGAGGAATTGTCGCTGCTTTTCTTTATCCCGACTCTGAAAAGCCAGCTTATGTAAAAAGCCACAATATTATTCTCGGCTTGCTTTGTTACTCGTGGATAAGGTAAGTTGCTAGTTATCCTTCACACTTTCCTATAACCTTGAAAGAGGTCAATAAACAAGAGCTAATTGCATCTAGTGTATTGTTTAACGTTTTACATGTCTGGAAGATCAACAAGGACAAGGAGAATGGGAAGTACGACAAGTACGTTGGGTCGGGAGACGATCGTGAACCATCATTTAAATTGGTGCTCTGAGACATGGTTTTGAAGCTAGTATTGTGCTCGGACAGTCCAAGGAATGTTGGCCCAACAAAGGTACCAGCTTGCAATAGGAATTGAATTTCAATTGATATAGATTTCCCAAGAATCGATGGCCTTTAGATCTTGAGTGAAGGAATGAAATCTATTGCTCAACCGCCTGGTCATAAACAATGAGATAGTACTAGCTTTTTTATTCTATATTTTTCTTTCTTTCTTTTTCTAGGCATCGCTATAGAAGTTTAAAAGTGATATTCAACATCCCTCAACCTGATTCAGTACGTAAATACTCAATCCAGCAGAAATTTGAGAGGAGATGGAAACGAGCATCGTTCAAATCGGCAAAATATGCATTTATACTGCAAAAACTGCAAGATACCAGGATCGACTCATCATCTAGATCAATATCTACCTAGGCATATTAGCCAATCCTACCCAGATCTGGATCTGGAGATCCTAATTCACGGATACCTAGGTACTTTTGTTCTCATTAACAATGATAAACTTGTCTATCACGGGTTTTTCGAAATGACTATGACCACATCCGCTTTTGATTTCCGCCAATGTCAGTGGTTTTGGATACTTATCAGAAATACGCTGTTAGTGGATCGGCCGAACTTCCGATACAAATGCTGGCTAGTTATATATATATATATATATATCAAGAACCGTGTACTACGTATGTGTCGGACATAGTAATACGATTACTAGACTGAGGAAGTTGTTGCTATAGAGAGAATATCTTTTCTCCCTTTCGTGGTTGGTAGTTATGTGATAAGAACAGATTTCATCTAGGTATATTATTCTGTCATGTTTTGTTTCTCTTCTGGATTTGCGGATGCTATGACCTCATCGCTAATCTTAGATCCGTACCTAGGCTGTACCTCGACTAGCACGCGATATATCCGCTGCAGCTCGGTCTCATACCCGAGTTACCCCACCCCGGGCCGACTTATCATGCCTGATACAGCTTAGGCTCGGTCGAAGCCTGCACCGAGCGACCCACAATGACCTTCCCGTTCGGGGCCGCTGCGACTGTCGCGATGACCTTCACTCGTTGTTTTCTCCGGTGAAGAAAAAAATTATTGCTTTGCTTGCCGTCGCTGTTCTTGGCTAACTAGTAAACTAATAACTAGAGCATTTGTAAATTATTAATAAACTGATCGCGCCTACCCCAAGGACATTTTTCCTTCCTTTCTTTTCTCTCCCCATTAAATCCTACCTTAATAACACAATTGTCACCAGTTGTATATACATTGCTCTTTTTTCACCGTCTTTGAAGGCACGAGCGTCGTGACAATAAGGATAAAGTTTTTCAATTATTATATTTTCACAAGTTACTGAGTTACAACTCAAATGGCAGCCCGGTCAACATCCCGTCGTTTCTTGCGATATGCAGCCACAGCTTCAGCAGTCACTGTCACGGGAACAGTAGGCCTCTACATGCTTCGCAGTCGTCGACCTCTCGACACTGACTACTCGAAAGCGCCATCCTTCCTTGCCAGTCCACCGCAATTCCCGAAAATCACCTCCCGCCTCGAACAGATCGCAGCACTCAAAGAAAGTGCCAGCGCAAACCCTGACGATGTCTACGATTTGCTAATCATCGGAGGCGGTGCGACAGGAACAGGTATTGCGCTTGACGCAAGGACGCGCGGACTCAAAGTCGCCCTGGTCGAGCGCGACGATTTCAGTAGTGGCACGAGCAGCAAAAGCACTAAATTGGTCCACGGTGGTGTGCGATACCTCGAAAAGGCCGTCAAGGAGCTAGATTACGAGCAGTACAAGTTGGTGTGCACAGCGTTGAAGGAGCGTCGGTATTTCCTTGACATTGCTCCTCACCTGTCGAATGCATTACCGCTGCTGCTCCCGATCAAGCATTGGTGGGAGGCACCGTATCTATGGATTGGTACGCAGCTATACGACCTGCTGGCCGGGTCTGAAGGGCTGCAGTCCTCGTACTTTATGCCACGGGCGAAGGCTCTGCAGGAGTTTCCAACGCTGGATGGGAATAAGATGGTTGGTGGACTGGTGTATTATGACGGCCAGCACAATGACTCGCGCATGAACGTGTCATTAGCCATGACAGCCGCGCTGTACGGCGCAACAGTGGTGAATCACATGGAAGTGACGGGCTTGGAGAAGGATGCAGCCGGAAAACTGTGTGGTGCAAGGGTCAAGGACTGCCTTTCGGACGACAAGGAATTCGTGGTCAAAGCACGTGGTGTGATTAACGCAACTGGTCCATTTGCGGATGCCATCCTACAGAAGGACCAACCCTCGATGAAGGAAATTGTCATGCCAAGCAGCGGTGTACATATCGTCTTGCCCGAGTGGGTTGGCCCGAAGCACCTCGGCCTCATAGACCCGTCGTCTGATGGTCGTGTCATCTTTTTGCTACCATGGCAGGGAAAAATGGTGGCGGGAACGACGGACCAGGCTTGTAAAGTTGAACAAGAACCTATTCCAGAGGAGGAAGAAGTGAATTGGATTCTGCACGAGGTCAACCGCCTCATGGCGGAGAACGTACACCTTAAACGTTCTGACGTGTTGTCGACATGGTCCGGTAAGTCGGCCTTTCTTACCCCCCCCCCC